AAAGGTACCATCAACAAATAAAGTCCAATCTGCTATAAAGCGTTGAGCATACTGAATTTGCTTAGGATGAGCAAACCAGACTTGCTGTAACTGCCTGTTGACGACAGTATCAGTTTGAGAATCGATCTCCTCCTCGATTCGGCATTCGAAGATGAATCCAGCCTCCTCAAGAGCAACAACAAGGCCAGCGAATTCGGTATGCTCAGCAGAAACAGCGCGAGATCGAATGTTATAGTAGGTATTGCGATCCAGAGGAAAACCTACCTGCTCAAGCACTCTGAGGGCCACAGAATATGAGATATTGGCCGTACGAAGAGACCTACCCAGCGTCAAAGCAGGCAGAAATGCAGGCAGCGTTTTGACATGCTCTTTTCTGTATCTCAACGGATTCGCAGCCATCAAATGGCTATGAGAATCGCTAGAGATCCCCAGAACAAGGCCGTATATGCCAGATCCACGCTTGCCGACTTGTTTGTACGCAAGATAGACCATGTAAGGACAGCTGCGAGCGTTGATACTAGTCGCTTCTTGCTTGCGACGGCTAGTAATTCGATTCTCCTCGTCTCTCTCCACATGTTGCTCTAAATGACGAGTATCTAGGGTATTATCTCCGTGATGAATACAGCGAAATTCGAACCGCGGGCGCGCTTGCTTCATGCTACCACTTTTGCGTACAATAGCAAAACCCTGCGATAGTGCCCAGCCCTGGAGCCGCTCTTGACAGATATCTGGGTTCTCAAAGACCTCGCCGTCGACAGGGGCGAGCAGGAAGGAGGAGGGGAAGGACCGTACGCGCGCTTCGAGCTGCGCTTTTACATGCTCTGGGCACTCAGGATGAGCAGTCCATAAAGGGGTGGCCATGGCAACGACGATAGCAAGATACTACACCAAGAATATCTATCTCAATACCTATTTAGGAAGTAACAGAGAGCTCAGAATCGAGATGGCAATGAGGGAAAAAATTATTGGGAACTATCAGGAACGCTTCATACAAATTACTATGGTGAATTCCCGCCAAGACCCAAACGCCGAATGCACCGCTCGCCGAATATACCGCCGCGAATGCACCGCTCCCAACACATCCCGCTATGAGTGCCTGTGGAATTCTGCACGTGTTGGAAAGGTTGTGACTCGGATGCCGTAATCAAGGTGACAGTAGTGTGTAAATAAAGCCTTTCGATGGATGTAATTGGTATCCCCAAGGCCTCTCTGTGCCTTGTGCGTATCGATCAACGAGCGCTGTGGACGGTGATAATTTGGTTGTGATTATTCCTGTGATGCTGTATCTGCTGACTTCCACTTTGGTAGTGCGTGTTGCAGTTGAGAGAGCGGCAGCAATTTACTACGTAGTTCGGCAACTTGACGTCAAGAATTCCAAGCACGAAACACGAAGTTCAAGTTCAAGTTCAAGTTCAAGTTCAAGTTCAATCTCAATCTCCAACCGACGGCCCAGGAGCAGATGTGATTACCCCTTTCCCTCTCCAGATCCTACCATAACAAGGCTTTGGAAAAAGCTGTAATGCTTCAATTCAGGATCGTCCACCATTCCTTTTTAGAATGATTTGTTCTTCTCCTACCTCTGCAACGTCTTTGTTCATTGCTTGCTTGATGCTTCGGTTCCCGAGCATCATCTAACTATGGGCTGGAACCCTTTACTTACCATCACGGAAGACAGAGACGATATCTGGGGGGATTATTTAGCCTACAAGTGCAATCCGTGCGAGCATACATTCAAGTCACGGCACGCATTGTACGAACATTGTACGAACATTGTAGACACGCCGTTGTCCACTGGGGCAGATGGTGCGACCGGTGCCAACGACTCTTCGTAAGCAGCACTGCTAGGGATGTTCACCAAGGGAACTCTTCCGCCCATCACCTGTGCTGGCACTGTGGTGTCGACTATGGTACTCAACAAGAATGCGACCGTCACATGAATGCTGTCCACTTTCAGTGCCTGAAATGCTCGACATGGGGTGTCGACTCTGATGATTTGATAAACCACATGGAGGAAGCACATCATTACTGTTCGCAATGTCAAACATACTTTGAGAACCAGAATAATCTGTGGCAGGTGAGTGAATGCTGATATCGGTTCGAAGACGCTTGTACTCATTTGGCTCGTTGCGCGCTATTGCTCTACTGTATGCCTTTGTCTTCCATGATACTGATCCACTCTTATCACTCCAGCACCGAAGATCACATGCTCCCCAATGCCAAGAATGCTATGGGTGTGAACGTTTGTTCGCCGTACTCTCATCTATGCTGATTCATCTCGAGTCTGGCGTCTGCGAAAGTGGTGCTAATCGCGATCAACTCGATGGGCTTGCCTATTCCTGCTGTGAGAGCAAAATACTACACCAATGGCTGGAATTTCTATCATAGGTATAAGTGCCCGGATTGCCAGAAAACGTTTCGTTATCTTAGTGGCCTGTTCTAGCATGTGGATAGTGATGCCTGCGATCAGCAATTGCTGGGAACAAGCATGGGGAGACTGGAAGACTTCCTCTCGAGGAATGTACAGTATCTCTAGAGCACAATCTGTACTAGTAAACGGCATGTTTGTTGGAAGTGTTTCAGACTTTTTCGTCTTTGAGCATTTTTGTCTTCTTGTTCTTCGCAATTGGTGATCGTGCAACGTATACTCTCGCAGCTCCGACGAAGCATCATGCCTTGGTACACACGCCTTGCATGTACCGGAAGACTTCGTGACCTTGATATTCACGAATATTCTCCATGTTCCTTGTTTTCCAACCACTCATTCCCGCAATCACCTTGTCCAACTTGCCATCCAATCGACAACCACCAATTAGAGCCGGCCACAGAAATAGGTTGAATATCCACACATAGCACTGAGTGATGAAGCTGGCGTCACTCTGCAGGTGCTCGAAGAACAAAAACTGTCCACCTGGCTTCAACAGCGCTCTTATCACCTCCATCGTCTCCGGCAATTGGGCTTGTGGCACCGAACACATGGACTTGATCGTCACGATCGAGTCGAAGACGCCTTCTTCCGGCAGTCGAGTCATGGTTCCAGGTAGCAGCCCTGCATCTTGCAGAGCTGGCAGGAGACTCTGAGGCTCAGCACCAGCTTTCATTGGCAGGTACTTGTCACCGAGTCCTATCTCTTTAGCCTTCGCCACTAGGCTTGCGTGAAAATGCTCATTGGGTTCCGCTCCATAGACTTTTTCAATCTTATTCGCTTTTAAGTGGAACGTCTGATCGCCGTTACCAGGACCTAGTTCCAGAACAAGGCCATGTGCCTGCGACATCACGGACTCAATATAGTCGATTTGTAGTGGCGAGGAGGCCAGCTGTGGTCCAAGATAGACATACATTCTCTCGAACCATTTCGAGCGAAAGGAAGAAGGGGCCTTGAGGAGCAGTAGTGGCTGGGAGAGCAGCGTGTAGGCCAAGACTGGGGGTACATACGTCAGTGTCTCTCTTTATGGGCTTCTAAGGAGTAGTATTCACAGAACAAACTCATCGACATTAACAGCAGGGGCTCTGCCAAGGTTAGCGAGTATTCCTTGAACGAGGGCATGGTTGCAGCAATTGAATCGTAGGGATGGTCCCCAGCAGCTTCTCTCTGAGTGAAGCATGGAATTTGGAGACAGTGGAACCGTTCAAACTGATCGACGCGATGATATTTATTTCCACAGAGCTCGGTTCTGACAGTCGGTCAGTAGCCTAGCGCAGAAGATCCGAGCTGATCATGGTTGCATTATGTATCAAGTGACGTGATCTATCGGATTTTACCTCGCCCGTAGATGTGGGTGTGCCAGGCAGATGGGTTACACCAACAATAAGTCATAGTGAGGACCACAGCCAGCGGGCTGAGGAAGCGATCCTTGTTGGAGGCTCCAGTCCAATGAATATTTATCTTGGTAGGGTGTGGTGTGAGGTGGGTGTCCTCCCCGTTCAATATGTCTTTCAGGGTTCAATCTGGTCTGACACAATCGAAAGGGGCACCAGGGGGATGAAATCTTGGCAGGCACAATCCGAATTTGCGTTATGTATTGCCGATCATTCCTCATTCCCAAGCGCTCCGTAGAGCTCTTGGTGACCCGAAATCTTAGAGATAAGACTACACAATCACGACGTCTTGGTTCCTACTTCGCTGTCTAACCTTTCGAACCAACAAACATGGCGGCTGCTTTGCAATCACTTCTTCCCAAGCTTGGTCTCTCTAAAAAGGCTCTGCTCCTTGGGGCTGGGTTTGTCACCGAACCTACTGTCCAGATTCTCTCCGACACTGGTGTCGATGTCACAGTTGGTAAGTCAGGCTACTGAATAAGACACCAGGTGGTACTGACATTGATGCAGCTTGCCGAACTCTCGAGTCTGCCCAAGGGCTTGCTGCTGGTTTTGGCAACGTTCATCCTATCTCTCTTGATGTCTCAGACACAGAAGCTCTTGACGCCGCAGTAGCAAAGGTCGAATCTTGTCATTAGCTTAATACCATACACCTTCCATGCAACTGTCATCAAGTCTGCCATCCGCAAGAAGAAAAATGTTGTTACTACATCGTACGTTTCCCGTCAATGCTCGAATTAGAAAAGGAAGTCAAAGAGGCAGGCATCACGGTCTTGAATGAAATCGCCTCGACCCAGGCATTGATCATCTCTACGCTGTTAAGACTGTAGAGGAAGTCCACAAAGCTGGCGGCAAGATCACTTCTTTCCTATCTTATTGTGGTGGACGTTCCAGCCCCAGAAGCGTCGGACAACCCACTGGGCTATAAGTTTCCCTGGTCAAGTCGTAGTGTCCTTCTAGCACTACGGAATGACGCGAAGTACTATCAGGATGGGAAGGTCGAGGAAATACCAGGTCCAGAATTGATGGGTACATCAAAGCCGTATCTTATCTATCCTGAATTCGCCTTTGTTGCATATCCGAACAAAGACTCAACATCATTCAAGGAGCGATATGATATTCCAGAGGCGCAAACACTCATTCGAGGTACGCTCAGGTACCAAGGCTTTCCGGAATTCGTGCGCGTGCTAGTTGATATTGGCTTTCTATCCGAAGAGAAGCATGACTTTCTGCAGCCAAGTGACAACCCTCTGTCATGGGCAGAAGCGACGAAGCAGATCCTGAAGGCATCTAGCGCGAAAGAGCCGGATTTGACATGGGCTATTTCTTCGAAGACGAAGTTCATGGACAACTCGGAAAGGGATCGAATACTTGCCGGTCTTCGCTGGATCGGACTTTTCTCCAACGAAGCAATCCAGCCCAAGGGAACCCCACTTGACACTTTATGCGCGAGGCTGGAACAAAAAATGCAGTATGAGAAGGGCGAGAGGGATATGGTGATGCTTCAGCACAAATTTGGTACTGAGCATAAGGACGGCAGCAAAGAGACCAGGACTTCCAAACTATGTGATTATGGTGATCCGAAAGGTTATAGCTCGATGGCTAGGCTGGTTGGAGTTCCTTGTGGTGTTGCTTGCCTGATGGTCCTGGATGGCAGGATATCTGAGAGAGGCATCCTTGCTCCGGTGAAATGGAGTCTTGCAGAGCCCCTCCTTAAGGAGTCGAAGGAGAAATGGGGCATTGAGATGGTGGAGAAGACAGTGGCATGATGATATACGGGGTTCAATTGGGCTATGACTCATGAGCAAAGACCACTGTTCCGAGCAATGAGAGATGATACTGCTATTCAGGAGACTTTGTCTCCTTGGGTGGTTGCAGCCAAATAATTGCCGGTACATGCATAGAAGTCGAGATGCGCACGGTGTCGTGTTGGAGCTGTTCGTCTCCTTGAGAGGTTATATGAAGGGCAAGCTCTCTATCGTTGCTCGAGCCCATGTGAGGCTTTCATACCTTCCTTCGAGGCATATAAGACCGTGAAGTTGTGCGCTTCCGTCAAATCCCAACATTATCTTCTCTCGTCTTCCTCTCTTCTTGTGAGCGATTCTTACCGTGACAAGCGACCGGGTCACCTGATTCTTCCCGTACTGCTTCCGCGTGAGACCCTGGTTCTCGTCGATCATCGTCCTCCACTTGTCCATTCTTTGCAGCCTCCAGCGCGCGGTATTTCCTTCTAGCCTTCTTTTCCCTGCTCCTCTTCTGCGTACCCGTCTTTTCCACCTTCTTGCTCAACCTACTTTCACCCCCTTTCTCCAAGTGCTCGATCTTCTCTGCCAGGATCTGCCTTGCGATCTTGTAGTTCTGAGAGCGCGAGCGCGTGGCTTGGGATTTGACAACAATGCCGGTAGGTATGTGAGTTATCTGCACGGCGGAGTTCGTCTTGTTGATCTTTTGACCGCCTGGTCCAGAGCCCTTGAGGTAGACATGATGTAGGTCTCCGTCTGGGAGGTTGGTCGCGGCGGAAGGGGCTTGTTTGCTTGACGAGTGGTGCTTGTGAACCAACGGTGAGTTGGTGGATCATGACACCCTGGATGATGTTCTCGACGAAGCAACCTTGTGAAGCCCGTCCGTAGGTAGGACGTGATCATTCCATTCGAATAGACATAGTCTGAATGATTGGAAGGGGGTAAGTGTGATGGTAGGGACCAGAGGCTGTCGGGACTCGGGAGCATTCCCAAAACGTAGTTAGGGCATAGCCTTCCACCTCGGACGATCCCGAGAGCTTACCCCCAGTGCCAAGAATATCACAACCTGCAAGAGGCTCCATTGAGAACTTGCATGCTCGACCCTCGAAAGCTACCCGAGGGCGGAAGAACGAATCTTCTCACTCGTTTCTTCTTGAGCCTGTCACCTACTTTCTAATCGTGAGTCCTCGGTCGACCGCCGCGTCCTGGTTGCAAGATACCTAAACTAATAAGGGAGCGCAGGACTAAGTCCACCTCCAATTCTGTCCGCCTCTTGAATTCCACCCTACTCGAACGAGAAGCTTCTGTTGAGCTCAAGAGCTAGTATAGGAGGCTTTCGGTCTCATTATGGACCAGGAAAAGCTTAAGAAATTGCAGCAGAGTGTTCGCATTGGTAGGTCAACCACACCCACGGAACTACTTCCTCTAACTAGCATTATGATGTCCGCACATGACATTTAGTTGTTTTCAAGCTGACAGATTTCTTCGCCTTCAGGGTACGTACTTCTCAGTCTCAATTCATCTCTCGCTCGGTCCGAAGTGCGGACTTGCAAAACTTGGAATCTCCACTAGGAAAACACCTCCACCCACCACCACCTTTACCCGACAACGACAACGTGTCTCCATGAGCTATACTGACTCAGCACTGCAGAGGGAAGGGAACGCCAAGACGTCGGACCAAGAAGGTGCACAAATCGTCGGGAACAGATGATAAGAAACTGCAGACCTCGCTCAAGAAACTCAATGTCCAGCCCATCCAGGCGATAGAAGAGGTGAACATGTTCAAGGAAGACGGAAACGTCATTCATTTCGCCGCTCCTAAAGGTATATATATATACACTCGCCCATACCTCACCGACCCCTCCTCGTTCTCAAGGACACAGCAACCTGTTTAGAGATTCCCTAGTATCCAGGTTAACTTGTGATGACAGTCCACGCCTCCGTCCCCTCCAACACGTTCGCCATCTACGGCAACGGCGAGGACAAGGAACTCACCGAGCTCGTACCGGGAATCCTCAACCAGCTCGGCCCAGACAGTCTGGCCAGCCTACGGAGGCTAGCCGAGAGCTATCAGAGCATGCAGAAGAAGGAGGGTGCTGAGGGGGGGAAGAAGGACGGAGAGGGCGGGGACGATGACGACGAGATCCCGGATCTGGTGGAGGGAGAGAACTTTGAGGGGAAGGTTGAATGAAGTGTGAGAAGGGTTCGTATTGAGAGGATCGAATAGCGACAAGACGCACGTTGCGGCTGGCTGGCTATCTGAGTTTCAAAGGGAGGCTGCTACCCGTCTACTGGTGAATTGAGTTGGCTATACTCGACTGCTCTATCAGAGAGACCACGAAGATCAATGTGCATTGCGATATATTGCATCGCCAAAGGCGCAAACTCTGCAACAATGAACCTGCAAATTGAGTCTGCTACAATGCTGCCGCTGCCCGTTTTATTCTGAGTATGATAGATCATGACCCCCAGGTAAGACGTATATCCATAGGTCTTTGCTGATTCTCCCACGCCTGGTCTGGCCACTCTCTACCAGCAGGATGGAAGCCAATACAAATTGCCGCTAACCTGAAATGCTATATCCATATTCTTCTTAAAAACACAACCATGCCATCAAAGCCTTTATCCTCGCACTCCCCCGTCGCCAGCTCAATCAATCTAACAGAACTCACATCCGTTCCTCTCCTCGTCCCACTTCCCATCCTCGGTCAGTACGGGGCCGTCTCCGATCCAGTCCTGGCCACCGATAGCCTTGCTGCTGCTGGCGACGAACCAGGATAGAATGGGGATGTGGCGGAGGATGCGGGTTGTGAGGGTGGGTTGGGGGAGGAGGGCCTCGGAGATTGGGCGCAGGACGGCTTTGCGGACGGTGGGGATCGCGGTCATGTATTCTCTGGATGATGAGGAGGGAGAGTGGGGGGTTTGAAGTGTGGTCGGGAGGGAGGGGACAGAGCGGGAGCGGAGGGTTGAGGTTGGGTGTAGAGAGGAGGAGAGTTGTTGTTGGGGCTGGGAAGGAGGGGCGTCGATGGCCGTTGCTGTTGCTGAAGAGGCGGTTGTTGAGGATTGGGATTGTGGGGAAGGGATGGAGGTGTCGTCTCGGGTTGTTACTGGCGGTTGGGGTTGACCGTATTGGACGTCTTGGGCTGTGAAGGAGCGGGGGAGGGTTTGTGTGGCGCGCTCAAAACCGGCGATTGCTGATTCGACGCCTGGTTGGAGAAAGCTGGTGGTTTGCGAGGTGGTGAGGGTGCGGAGTTTGGCGTTTGCGTTTCGCTGGTGCTCGTTGGCTGGGTGGCTGCCTTTAATAAGGGGCGTGTCTGAGAATGGAGGTCGACCCTGCCACATCTCGCAGAAGACAAGGTGGTCTTCGATTTCCTGTGGGGAGTAGAAGCATGCTCGTTCGGCTGCTTGGTAGGTGTCGAAAGTTACTTTGATCCAGTGGTTGCCTCCTTTGTAGACGCGGCTTTTACGCAGAGCGTCTTTGGTGAGCTTTCTATGCACGACGACAGAGTTTGAAAATACATTGGAAGACGTCAGAGCGAGGTTCGGGTCGTCTCTTGGGTAGTCTTCGCATATGTATGAGGGCGCAACGATGCGCTCATATTTGGACAGCACTTTCCACTCTGATGCTTTGGAGGCATATCCATAGATGAGGCATTCTGTCGCGACACCTTCCGGAGGTGCAAGAGGCTTCGGCACATCTCCAGAGCTTGTACTTGGTAGGGTGTTCTTTGACTGCCGTTCTTCTTCCTCTTTTTGTTCTTTGGCAAAGAGTCGCCCAAATTCTGCCACGGTGGGATTCTCTTTTTGTCGCACGGGAGTGGTGCCAGTCCTCGTCCTTGAAGATCTTGAGCCAGTATATCTTGTAGTACGATTCTTGCCGAAAGGGCCAGACTCTTCGGGAGGAAGGCGAGGGTTTCGAGAAGAACTGGTGATTGTCGAGTCAGCAAAACCGGAATCACGCTGAGGAAACATATACTCTCACTCTAGATATCGGTATCCCCACGGAAGGATATTCCCTTGTTCATCTCTTGCTCGCTCTTCAGGCAGCACAGCATGGACCTCCATCTTGCGCAGTAGAAAAGGTAGAAGGGTTTCTCAAATGTCTATGTCTTGATGGCTCATTTCCAGAAGGTTTCCGAACTGTCGAGATGGGCGGAGGGCTTGTGCAGAACTGGATACAAGCAAGATTAGAAAGTAGGCAGATACAGCGGACAGGCTCAGGGCGCGTAACACTATAGCATGCTCTTAATCCCCTGGAGCATGCAATATCGGTTCAAGAGACTGCTTCACTCTAACTTTATAGCGCAACTTGAAGCGTAAACATTGACGGGCTTGGCAGCTACTACGCGGTGGTTCCACAAGCGATGTACTACATACGTACGACGTACTACATACGTACAGTACATGCATGTATGTAATGAAGATCTTGGGACAACATCTGCATTTCTCATCTACAGTCTACAGTCTACAGTCTACAGTCACTGGTGCAAGTCTTCAGTACCGAAATTCATACTGCTTTACAAGCATCAATTTCATTGTCACTGGCATGAGTTACATAACAGTCTGAGTACAAAGTCACTAGCAAGTATCATCGCTTCCACGCGCAGACTCATCCTATCCACTTTCTTCGCATGCCCTCGTAGAACAACATCCACCGGAACAACTCCCTTGCCATCTGCTTTCATTCGAGGATGATCTTGCTTGAAAAGGATCCTGCACGAAAGCGGACCTCCCGTGCCGGGGGTCGACTGTAATTCCTCCAACCATCGTATTCACACGAGGTGAAAGTCCACCCAACCATCGTCATCACACAACGAGGTGAAAGTCCATTCCGTACCACCTGACCTCCTACACACTAAGGGGTCTAAGACGAGTCGTTTGGGACCAAAGCAATAACAGACCAACAGTAAAGACAATCTCATGGACCTGACCATCCCGTATTGGAGGTCAATGACGGCGCATCCCGTGTGAGCAACTTGCAAGACAAGAAATATGAAGTGGGTTCTGAGGTTCACCTGAAGGACTTTGTCGATCAAGGAGTATGAATCATCATGAGAACAATATGGAACGAGGGGGTATGGACTCTACAGCGATGTAGGTCTCCTCGCCAAGGGCTTATCAGCTTTGAGCTAGACAGTAATGCTTTGAGTGTTTTTCCGCATGAAACGCTGGAAATATGCCGCTGAACCCGGTGACTACAAGCAACATTCTGCACCAATGGTCGAGATGTTGTGAAGCGCCAAATGTGCATGTAGGGGGGTCAACCGGTAATTCATCCTTATCCAACTGTGGAGGGCTGCGTCTTTTCGAGTCTTTCGGTTGAAACAGCACGGAGCATTCTAGGAAAGGCCCATCTGAAATGATTAAAGCAGGCTCTCTTGATCGCTGGCGGGGCGTCTCCTGTTGCCCAACCCATGAACCTGGTCAGGTGTGAGTGAGCCTGTATCCAGCCAGCTCGCTCAAGGCATTGGAGGAACAAATCTTTGTTGCCACCAGACTTGTCATGTTTGACCCAATTCTTGACAGCCATTTCAAAGACTTTACAGCCATCCTTGGTCATTTTGTCGACGGCGTGATCGAATGTGGGTCGAAGAGTCATTGAAACATCCTCGCGAGTAAAGAATGCTTTTGAGTCTGCGGCACTGCCTTCTCTCGCAACTCTATCAATGCGCTCGAGGTCGGTCACCCACTCTGCCCCAAGAATTGCGTCGCATTCGTTGTCAAAGATATCCTTTGGGCTACGCCCTGATTGCAGAACCATCGTGATCAGGTGCAACCATACTTGAGGCATCTCCTGCCTGAGCTCGCGAAAATACGCTATATCTCGGCCGTTGTCTGCTTTCGATCGGAACTTGTCCGCGAAAGGATGTGGTCCGACGCTTGCGCCAACGCCTGTCTTTGCAAGGTCAGGAATGCTTCTCACTCTCTCGTCAGATAGTCCCGGCACGGTGTCACACACTTGTGACTGTATCACTTTGTGCACGTCAATTTTGAACTGGTCTGGCACCTGGTTCAACATGCCCTCGAGTTCTTTGCGCTCCTTGTCACTTCTGTCTCGGAAGCCACCTTTGGTGCGACCGATGTGCCGAGCTTCAGAAATGTTTTTGCCAGTCGGTGCAGCTCTGCGTGCTGGTGCTTGGCCAGCTCGTCGCGCGGTGCCGCTGCCTCGGGTTGCCCTTCCATCTCCAGCAGGCACTGGTGTGAAAGGCTTTGGAGCAAAGGTTTTAGACTTATCAACTTGCACAGCTGCAACTGATTCATTGGAAGAGGCAGAAGCCGAACTGACAGGCACATCGAGTCCCATAGTAGAATCAGAACGTTCCGAAGTGGCAACGACTGGAGCGGCAGGCACGACAGGCACTGCATCTCTCTTCGGTTTTGGGTTGAGCCAGGTCCCGGGCTTTTTGGGCTGAACAAAGTGTGTGGAAGTCGAGCCAAGGCCCGAGCTGAGAAGTCCGTGGGCATCTGGGCTTGAAGCGACAACATTGCTCATCTGATTATTCACACCTGTACTGCTCGGCTTGGCAGACTGCGAAGAGGCTGTGGGAGGCGTGTCAATTCCCATGGCGTCACTGCCGGAAGCAATTGAGTTTGATGGAATCGCATTACTCTTGGAAGTGCTGGTTCCGAAAGAGCCGGGCTTCTTTGATGGTGCAAACTTCGTGGAAGGGGGGACGGCTTGCTGAGATGAATGATTGGCTGCAGCTGAGGATGATGTCGCTTGCTTCTTGATCGCTTGAGGTGCAAAGGAGCGCTTATGCTGCTCTTAGCAGGCAGGTCTGTCGATTGGTCGATTGACGCTGAGTTCGTGTCAGCGTTGGCCACTGATCCAAATTCCTTGTGAAGTCCTGCGCCACTTTGCATTGCCGGTCGGACTTTACTTCGAAGAGCTGACAAGGAAACTGCTTTGCCGGGACGGATTGCGCCTTTGCTGGATAGTGCGGACGGACGGGATGGAACTTTCATGCGACGCCCCTGAAGAGCCGAACTCGACTTAGCATTACCCGGGGACTTCGTCCTGGAGCCTGTTTGACTTGCAGCGACCTGGTCCGACTCGGTATTTTGATATTCTAGCAAGTCGTCATGAATACCGCTGATCCGTCTCGTTTTGGAAGCTGACTCATCTGTAGAAGAGCTAGACTTTGCGGGAAGGCAAATTCGCTTTGGCATCGGATACAGCATATAATCCGCTGGCATCCTCCTCCTAACGCCTGCTGTCAGTGGTACATCTTTAAACAAGTCATAACCCCTGTCAGACTTGATGCTCATAGTGATGATCCCTCCACGCAGAGCAATCATCGATGGCTGGCCTTCCGGAGAGAGAGGATCTGGCCCAAAAGTTTGGTCTTCAACCTCGTTATCCAGACCAGGTACCGAAGAAGTTGCAGTATCACTGCCTCTGTTCGAGGACAGACGGACCAATGGCGTGTGCCTATATTGGAAAAAGGATTCGTGCTGGGTCACGCTAGTGACAGGAGCTAGCGGATATGACTTAGACTGAGAAGGAGAAGCCTTCGGTGCTTTAGAAGAAGAATGTTGTTCAGGCTGACTCTCGCTCTGAAGCATGTTCAAGCCAGACATCGCGCGAGGAGAATCGGATTGATCCGAACAAGGTGGTTGAGAAGGGTTGCTGCCTGGAAACAGGCTCAAACCAGGCGTTGCGCCGGAGGAACCAGTCTGGGTCAGAGGTGGTTGAGGACGGTTGTCGTCTTCAAGCATGCCCAAACCAGGAACTCCAGTAGCTGCAACATTGTTCATGTCCTGATGACGCGGCACGGCTTCTACTGAATGGCGAGGTTTGGAGACCGAAAGTAGAGCTGGAAGGTTACGATTCCTAGTGGTGAATGGTGCAATGGTGGAGTCATACCAATCTTCGATTGGCAGTTCAGACGAATCTGTCATCTCTTCGTCGTCTTCGGGTTCGGCGAAGAGGTCTCCGGTGATACCTGTCATAGGGTCTTCTGCTTTGTCCTCGGCCGGGAGATTTTGATCAACGTCCATAATATCGCCGTCTTGATTGTTGGCTTTATTGAAGAAGCTCTCATAAACAAATTTAGAGGGCAGCGGGTTGTCTGGGTCATATTCCAGCCCCGCGTCCTCATCTGGAGGGTCCCAAGCTGTATTTTCGCACCAAGCAAAATATGCAGTTACCTTCTCAGGGGGCCAGTCCTTAAGCATTGCGCTCATACACTCGAGCGGCTTCGGCTTGAAGTGTGGATCTGCGAATGTTGAATCCGTTCTATTGGAGGAAGCGCAAGTGGAAGGCGTAGGTCCAGTCCATAAACGGACTGGAAAATCTTCATCCTCGCAGTTCTTTCCATCTAGGAACGCGTCCAGTATAGCCGGTAGGAAGTTTTTCGAATTCTCGTGGAGCGCAGCTGTTTTAGCACGCTCTCTGGGCGAGGTTTGATCAGGCTTCTTTTGACTGTTCTTGGCCAGAGGCGAGTTGCTGAGGGTGAAATGTCTGTTGACCGTGTTAGTGAGGAATGCTGGTGGAGAGGACAGCCAAAGTCGCACAGTTGATCAGGTTGTTCCTTTGCTTTTGTTAGTGCGGTCTTCAGCAAGTTGACTGCCGTTTTTTTGAGCTGCTGGATTGGCCACAGGAAGTTGGGTTTGGCATCTTGGAGCTTTGCCTTTTTTGCGAAGATTCTGTAGTTGGTGGGAGGGATCCGAAGACCGATATTCGGATTCGGGTTGAAGAGTTTGGGAAACATCTTGGTGGATGACCCGGACGAGTCTCAAGATGTGCCTTGGATGATGGCCCGCAAACTATGTTTGACGAAGGACAGCTGGTAAATACTATCGAAAGCGGCAGGCAATGGCTACAGGAGAAACAATGGAAGCTGTGCAGGTAAGTTGCAGGTTCCACGATGGTGGAGAAGGATTTGTCGTGGATAAGAAGGGTCATGCAACGAAGCTGGAAAAAGGTAAAGGTAAGAGATGCCAAAATTTGAGAATGTGGGCAGACTGCTCTGGCCTGTGACCCGGGTTTATCCTCAAGAAGTGTTCCTTGCGGTGGTGGTGGTCACAAGTGTTCCGAGGACCTTTACAATGCGAAGCAGGAAGTTCAGCGTGCGGCTTCCTCACACCCTTCTATCTCTCCATCCAAGGACATGGAGCACTCATCCTTTTCACAGGGTCGTTGCTCTTAAGAATGCAAGAGCTTTACAGTCAACAGCACTGTCTTTGAAGTTGTGACTGCAACCCGTCTTGGCTATATCTTAAAGATCTACAATGGTACGCCGATTCCGCGGTTCCAGTGCAAGATTGCACAGTAAGTGAGATGTTGCCACGAAACTAACCTCCACATATCAAACTAGCGGACATGGTGAACAATACCTGGTTCATGTCGAACGGGATGATATCGAAGGCATTGGACGACTTTCCGCTTCTTCTTTTACGTCTGCTGCGATTTCTATCATATCAGATGTCCGAGAGGGCCTTTGAAACGCTTCTGCCATTGTTCAGATGCTCGGAACTTGAAGACATACTCCACCATGAAATTATCTGTTTTGAAAGATGCTGCACTACGGTTAAAACATGACTAACATATCAGTAGCCTACCTCTCCTTGTTTACAGGCAGAAATCTCCAGCAGCCTCCTCGATCATAACGACTTCCCACCACTTGGCAGTTCTCCTTCTCCCCCTGCGGAGCCCTGCGCCGATACCGCCCTCGGGCATTTCACCACTCTGTCTAACCACCCGTCTACCCAGTTCACCAGCCCACAAACCGAGGCAGCAACAGGAACAACATTCATTCCAAAGACTGCGGCTGAGGACCGGACAAAGAAGATGTCCATCCAGCGTCCACCACGCCTGTGCAAGTAGCAAGAAAATCCCGAGCCAACCGCCTCTCACCAAGACCCGTCAATTATTTCTCTTCACTGTCCCCGTGGCTCTTCATTCCAGCTGAATAGTGCGGTGCATTCACATCCCAAACCAAACACAAGCAGATGGAAGTGTACGTGTGCATGTGAAGCAAGCGGAGCAGAACCACCAAAAAAGCACGACACGGTAGGTCCCGCAAAACATCGCAGTAAAACCAGGCATGATGAGCCAGGTCATCATTCCCCATCCCAAGGTCCTTTATGTCTACATAAATGAACAAGGCAGAATGGACCAACTAGCTAGCTCACCCGCTTTTCCTTCCATTGCGCCCAAAATGAAGCGCCTCAACCCTCACCGCAAGCAACGGGAGGATTCGGGTCCCGCGCCAATGGGGCAGTCCAATCCGGTCCAGTCCAAACAGTGCTGATACAATGTCAAGGGCGAGTCAGGTCAACCGTGCGCAGGAGATCGTGTCTCGTTGTTCTTGTCCGTTCTGAGTTAAGTCTTGGGTTTTCTGATGGCTTAACGAGGGTGTTTCAGTGCTATCGTTCGCCATAAACATATTCGTTGGAGCGACACGATGGGAAGGATGCTGGGTGTGTAGGAGCATTGGGCTGGCGCTGACGAGATTGACATGGGTACAAAGTAAGTAAGGTGGAATTGTGTCGGTTTCCCGTGGCTGGGTAATTTGTAGTTTTTTAGTAGTACTAATTGGTAGAAAGGAGCTCTTCGGGGATACATTTTGATCAGCTTGACGTGTTTGACTTCTTCATCGTGTAGCCTAGTAGAGGCAGGTTCGTCTCAAATCAGTTTACAGTTTTACATATTCTGATATGCTCAAAAGATGGATTAAGTGTCTATCTCTATATGAACCTTGTAGGATATGATACAGGATAGACAAAGCGTACATCTCACTGACTCTACTTTCTCTTTCTACGTCCTGGAATTCTAGCCTCATTCCGTCTCCCGACTGGCCGAATCAGGGTGGTTCCGCGTAGCGTTCAAGGCTGTCTATGATTTATTTGGTGATTCGAATGCGAAGGATGCAGGTAGACGTCATTCGTCACCCGCACAGTAGTCGAGTCGCATTGTCAAGGCCCTTCGCTGCGAGCATGATGAAGATGAGTCTTGCCATGCTAGATATGGCCCACAAACACCGCTCGATATGAATTGATGAGTACCGATCCTCGATTTTGAACCGTGATCCCATCACAAGGATCAAAAATCTCACTTTGGGTAGCTCAATCCAGACCAGGCCACAAAACAATGCAGCGTGGGTAAATATTCAAAGCCTTTTCCCCGCAAGAACAACGCTTGAGCCATCTCCCAAAGTGGGTTGAGTTGCGGGATCCGCTTGCGAGGCATTTTTCTTTGTAACTCTCTCGATCAGTCCGCTGATCGGTCCATGAACCGTTCATTGTCACTGCAGACGTCTCTGAGCATCGCGCAGTTGGCTGCGAAATTGCAGATGATGTTCCCGGTGTCAATTCATCGAATAACGAGCATCATTCATCATCTTCTTCGCCGTCGCTAAGTTGTTCCCCTTTCGCCAATGCCTGTTCTTTCCGCTTCTGTGCTCGCTCCCTCTTCTTCTCTAGAAGCTTGTTCAGCTTCTTTGCCACATTGAACACCCCTCCCGTTCCTGCTCCACATGCAGCGCATGATGGATTCTTTCTATACCGTTGTAACGCGCAGCTCTCGCAGAAATAATGCCCGCACTTCGTGGTTATCGGACTTTTGTAGGATTTCTTGCAGATGATACATGCAAATGGAATACTTTCCAAGACCGTTTCGTCATCCTCGTCTTCATTGCCGTTCTGAGCCGAGCGATTCGCTGAAGCGACAGTCTTGCCTTGCAACTTCTTGCCTTTCGTCCCTATTTCCCAGTCCCGATCCAGCTCCCAGCCCTGCTTATAGCTTTCTCTTGCATGTAAGAATTTGCAGGTGTCGCCAAACGCACAATATCCACTTTGTTTGTAATCCTTGCAGACGTCCGGCGCAAAATCTATGACTGTGATCGTGCGAACGTTGGTTGAGGATTTGACTGGTCCAACCTGTTTCGAAGGCGCATCGGGATTTTTCTGGATAAAGGATTGGTAGTTCGCCTGGCCTTTATAGGTGCCGTCTGATTGTGTAGCAGCAATGGGTCGCGCCTGCGTTGTTTCAGGTAGAGTCTCCGAGTTCATATTACCGTGTCTCTCATCAAACCAATTTGAGGCTTTTGTCGCATCGTTCGTGGTTATGGGAAGGACAGCAGTTGATGACGCCTGTACGTCATGCTTGGAGTGCGTTCCTGACGCTGTGGATTTAGCTGTGAGTCCAGCATTTTTCCTCCGCCGCTTGATCTGTCGGCCCTCCTCGTCCTCAGAAGACGTGAAACCGGAATCGTCGTTTATGTCAGTTGGCGACTCAACTCGCTTTCGCACCGTGGCTTTCGACTTGGGTCCTCTTTTCCTAAACGTTGCAGCAGGGACCTCGGGTACAGGTCGCGGTTCTTCCATTTAGGATGGCAGGCTGTTTCACAGAGAGACCTGTTATGGGTGAGAAGGTAATGGAATACGTGGGAGCAAGTTCACATCCCGCAGCGTGCTTCCGAAACGCAAGCCAAGAATGATCACATAATCCATAATCTCATGCCTAGTAGCCCTCAATCAGAAACTTGAGGATCAAAATGACTAAACCATCAGACCACTACGTAGTAATAGGAACTGAACCAGAAAAGGGACACATCAACCACCCACCAAAAGGACAGCGCTTGGGTTTCGAACCACACTTAAATGATGTATCCCTATTGACTGAACCCATTTCGTGTTAATTCGCTCACTCAATCAGGTCCCGCTGATTAGTAATCAAGAGGAGCTCTGGTGCGGGGTGTTCGGCCGCTTTCCCCTCTATTTCCCTTCTCTCTTTCCCCCACTACAATACTACTTTGACCTTCCACAATCCTCTCACAAGACCAAGAGCTTGCCGTCGTGGTGCATCCACCATTTTCCTCGGTCTTCTCAACATCTTCTCTACTGCTACCTAACTCTCATCTAATTCTCGAGAATGCCGGACAACAACGGCTACAACATTACCAGCTCTGGTACCAACTCCCAGGTTAGTTTTAGATTTGTCTTTGGCATGCATCCTCCCGATATCTGACCTGTTCACACTCACCAGGGCAACCATTACTGTTCTCGAGACTATGGTTCTTCAGCAGCCAACTCGAATTCTTACCACTACTCCAACACGTAAGTTTGCTCTGCTATTAGACCCGTTGGTGCATATGATGTATTTCACTGCACCTTGTACTTCCGATTGATAGTCTGAAGCTGATGTTCATCATTTTCTCATGGGCCTGTTACTTCGTTGATTGTTGCCTTCTTTCCTAGCTCGATTCCCCTAGCACCGTATTGTAGCCCACTAAGTTGTTATAGGGATGGTTCATACTACTATTCAAACTCCAATGGAAGCACCTACTACAACAACGGCCAAGGTGGTGCTACTTACACAGCACCAGGCTCTGGTGGAGAATCCAAGAAATGATTGACGGAGATCCGAAAATCTGGGACTAGCGCATCCATGGACGGGACAGGATGAAGATCACACGTGGTTGACAGCTTGTGGCTGAACTACTAACGTAGTAGTACGTTAGAAGTTTTAGAGACAAGGAGCCGCTTCAGACAAAACAGTCTGCAGGCCACAACAGATAGCATAACTCTCAATATTGTTCAGATGCTTAATCAACTCGCGCCTTATTTATCATTTCTGGTTCGGTGGCTATCTCTAATGCTGTATGGGATTCGTCATTGGCGAGCACGGGGTTCTATCCTCGCAGTCGTGCAACAAAGGTAAGTAGTACAGTAACGGACCGGATCACATGTGCAACGGATCATCCCCCTCCGCACCAGAAATGGCTTGGCGTTTTGCGTCTCCGAGCACATTTCTGTTGATCAAACATTACTGACGATATTTTGGAGTTAGAGTTGTGGCAAATAGACATTTTCTAAACAAACTTGCTTGATTCTGGCCATTGGACCCATCCCTGTGGTTAGTTCCGATGAGTACTTGTGGGATAGCCGCAAGCCAAATTTGGTGACTTGAAAATTTTTTTTGGTAGGGAGATATCGGCCCTAAACCATTGCGGATGGGGATCCATTGCACATGCGGTCTGGTCAGGGCAATGCGGCGATCGCTGTGCTCATCAGGGGTGATCAGGAAGCCACAATGATCCAAGCGGTGGGGGCCGAGCCGTGAGATGCCTTGCGTGGTGCCTTGTGAGCCTGGTGACGACTGCGCTTCTTCCTTCTTAGCCTTGATTATTATTAATCTATTTTTTCCCGTTTCATCGGGAGCCTGAATATTTGGGCGACAAAATCCTTCATCAGCTGTACCAGGATTCCATCCTCCTGGCGTGACCAACAAAAGACCACACTTCTTGGGTGCGAGGATCAGGAAAAAGCCATGACAGCCACAGAGAAGCATAGCCACAGCGACAGGCACTGAGGCTGTCATACTCATACTTGGCTGGATCGATTCAAGTCGTTGTAGCGGTCGCTGCTCGTTGTCCTAGTCAGGGATTAAGCGTCTCCCATGGGGCTTTCAACCGCATTTTCTGAAACCTTCTCTCTTTTCTCTCTTGCTCACCAATGTAGATTCTCGCAGGTTTCATTTCCAGCAAATACGGGTTTCGCTGCATGATGAGGAAATCTCCTGAAGCATACCTAGTAGTTGGAAGTTCTGTTTCAGTTCGAGCCGCTTTTCTCGAGCTAGGCCACTAAGGCAGCTACTAGGCCTGGCACTTTTCCAATCTAAGCGCTGACATGCCCAGCCAGCAGCTTGTGATTGGTGGGCCTGGTGGCTGTGTTGGCTGTGTATATCCAAGCCGCATCTGTTCTTCACCATCGTGCTCTACAACACTGCACACTTTCTGCCCCATCCTTCGTTCTCAGTATCCTGTCTTTCCTAACCGCTTGTACTACAAGCACCAACCTCTCTCGCCTTCTGAAATTGGTTTGTCCGACATCACTTTGTGGCGCGGGGAGCTATTTCTCGATCAGTTTGATGCAATTGGGCACTCTTCGATTTCTCCGGAATCAGCACTATAGTTCATCCTCTGCTATGGCTACATGGGGTTAGTTGAAAAGTTTGGGACCCCAGTATCCCGTTCTGAGTGCTCCCTTCACAGCTGAGGTCCTCGATATCAGCCACTCTTTCAACCCACCCCAAAGAGCCTGGTCCCAGGTCTCAGGTCTCGATGCCTTGACAAGCCTCCAAGCCGCGTACTACCTTACACCTGGTTCATGGATTCCCATGACCAGGGTGAGGAAATTGGTCGCTCAGGCTGCCATGTTGCCTTACAAAGGTAGGCAAGCGATTACCCACTTGGCTGTGACGTGCATTCTTCTATCCCTTGCATGCTTTTCTCTACCAGTAATGCATAATTCTGCGTTCGTCTATCGAAGACATTCATCCAATCTTCTGCCGGTTGCTGCCTAGCATTTATATGATATACTGCTTTAGTTATCACATCGAATATCGCGAAGCTATTATTAAGATCTCTTGGGAGTCATTCTTGCCAAATCCCTGCCGTTCTTGAAACTGTCAACTTCTCTATCAATCTACCATCCAAATAGGAATGTTATCATCCACTGAAACCACTTTTGCGTGCTTGCAGTGACGTACGCCTGCTTGTCATTCAAGTGTTAAACACAAGATTGCGGAACTATTTGCGCCAATATTGCCCGTCATCACCACGAAAGCGAGCTACACTCAATATCCATCGCAATCCTTAATTTCGAAGCTTCCCTGGGCGGCTCCTGTCCTTGTATATGTGCCGGAAGAGCATTTGGACGAAAACCTACGATCTCTTCGGCGTGGACAGAATTGAAGAGTGGATCTACTGCCACAACAGCAGAAACGACGAGCCTTGCCGAAGGGTATTCATCCACGACTACGGTGACATTAATATGGCACCCGAAAGACCTCGTTCAGTGGAGTACGACATTCCCTTTGGACCTCGGATTATCGAACGGAAACCCGAAGGCGAGGTACGTGAAATTGCTATTCCCAGGTGAGAAGGACATTCGAAGAAGCTGATATTTGGCTTTAAGGTTCAAGAACTATATAGATCCGCCAGACCGGTGAGACCACAGCATAGGCCTATCCTCCGACATCCGGAGCCCGAACGCATCGAAGCAGATTATGTAGAGCTGCGAGAACCTGGACGGCGACGCCCGCCACCTATCAATATTAGAAGACAGGTCGCGGACGACTTCGTCCCCTTACCACGGCCAGTGCCATCACCAAGATATCCGCTAGATGAAGAAACACCAACCTTAGAGATAAGAACTCCTAGACAGCGACCTATCATTCACACATCACCTTCCCCACTTCGGGAGCATCGTCGACGTCGAGCATCATCTCCATCACCGTCGCCAAGCCCGGTTCGTGAAGTGGAGAGGATCAGAATCTGCAAACTAGACAAGTCTGATAGTGGCAAAGCTGAACGGTATCGAGGTCGTGCCGCTGAGGACGAAATCAGGGTTGAGCGCGAACGTCGTCGCCACGTCGAGGAGAACAACCGTCACCTAGCGGAGAGGGCATCTCGCGAGGCTTCAGAGCGTCGTCGGGCCCAAAGAGATGCTCAGAACGCTATCGCTCAAAGAAGAAGTGCCGAGATAGCGGCTGCGGAGCTACAACAGCAGAACGAGCGACTAGATCGTGCGCGACGACTTGCGGAACGGGAAGCAGCTATACTCGAGCGAGAACGATTGCGGGAGCGAGACCGATTGCGGGAGCAAGAAAGAGTTCGCGAAGTATCTGGACGTCCTCAAGGAGCCTTTCGGCTAGCAAGAGAACCCCTTCGATCACCGAGAGACCCCATCCATCTTACTACAGATCGAGGTGCACAAGTCATTCAAGCAGCCCAAGCCAATCAACGTCTCCGGCACAGGGAACGGAATTCCTACCATGATTATCATGATTAGGGACGAAGAATTGACGAAGACCGTCACGACTGATGGTGTCCACTGCAGAGCCTGAGCGTCAGGCAATGAGCTGGGAGAGCATAAGGGGTTTCTTGTTGTTTTCTGTTGTTTTCTGTTCTCAGGTGACATGAAATGCTGGCTGTGATTCTTCATGAGGAGCTCTGGCGCTTGGACAAGTGTGATGTAGGAGAATCTGTTTGAGAATACGGAGTATGGCGATGGCGATGGCGATGGCGTTGGCGTTGGCTTCGAAGGACATTTTAAAGTGATACCCCCTGCATATGGTGGCGTTTGGCATTTTTAGTATAGTGCAGAGGCATTTCGGAGGCTATCACACGGAGTCTATCATCATTTGCCAGCATTTCCGCTAGAGCTGCACTGAATCGGAGAGGGACCTGCCATCGCACACATCGCATACATCCCTGGTAGCAATATCCAATGCCAGTCAGTGTATACGTAGTATTGTACTCGTAGTGGGAGCACTGATCTGTCACGAGAGCCAGCCTTGAGCCTGACCCAGTAGGTCGCGTTCCTGCATAATAACTTGAAGTACGGAGTAAGCTGGGATGCGATGACGGTGATCCCTTGTCGAAGGATAGGCTCCTCATCTGTCCTGACGCCACGGTTCTGACTTGGATCTTTTTGCCTCACCCCTTTCTCCTCTGGCCCAGTGTGGTAATACGCGCAACTCTAGTTCTCAACACCACCCAACCTGCCCTCTAGCTACTGCCAAAACCTGATACAGCAGCAGCCTCCCAGTTTGTTTGCCTACCCAATACGTCGAAAAAGCGAGGATTCCAAGGCCATCGTTGACTAAAGTGCTGCAGATGTAGGACGACTTTCATCATCCACCATCATACATTGGTTCATCAACCCTGGTCTTCTACCCAAGTCTTCTACCCGAGTCTCTGCATCCCATCCGAGCAGAGCGGAGCTTGTGTGGCGCAAAGAGGCACACCAGCAGACCACAATGAGTCTCGAGACCTTGGACCTCGTCCAAACTCCGCACCTAAGTCCGCAGAGATCCTGTCAAACCAACCATAATCTTCAAGGCGATCCGTTGCGACAATGGGCAGCTCCGAGCCACGGGAGGTGAGGAGTGAGGCAACGTCTGCCGAGAAACTGTCGAAGGACGCGACCTCTCCTCCTCCTACTCTTCCCTCTGCCCCAGACCCTTCCACCGACCCCGGGGTGGTCCCTCCGCTCGCATCACCTCCACCCGATGATGGGAGCATGCCAGAAAACCTAGACATCTTCGGTCTCTCACCAGTGGCTGCTCTGAAGATGCTCTGCAGAAGCATTGACTCTCTAGTCAAGCTGACCGGGGATATACCTCCGACACCCCCAGTCAGAAGCAGAAATGGCTCACCTGTGCACTCGCCGTCTCCGGGAAGCAGATCGAGGAACGCGTCGAAGGAGAACATTGCCTTTTCGGCCGGGCAGAAGAAGGAGGTTCCAGAAACCGCTATAGGGAGTCCAGAAGCCCACCAGAATGAGCCCATACATGTCGTTGGGGCGCATGCTGAGCCAGTCCACATCCAGCAGGGTGCTATTGCACGGAAATTCTATTCGAAGAGGCCGCCTCCTATTTCCACCGAAGCATACCTGATGCGCATGCATAGATACTGCCCAATGTCTACCGCTGTCTATCTCGCCACAAGCCTCTACATCAACCGTCTAGCTGTGGTAGAAAGAGTGATTCCTGTCACACCTCGCAATGTGCACCGGCTTCTGCTGGCAGGTCTACGGGTAGCTATGAAAGCTCTGGAAGATCTGAGTTATCCGCATAGTCGATTTGCCAAGGTCGGAGGAGTAAGTGAGGTGGAGCTTGGAAGGCTGGAGATAACTTTCTGTTTCCTCACCAATTTCGAACTCAAGGTGGACTCGGAAATGCTGCAAGAAGAAGCCGACGCTGCGTCACTTCGAGAGGGCGAAGCGGTCCAGGAACTGCCTGCAGGTCTCCAGCTGGTATTGCCCAAGGGTGAAAAGAGGAAGGCCTCCTCGGCGCTGCCTACCAGACCTCTCATGCCGGCGGTGGAAGCGACATCGTAATCATATATGTGGTCTAGGATCTCGGATCAGGCAAAGCAACATACTACGTGGTCAAGATGGAGCATAGATATACGGCATGTCGGGTAACAGGAGCTCATATGGCGTAAAGCGTAATATGGGCTATCAGGGGGAAGAGTCAGGTTGGCGCGTTATAGCTCTTAGTCACCCTTCTCCGTACTTCTTCATGATCATACATACACCAACAAAGATCAACCCTCTGAACCGTCTCCATACACTGTCACCCAGAGTATTGCCCCATAGTCGATGCTGTGGAGACTGCGGCTGACTACGGAGTACGGCGGCGGAAAACATGCGGACGCCCCAGCTGCGGCTCAGAAGCTTAACCGAGAAGTTAGTTAGTAAGTCCCTGGAAGCGAGCCACTTGGTTCTAGCCAGATAACTGGGCAGCGACAAGGCAGTTCCATGTGAGATGTAAGATTGCAATCACCAGGAAGTCCGACTTCGATATCCTCTTCATCGAGCAGCCATACTTCGGCATCGCTATGTCTGTCTCATCTGATCATACATGTAGGCCGAGGTGACCATGGTATCCACACCTCGAGCGACCTCTGCAGACGCTGCTCATACTCCTTCAACTCTCAGCTCTACAACAGGGAAAGCCGCAGCAAACTCCTCAGAAATAGGCCTGGGAGATGTCGAACTCAGCAACGTACAGAATGGATCTGCGAATCCTCCAAATAACCCTCTGGAGTACGATATCATGCAATGCGCCCGGCTTGGAGAGACCGGCTTGATACAGAAGATGCTCGAGACGGGAAGATCTCATGCGCAATACAAAGATGCGGAAGGCATAACACCTCTCCATGTATGCTCTCACGAGGCTCTGTAATCGCGGGACTGTCTGATGTCTTGTGAATAGTGGGCTGCCATCAATAACCAATATGCGACGTGCGAGTTCCTCATCAAAGCCGGCGCAGACGTCAACGCCAAAGGTGGAGAGTCGGGCGCGACGCCTGCTATGTGGGCAGCTCAGAGGTGTCATTACTACGTTGTGAGCTTGTTGCTTCGGTCTGGGACCGATCCTCTCCTCGTTGATGGTCAGGGCTACAATATCCTCCATCTTGCAACCATCGATGGCAATGCCTTCCTCTTGGTCCTGCTTCTCCATCAGGAGATTCCTGTCGACACCACCGATCCGCAAGGCCATACTAGCCTGATGTGGGCAGCATACAAGGGGTTTCCCGCCTGTGTGGACCTGCTACTCCGGTGGGGTGCAAATGTGAACGCAACAGATGAAAAGGGACTGAATCCGCTGCATTGGGCACTGGTCAAAGGCAGTCAGCCATGCATACAGAAGGTGATTGAGTACGGTGTCGATCGTTTTGCCCAAACACTCGAAAGCAAAACCCCTGCCACGGTGGCCGATGAGATGAGATCGACGAGGATGTGGCATCGAGCACTTTCAGAATGTGGCTATGATGAGGACGGCAATCCGAAGACATTGCCCTTAGGCTTGACGTCCCTTGTGAAGGACCGACGCGTGATGGCTAAGTTCTTCTTTCTCTGGCCATTCCTGAGCTTGTGGGTTGCCATCTCCATACTCAGTGGAATGCCGATCTATGCCGGCCTGCCCATCACAGTCGTGGTGTCATTCGTGCTCCAGAAGTTTGTTGTATATCTTGCTCAATGGGGTCCATCAGAATACCGCCATATCCACCATACGCCATTTCTAGCTGGAGTTTTTGCAGGAACCCTTTTCTGGGTGGGCATTCGGTGGGTCTTTTCGATTGTGCCAATAACATTTACCTCACATCCGGTTTTCAACATCGTCTTCGCCACATCCTATGGTCTCACGACCTACTATTTCTTCACCTCCCTCCTCGAGGATCCAGGATATGTGCCCAAACTGCCTAGCCGAAACAGTCAGAAGAAAGCCATTGAAGAGTTATTCAGTCTGTGGAAATTCGACGAAGACAACTTTTGTGTACACTGCATGATCCGCAAGCCGTTGAGGAGTAAACATTGCAGGCGTTGTGGTAGATGCGTTGCTAAATATGATCAGTAAGTCTCTCAGACCGGTGACGGATCATCAGGCGGGGAGCTAATTGCCAACAGCCATTGTCCATGGATCAACAATTGCGTGGGCACCAACAATCTGCGCCATTTCGTTCTTTATCTTCTTTCCATGGAGATAGGCGTTATCATCTTCATCCGGCTCGTCCTCTTCTGTAAGACTCCCTCTCCGCAAATCAGCGGTTCCACCATTCCAATACCTGTACAATACTGATCTCTGATTCATAGACATCGACCTCCTTCCCACCCCGGCCTCAAACAACATCCAATGCAACATCCTCCCACCCAACCTCTGCAGTCTCCTCCTCCGCGACCCCTGGACAATCACCCTCTCCCTCTGGACCTCATTACAGCTCATCTGGATCACCATGCTCCTGGTGGTGCAATTCGTGCAAATCTCCCGCAACCAAACCACATATGAGAACATGAAACGTCACATCCAGTATCAGCCACAACCGCCAATCGGAGGCGTCGTGACAGCGGGTCTCGTCTCCGGCTCCACGAGTCTCGGCCCTGAAGGTGCCGGCATGCTTGGTAGCTCGAATGCATCTGCCAGCGCTGCTCAGAGGAAGAAGGAAGGCTTCTTGTCTCAATGGACGAAGCTTTTGGGGCTGGATGCTTTTGTGGCTACTGCCTCTGACACCTCGGCTACAGCCAACGGCAGGAGGAGACGGAGGGGGAATCCATACTCCAGGGGTGTGGTGACGAATTGTAGCGATTTCTGGTGCGACTCCACCGCGCCTTATTTCGGGACGAGAAAGAGTGGAGCGGGGATGGCGGTGGGAGAGGGGATGCTGGGTGGCCAGGTGGTCGACTATGCGAGGTTATATGATGTTCCGATCAGGACTACGGGGAGGGGAGGACGATGGTGGAGGGGAGGAGGGCCAGGGAGTGGGAGAAGGGATGGAGGGATGAGGTATGAGGCTGTTGGTGATGGTGGTGGAGAAGAGGATAGGGAGGGTGTTTGACGGTGTGTATGTATATTGCACACTGCATTGAGCAAGAGAATTTTTTCATCCTCCTCGTCATGCTATTTTCGTATTCATTCCTCGAGTGAAGGACTTTTTAACGTCACTAAGTTAGGTACTTTCAAGAGCTAAGCGATGTCGGTAGTTATAGGTATAGCGCTGTGCCCATCCAAGGGAGGGGGGGTTTATCAAGTAGTTGTCACTACTAACTAGAAATCCCACCTAAGAAAGTCGCCAGCATAGGTAAGTAATATCAGCGGGCCTGTGGCCTGCAGCCCTCGGGCGTCAAGGGCCCTAAACCAACTACGGCATCCATCCCCCCTGGACTTGACTTACTGACCTACTGGAAGCTACTGCGGGAACCCGCTGAATGAATGAATGACTGACTGACTGACTGACTGACTGACTGATGGCAGCGTGGTTCCTGTTTCTCAAAGGAAGGAAGGAAGGAAGGGGGCCTAGAACAGTATTCTCCCCATTCTACTAATTGGTTAACGCGTCCGTTGCTGAACGGGTTGTGAAGTGAGCTCTCAGACCCGGTGGTTAGAGTCGGAAAGATGTTTGATGCCAAGAAGCTCTTGAGAAGCTCTCGAAAATAAAAAAAAGTTGCGAGGAGGGCGTTTCGGGGCCGCTGCCTCCGTGCTGAGACGCCGTTCCGTTCGGTGGGTGGTCTGGTCGAGCCTGATAGAGTTGATGAGAATTGTTGTGGGAGTGGAATAAGGCTTTTACCTTTTATTATATCCTTTAAAGGATAGTTTCTAGATCTAATAAGTGGAGTACGCGGAGAGCATTTGGAATATTGAGCCGTTGGATGTGGAGAAATAGAGAGGGCGGGACAGGGCTTACCAGAAGTCGATCGATTGTGCTCAAGCAAGGATCACGAACGATGAACAATTTTCGACGCCATCAACTGCCAAGATAGTTGATGATGAACGAGGCAGGTTTGCAGATATCTGCTCCATTCGTGTGTCAGGTTGGGATCAGGTTGCAAGGCATCCACGGGCGCCTTTTTCACTAGATTATGGCTCCTTGGACGCGTATGACAGCATGGTGCCGTTCGAGCATGTTTGCTGAAGGGTGATGTGACAGTTGCACAGCATAGCATGATCGCCTTGCTGAATGGTCAAAGGGTGGGTCGACAAATAGTTGCTAGGGTTTTTGTCATATTGAGGTCTATGTAGCAGCTTGTTGACTTCAGACTTCATTTTCTGCGCCTCTACATCACGGACAATGTGACAGCAGGCCATAGCTCACCATATCGACAGTGTGTATTATCAGGCTACACATCAGCCATGAAGCTGGCCACAAATTCTTCGCCCATACCTTGGCCTTAGCGGATGCCTGACTTCCATACGTGCAGAGTCTGTTGAGACAGCCCCCAGGATTTGTCTCATGAGGTTGTTTATCCCACTTCGGCATTAACCAGTTGCGATAACTGCGCGCTTGGCCAGACTTGGCCCTAGTCCCGAAATGGGAGGAACTCAATAGTTGATGCAGGTTTGCGAATCATTCGAGGCTCGGGTGTATGGGTGGAAATCTCGTACTGGATTGAGGGTCGATGATATCCTTCCAGTCTTTTCCACGAACTGGTTCAATCCATTCACAGTCCTCATGGTCTCTGGAAAAATGTCAACTCGCGCCCAGAAGCGTGAGGCTCCAGAAGCCAGTGAAGCATCATCTTCTGTCGCACGCAAACGCCAGAAAACCCAAGCCATTCGTGCAATACCTTCCCAATCCACTGATGCTGCCCTCTCTGTTACAGGCGAGCTCGATGTCGCGTCTTTTGTCAAGGCTCGAGAGTATGAAATCAATGCCTTGGAGAAGAGCATGCAGAATACCAGGCATGGTTTGACTACAAGAGCATTCCAACAGGTTCCTCGAAAGATGAGGAGGAGGACAGCGAGTCACAATGTCAAGAAAGTGCCCCGGCGGCTACGACGACGTGCAGAGAAAGAGGTCAGTTAGATGGCAACTCGAGGATAAGAATATCGACTGACGGTCAAGCTGACGGAGTGGCCTGATGTCAGATGAAAGAGGACAATACACCCACGGTCACCGCACGACGGAGAATACCATCCACGAAGATGCGCCTGCGACTACAGACGGCGAAGCGGATTAAAGCGATGAGCAGCAAACATAAAAGTGCCAGGGCAAGGAAGAAAGAAGCGAAGCGCAATGCTCAGGAGACGGATCCAGAGGCTCGTTTATCAACAACGATAGTCCCTAGGATCAAGAGAAATCGCCTCGCAGATCCTCCCAAGGCAACATCGAAATTTAAAAAGCGTCAGATTCACAAAACTTGGTTGCCGACGCATCTATGGCATGCGAAACGTGCACATATGACTAGACCAAGTGAGCCGCTCTGGCGAATGGCAATCCCCCTGAGTCCTACAGAGAAAAGTTATAGGCCGAGCCATCGAGCAAGTGGAGGACGAGGCGCTGTTGCATGGGATATGAGCTACATGGCTACGATTGGTTGTGAGGGACCGGAGCCTGCCTTGGTTGCCATGTTGAAGGCAGTTGGATTTGGCCGGGATGATCTGTGGGCCAGCAAAGGCAAGCGGTGGAGAAACGGTGTGAGAAGTGCAAGTGGATGGGCATATGAAAGGGATAACGATAAAAGGACCATCACACCGATGACCGTCCTCTGGGAATACCAACATAACAAGAGTTCAGTTGATAGCTCTCAGGAACCCATGGTGGACACAATCGCAAGTGAGATGGAGCATGCTGCAAATCGACACGCAAGCAATCCGTCGCTGCCAAATAAGTTCAAGCCGGCGAAGAAGAAAGTCCTCCTCCGTGTCCATCCTTCTGCATTTCACCAGTTGTGGACCGAACTATTCAAGGTCGCGAAAATGCAACGTCCTCCAATAGTGCTTGAAGACCTCCGTTTCGAGATTGCAAGCCTTGAGGTGACTGGACCTGCGTCTACGGAAGCCCTTTATGCAGTCTTACAACCTACTGTAGCCTCGGACGAGCCAATACCTTCCTCAGCACGGACGTGGACTAGGTTGCCAGGCCTTACAAATCCTGCGTCCCTTCCTCTAGGAGCAATTTTAGGCTTCAAGACCTCAGATCCACGACTGACCCATCCGCGCAAGCCGATAGCGATCAAGACAGACCAGAATAGCAACGACGAGCTTACGGATCTGATGATGGACTGGCCTCCGGACAATGGGGTGGTCCAGGCTGATATCTTTTCGCACAAGGCCCGCAGAACAGCTTCAAGATCGTTGCCCTCTCAGAAGGCGGTCAATCGGCGAAAAGGCCTGACCCTGCCTGGAGAAACTCCTGAACCGAAGGAGACTGATCCTCACGTACCGGTCATGCTCCTGGCATGTCGTCCCAATCCAAGTGCAAGTGGCGCGCAAGGCACATGGACTGTTCTCCTACCATGGAAGTGTTTAGATCCCATCTGGCGCTGCTTGATGTATTACCCCCTCAGCAGTGGAGGAACTGTCAGATTCGGCGGGCTGGATGAGACAAGACAGATTGCCCTCGAGCGAAACGAGCCATGGTTCCCTGGTGACTTTCCGGCTACCGAAGCTGGGAAGGCTTGGGAAAGAACTGAGGCCGAGAAGCGATACAACATCTGGAAACGCAAGCCGCCTAGTCGCAGGGTAAACTATGATGCATTAAAGCTTGACAATAAGGGGAAAGGCGAGCATGGAAACGGCTGGGCTTGTGATTGGAGTTTCCTGCTAGGCTTCGATGTGGACAAGTCCAATCCTCATCCACACGTCGAGGAAATAAGCGGATCTACCAATATTGCGAGCTCGGAGCATGGACCATCAACCAACCCAGGCACTTTCGAAAGCAAGGATACCACCCAAGACACCAACGAGAAGCACACCCACTCTTCAGCGACATCAGCAACCCCAGTTTCGCAACTCTCTCCCGAACGAGCAAAAATCTTCCTCGACTCCTCATTCAACACTATCCCAACTTCGCCCACGAACAAGGCCCACCTAGCAACAATCCGCATTGACCTTCTCACCCGCGGCACTCCTTTCCCTTGCGCACGCATCTACCGTCTCCCCTTCCGTTCCTCATCTGGCACGTCCGCCCTTTGCTACAAATGGCTAGCCCTAGATTCCCACTCCAATCCCTGCACCAAAACCAAAAAAATCAAGACAAATTGGCGTGGCGACACCGCCAACCACTCCGCCTACCCCAACGAATACGCCGAGATCAACGCAATCAACTACCAACCTCCGAACATGGTGCCTGAAGCCATCGTAGAGCTCGAGAAAAAGAAAGGCGAGTTGAGGGCGAAGAGGGAGAAGTTTCAGAAGCAGAAGCTTGAGAAGAGGGCTAAGGCAGGCGGAAGGGGTGAGGAGGACATTGAAGGGATGACGGCGGAAGAGAGAGAAACACTGATGGAGGAGTTGATGAGGCCGAGTGCGGATAAGGATCAGGATGGATCGGTGCCGGATTGCCCGGGGGGGGAGGATTTGATCGGGTTCGTCACAAGTGGAGGGTACAACTTGAGGGTTGGGAGGGGGACTGGTGTAGGGGCCATTTGGGCGGAGAGGGTGCTTGAGGGGTGGGGCAGGGGGTCACAAGACATGCAGGGAAGAGGTGCAGGTAGCACAAGAGACGTAAAGAGGCTGGACAGGGAGAGGAGATTGTGCGTTGTTCGCAATGCTGGGGAGACGGCGGGGAGACTGGGGCTTTGGGAGCTGTGTGAGTAGCTAAGGGGTGAGCGGGAGGTAAATACAGACTGAAACATGGCCAGATAGAGATGTATACGTCTTGCTGCTAGCCAAGGACAACAGGCTCTGCATTACAAGCCTCTCTACCATCTAGTCACTACGAATTACATCGTGACTGCGATATGTCCTTGTCTTATGTCTGTCCTCCTGAGAGTCTTTGCGCTACAAAAGGCATGTCCCCAACTCTATCAGGGGCTGTCGCCTCGTCATCGTATTGTCTCTGGCATCACCGGCCCTCATCGCAACGACGATACGTGTATTACTCAACCCTGCGAAAGATCGGATTTCGTTTCCCTGCCCATGCCGGACACTTAGGCTGGCCCAAGCTGGTTGGCATCCGTGCCGTAAGAACATCGTTCGAGGTTGCTAGGACTTTCCATCATTGGAGTAGCAGAGCAACGCATTGCCGGTTTGCCAGTCCCATCCAATTCACCCAACTCATTGCTGACGGATTTCGCCTTGTCATGTTGACTTCTAACAGATGCCTTGTGCTTGATCACACCTCCTTCCTGACAAGCCAGGCCCCGCCAGGCCTTAGCTTCCTGTAATACCCCTGTACCAACACGTCCCTCGCAAATCCCCTCTTCTCATACCACTCCAACGCCTCCTCGTTACTCTCCCACACATGCGCGAATATGAATTGCACGTTACACTGTCTCAAGACCTCTTTGTCCCGTAATATATTCTCTAGCAGTGCTGCGGCGACACCTATGTGTCGATAAGGCGCCAGCAGGCACAGGGCTTTGATGTAGATCTGGCAGTAGATTGGACTGGTGTTCTGTTGGGGGAGGGTGGGTTTGGGGTAGGGTTCGAGCGAGCAGCGGATCCAGCCAATGGGTGTTGGGAAGGTGGAAGGGGAGCTGGGAGGGGTGTAGAGGGCGACGCGGGAGATTGGCGCGGCGGTAGGGTCGGAGATGGCGTCGTTGTAGAAGGTGTCTGGGTATTTGATGGGGAGCAAGGTAGAGGTAAGACGTTTGAGGGCAGGTAGGTGGTCTGGGTGGATGGATTTTATGGTTATCGAGGGGCAGTGTGGCAGGGAGAAAGCTGTTTCGGAGGCTGGAGATGGAAGCTGGTTTGTGATCGTCCCGGTAGTCTCTGAGGATTGCCGTCTTTTCTCCTCTTCGTTGCCATTTACGGAACGCTTTCCGCCAGCTTCATTGTTCGAGGTTGTCAATGCCCCAACTGTGGGTGTCTCTGGGGCCAGCTGTTGCGTCGTGGTCCTTTCAAGCAAGACGCCCTTTGTTCTGATCTCGTCCTGATGCCTCGAAGGTGGTACATTCCTCGGCTTCAACGCAGGTAAGGAGCTAGGAGTGCCAGTAGTTGAGCTGCCTAGAAAGCTTAAGAGCGAGGTCTGTGGCATTGTTTGACGATCAGGATATGAGCAGCTATCCAAGCGCGTCTATTAGGGAATAATGACGTGTGGAGCTAGAAAGCGGGACGTGCCTAGACCCATCTAAAGCTTTACCACTTTAGGCTTGACATGTGAGTCCCTGCAGATTGCTATGAAGTAAGCTTTCAGGTTTGCGGGTGACCTCCCTGCCATCTTATTTCGTCAAACTACTACCTGCTTCTCTTTTACTTCATACAATCTTGTAGGGTGTCCTAGCGGACTTTCGTAAATCAGGGAAAAAAGCTTGTAATGTACTAGGCGCTATTCTGGAGTACCCTATGCTAACTTACATGTCAGGCTACTGTATTTATCTCAACCTGGCGTTAAGGACCTGACGGGCACCTTGTCCGCCTAGGGGAAATATATCCTTTTCATCAAATTCGACCTTCTGTCAATTCGTTTCTAAGAGCTTCCTGTAAATTTGAGATACAGGCGTACATCAGGTCATACGATACGGATGGAGGAGCAATTACAGGAGTAAATCACAGGGCTTTGGTGCAAGGAGGAGGAGGGGCCCTTCAGGTACACTTCGATACTTGCCTTACACGGTATGTACTCTTTCGGGCCGGTTGTGACAGTCCTATTCACCTTATTACCTATTCATCTTCAATGGTATTCACACGATGATTCATGCCTGCCCACTGAATGGCACAATGCCGTCAATGGCACAATGGCTATTATTCCTCACTGTACCACGTCTATATCTTGCTCTTCAAGGCCACAGCCGCACTCAAACCACCTAACTGTACACACATCTTCCCCGTCTTTCTTGTCTTTCTGCGCAGTTGCCGGACAATTGCCTTTACGACTTCTATCTCGACATACTTCTTCGTGTACTACATATTATTTTCTATCACAATGTCTCCCAAAGCCCCCAAGGTCGAGCCATTGAGCCCAGATCATTGGGACAAATTTGCACCTCCTATTGACCAGGATCTATGGAAGAGATACATGAATGAAGATGACTCTAACAGCGACGAGTCAGACACGGAGCAAGAAGACACGATGGCTGGTCCATCGGCCGACCCGAGAGGCGTGAAAGGAGACGCACAAGAAGTCAAGCCGGTCTCCAAGGCCGAGATGGTAAGCTATTTTATCCCTTCTTTCATGAAACAGCCGCCCTTGTGCAGCTGGTCTGGACCCTCAGGGTCTTCAAGGCACCAAGGCGTGTAGCCGGAACATGAAATGCTTCATCTTTGCTATCATTCCGCCGCGGTCGTTGATTACCAGAAGCTGACCTATTCACAAGATCAAGGAAGTCCTGGATGATTCCTTCAATGAAATGATCTACAACATCTTGGACGGTAGTTCTACGGGAGAAGCTGCCAAAGAAGCCAATCCTGCACCCGAGAAGGCCGGGACGAGTGAAGTCAGTGATAAAACGACCACAAAAGACACGACTTCCACATCGAGCGAGGCCAAGCCTTCCAAAACAAGTAACGACAATGAAAGCTCCTCGACCAAACCCTCCAAATCCGAGTCAGCCCTCCAAATCTGCAGCAACTGCAACCTCCCGCGCCTAAAATACCCCCGAATCGGCCTGACATCCCGCCCACTACCCGACCCAAACGCCTCCTACTGCGCCAACGAGCCACCTGTGGTCCTCGCCGGCCACGACGTCCACGGCAACGCCTTCCCGGGCTTCAAGCCCAAACCCAACGCCGCGGCTGCTGCATCCAGCACCTCCAAAACCACCAAACCGAAGCCAAATGGCAGTAAATCGGACAAGAAAGCAGCAGCGGCAACAGCAGATGCCTCGTCGCCTTCGGGCTCTCAAGACTCGTCCACCCCGTCGACCTCGTTCGAGTACCCCCAGATCCGGACGCCGCAGATGAAATGCCCGAACAACTGCGGGCAATGGAAGGCGGTCAATGTGATGGCGAAGCATCTGGATGCGTGTCTGTTGGGCAAGGGGAGGAGAGCGGGGAGGGAGGCGAGAGAGAGGATTGGTGCTGGGACAGGCACAGGGAACGGGACGCCGGTGGAGGGGAGTAGGGCGGGGACGCCGAAGCCTGGGACTGCTGGTGCCGGGGCTGGAAGTGGGAATGGGGGCGTGAAGAGGAAAGGGGTGGATGAGGAAGGGGCCAAGGCTGGGGGTAAGAAACAGAAGAAGGGGAAATAGGCCCGTTTCGGCAAAGATAGTGGTAATTCTCTTAGCAAGTCCGCATTTGGGCGGCGTTTGATACCCCCTTTTTGGGAAGAATTGAAGGGGAAAGTGTGCGAATGGGAGCGTTTTCGGTGAAATGATTTTCCTGGGGACTGTTTCATGTTGGAAATGTGATCACTGGTCTTGTTCAATACCATGGTGTTCTCCAGGTATACACAAAATATGCAAAGGGATTTCGGCTTTTCTGGATCAGAATATTAGAATGATATACTGATGTCAGATCCTTCATCTCATGACGCCCCCTCATGTATACCACCAAGCCATATGATATGGAGGTCAGCTCTCAGAACGAGAAACCCCTACTGAAGAGCTCTGATAGCATTATGTCCTCCTAGTGTGAAGATATATCGTGAAATAGTAGTTGGGATTTCAGCATTATCTTGTAGTGTTGAATCTACATGAATTTCTAGTTCAAAATCTTGCAAACAAGACTAATGATCACAGCATTAGGCAACCCTGCTCAGCTATACATGAAGCTGAATCGGAACATTGATGTTGGGAAGAGGGATTGCATCAGTTTGAAAGATTTCTCATTGCTACTTTTCCAGCGGTAGCAGTAAAAGATTTTCATATCAAGATTGCCCCTTGGTATGCTTGTGAAAGGACAAATGCGATGCAAGGAACTCAAATTATCCAGAATTCCAGATTCATGATGTCTTTGAAGATTCGTCCCTGTCCGAAGTCTACCAGGGAGCATCCTGGATTTCATATGAATATCAACCGTGAACGGGATGTGGAATGATCTGAGAGAATAAATCGATGATGCCTTACTTAACGAAAATCATGTTCCAAAATCTTTGAAACTGGTTTCAGAATTCCTTACCATGGCGACCTGCTCCTACGTAGATAGAACGTCGACTGAGATATAGGAATCATTGACAACCCGACTCATGAAGTCTCCACTTGATGCTGAGACTCTGGATTTTCGAGGCGGGCTCAGAATATTCGTGTCATGATACACTCCTCGTGGACTCGTGAGCTGCGAATGGAGATGTCACATACACTAAATTATGACAATGCTGAAGGGGAACTGCTCGTAGCGGACTGTGCTCCTCTCCTATCGTATGCTTAACGGTGGCTGTTTTTGACTTCATTCTGGTAGTACGCATTCCGAACGCTCAGAAGCTATGACTAGTGACTAGAGTGGTTATGGGATTCGAGATGCGATATTCCCTACCTAGTCCGTGAATTCGAACCATGGGAGCATGATATAGCATTCCTATTCTCGCAGTCGTTCATGATAACAGCTCAAGAAAGATTAAGCAGAAAAGGCATCCAAGCCAAAGCATGGTATTGTGCTTCCATTCCGGTTTTCCAACTGCGGTTATTTCGACTATGACCTGACGCTTTCTGCCTCTGCTTGTAAACTGTAGTGGCAAGAAGGAGGAAAAGATAGTATCATAGTATGTATCACTAGGAGAACATCGCCGGTCTCGAACCATATACTCAGTAGTATGTAATGCACAGATCTCTGTCCCGTCCTTTTCTTTTTCTAACTGGAACACCTGCGAAACTATGCGCTTAAGGTGCTTGTCCGTATCGCTATTAGCATTCAAACAAGGAGAGGCCCAACAGGGTTCCACTAGAAAACCTTTGGTGTCCAGGGCACAGAGGCGATGGTGAAAATCCTTCGACTTTCACAATAGAGCTGCTCGCTATAGTAGCAAGATCCTTACCTGCTGTTGTTGTACTCGACCAAGGGTGGCTAGTCGTCAATATGCGAAACTTCCGGTGGGAGTAGAGAAGACAATAACCTTTTCCCTACATAATCAATAATAACAACCACCAGATCTCAAATCTTGCTTCTTGACGTCTTACAAGAGCCGGAGACGCCGATGGGCACCCAGTAGTAAAAGCTACTAATGTTCCGTATGTCCCTACCTGATCTTCAATATGGGCTTGAAAACAGGGAAGAGATGATCTGGGACAGTGAAGACAAGAAGAGCATCTGGTAGAGGAGGTAGCATTGTCTTGGTGGGACGGGTATTTTTAGAGTCGGTCATCAGCTGCCAGTAACGCAGAGAATACCACCTTGAGGTCTGGGTAAAATCCTCAATTGGAGCTCTTCGTTGTATCAGAGATATTCAACGAGATAGACTATTTTGGTTAAGAAACTGTGCTTCTCGTGTCTTGAGGTCATGGTATTCCAAACGCAGTGCCTTCTGAGCAGCAGTGTTGGGACGGAAGAAATCGGATCTAAAACTCTTGGCATAATTTCTACGGGTCCTTCTGAGTCAGAGGAGACCTCAAAGGATCTGTAGATCGGCTTCTGAGGGATGGTGGGTAACATCGACGTGCCGCAGGTCTCATCTTCCACCGGATGAAAAATTAGGTGAGCTGAAGCTGGAACTGCTTGAAGGGACCTGGTTGCGGCTACAATTGTGCTATTACTATTCCCCCGGACAAGGCGAATTATTTGCTGACTTTAGTTGCACTACTCTGGACACGAATCTGAAATATATAGAGCTCATCAGCGCAGTCATCTTCGACAGAAGTGCCCACCGCCACCAAGTCAAGAAGCAATAGCTGCTCGAGCCACATAAGGTCCCTACTTGTCCTCTAGGAGCGACCATGCGTTCAGCAACATTTTCGCGGTTAGCAACACTGATGCAGCAGACAACGTGGAGTACTGCGAATAATCATAAGCTTACCCTGCTGCCAGCCCAGCAAAGCACCTTCTCGCGGAACTTGACCACTTTCAACACCAAGGACAATGTATCTCAAAAAGCAGAACCTCAAAAGCGACAACCCGATGCCGCATCGCCGCAGAATCCATCCTACCCAACATTCAGCTTCGATGGTCTAGGCGCTAGTCGTGGAGTCAAAGTCGTTGTGATTGCAGGTTTGACGGTGCTTGGTACAATGGAGACAATTTTCTGGAGCAAGTTTTTATGGGCTAAGTTCTCACCGGTACCGGAGGGCGAGAGCAAATTCAAGAGTTGACGCAAATTATTCATGCCACCCATTCGTTCATTAATTCAGGGACCGTTGTGGGACGTCGTCAGTGGCATATTACAGGTCGTTTGCTTCTACACAAGGAAGAGGGAAGCATTGAGGATACATGGCGACTTGATGAGCAATTAGGTTGGGCAGCTTCGGAAACCACTCTATTACTCTATATCTGTACTACTATATGCAAATTCGATATTTCAGGAAATATACACTTTGAGAAAGAAGGGTGAAGACAGTATCCGTAGCAGCATAGCAAAGCGTAGTAAAGTGCAGTACAGCGCAATGGGTAAGAGTACGCTACAGCAACAAGCCATGCGTATCGTTCTGTGGAATCGTTCTGTACTGTTACACTACCGCACCCTGCAAACACTTGTGTAAAACTAGAAAAGATTCACATTTTGTTTCAAACTCTGCAAGAAATGTCCCCCCTTACAGGAGACATGGACATCATATCCCTTGTGCTATACGTATTCCTGCCATTACTGCCGGTATGACTCAGCTCCGGAACTGCTCTGTGCTGGTAAGTACTTCAATTGCAGAAAGACAAATATAAACTTCGTTGATTGAATACAAATCTTCCATTCGGTATTAGTTCAAGTGAGTGATGTCACCCAAATTGAGCCGCACGATATTAGAGGACACAGGGTCTGAAACGCGAATCAAACTATGTTAATCGACGCTACAGAACCCACTTCGCTGAGACATAGTAGTCTCATAAGCTTCTCCAGCAAAAGTTCGATATGGCAGTAATTCCTTCTAACGAAAACATGCTCATAGTAGCTCATAGTCAGGAGTGAAGAGATCCGGCCGAAATGCAAGGTCTTTGCTTTAAGCTAGTTAGGGTGATACTGGACAGGTCGAAATGTTGAATGCATACGGAGTACTCTACTCACCTACCTAAGTCGAGAATACTAGGTATTACATGTTTACAAGGTTGCATGAAATGGAACAATCGTTCAACTCTCTCTGCTTTCAAACATAGTACATCTACCCTGTTGTCCAGGAGTCACCTAAATGTAAGTTGCCTCAGATCTAATTTTATTAACTTGATCCAATACTTCTAGCACCTTGTGTAGGTAGCGTGGTATCCGATGGACAAGGCTGCGTCTCCGCCCAGAATCGTGACTCTTTTGGCACATTTTCTTTGTATACTTCCAATCTCCTATTTCGGTCGCTGCTCACAAGGTCAGATCACACAAGAGCTCCAAAAACTGTATCTTCACGGCTACTAGAGTCGAGATTTTCATCAGCCCATGGATATGTTTCTTCGAGGAAGAGACGGTGCAGCCGCGCTTTCCAAAAGGCAACGATCGAAAAGAATTTTCAGCGCTGACCATTCAGAATATCCCCCCAATGCCACCCTTGAAAAAATGTCCATGGAGATACAACGTCCTTATGTCTTGCCATCGTCACGCCCTTGCTGGCTCACAGATGACCTGGAGTACAAGTACATAGAGGAGCTCGGCCAAGGAGATTTTGCGATTGTGTACAAGGCGAAAGAAATAAAGAAAGGAAAGAAGGAAGGACGACTTTTGGCTGTCAAAATATACAAAATGAAAGTAAAACACCAAGACATAGACGAAAAAATTCTTGAGGTCAAAAAGGAAGCCATGTTGATGCATCGTATCCAAGGTGGAGTAAGTATAGCATTCAGCAAATGGAATTACTGATACAAATTGGCTTACAAAATGAGCAGCCTCACATTCTCAAAGTCGGAAACTTCCGTCACGTAAGGAGACAGCAATCGGGAACGCTGGAACTGCCTATGGACTACTATGAAAACACGCTTCAGCACTTGATGAACAGGACAATTGATGAGAGAGGACTAGTTTGTATGTGTAGACCACTGCTTGGACGGAAACTTCCTCGGCCTAGCAGATGCTGACACTTAACTAGCAGAAGACACTCTTGTAATTCCGCCCTGGTACAGAACCGTCCTGACTCAGATGCTTGAAGCGTTGGAGTATCTCCACAGTAAGGATGTCATGGTTGTACATCGTGATATAACACCTCAGAACATTCTATACACCAAAGTCGACAATTTCGTCCTCGCTGGATTCAGTGTCGCCAGATTTGGACGTCCCGAGTCAGAAACATTTGGCGGGACCCTCAAATACTTGGCGCCGGAAATGTACGCGGAGGCGTCGGAAGTGACTACAGCAGTAGATGTATGGTCTTTGGGTGTTCTATGTTTGGACATACTATGGTTGGTGCCCCCGGTATGTGGAGAGCCAGCACATGATTTGATGGAAGAAAAGACCTGGTTGGCCGATCTGTGTCAGATAGCCAAGGAGGCCAACAAACCTGAAATAGCGATGATGGTCGTCATGAATGACCATGAGAGATCCACAGCGGCCGCGGTTCTCCGCTTTGTGAGGACCAGCCCCAGTGCTCGGGTACAGCGTTATCCACCCAGCTCAGAACTTCTCCACTCATTTCGTCGCGCAGCCATGAGAACGATAAACGCTGTCGAGACCAATCAGAATGCAATGACGTTTTCAAGTACTTCGACTTCAACAAGAACCAGGGAAATTGGAAGGGCGCAGTCGTGGCGCTCTCCACCAGTCAGGTCAGCAAGGGGGACAGGAGAAAGTGCGGGACCTTCAGATGCCGCTGTCCCTTTGAGAAAAATAGTAAACGAGCAACAGATGCGCTCACAGCTCGGGCCGGAAATTTGGCGGCAACTTGAAAGAAACGTCGGAAAAGACGGGTTAAAGGAACTTGCAAGGCTGATCAGCATAGGCATGCAAGATTGTTTTACGGCTCAAAATTATTCTCTTCACCCAAGCGGTCCAGAAGATCAAAGGTCCCCTCGCCATGCTGGAGTTCAAAGCCAGCAGAAAGAGAAAAGGACTACACAGGCTCCTGTGGCCCCAGACGCACCGCTTTCCCGCCTTGCAGGCCCTCCGAACCTGCGTGGCGAGTCTAAAGCCGAACAAACCCCTTCGCAGGCACTTTCTCGCCAAGAAGCTCGAGGTCAGCCGAGACAGGCTATGAGTCAACGGCCTCCGTCTGAGCTTCCTTATCGCCCACAAGCTCAAAATCAGCAACAACAGGCTAAAGCGAAAGAATCTGCTTCAGAGTCTTCTGGTTCTACTGCAGCCTCAACCCAGAAAGGCAAGAATCAGTCTGAAGAAACCCTACACAAGCCTACTCGTCGTCCACAGGCTGGAAGTAAACCAGGTGAGGTTAAGGCCGAAAAGCCTAACGTCCCGTCTTCTGACCGTCAAAAGAGTACAAGAAAGCAGGAAGAGACCAAAGGAAAGGGGGCCTCTTCCTCGCCTTCTTCTAGTTAGAGAAAATGAGTCCAAGCGCCAAATTCCACTTCAGGCGATGCTCTCCTTGAACTCCTCCCCTTAACAGAGACCTTAACCGAGCAGTGTAGCACTGAAGCTAATGAGTCTGCTAGTCTGTTTGTCTCATAGAATATTAGTGAAGATCCGACTCCTCCATTTTCCAATTATTATAGACATGATTCTCAGCGAGAAGAAGGCTGAAGCTATATATCTTTCCTCTGGGCCTCCTTTTCCCCGAAGAGCCTTCTACTTCAGAAGTAGACTGCATTCTCAGTTGAACGTTTACCTTCTGAAAGATTGCTCAAGGGATGACTCCGTGGCTCAATCCAATACACAGCCTCAACTCATATTGCTCATTTACACTCCTCTGGGGTTAGACTCTATTAGTAACTCAGCGCAAAGTGGCAAAACTTCACAACCGTGGGCTGCTCACGTCCAGGCGCAGACCACTGAACAGAGCCAGGATTTGGGTGAAGACGAATGGGAGCTGATCATCAGGAGCATATGTTGAGCGTCTCGTTCTGGGAATTTGAGAGAGGGGATGGGCATCCATCTCCGTGGAATTGTTGTCAAAGAGGTTGCGTATGATCTATCGTTGATGGATTGGGTCTTTGCAGGATGTTCAACACTTATCCGTAAAAGGTGAGAAGAATTGATAACAATAGTTGGAATATTGCAGTGAATAAAAGGCGTCAACACCGCGAGCTCTCAATCAACGATCTTCTTACTCCCCTTGGTTGACTTTTATCTATCGTTACTTGTTTTCCGGTCACCTGTGCTCATGTTTATGCAGCATCCCGGTTGCTCGACAGTAAAGGCAGCACCTCCCCCGCAGAGTTTAGATTGAAACCTGAAATCTTGTTCGAAACAGAGCACTAGATTTCTGTACTCGTCTGGGTCTCAATTCCGCCACGCTTATTTGGCGCGGTTTGCGCTGATATTCTACACTGAGTATCTTAAAGCTCTCTGCAGATCGTGTTCACTCTTGCTGTGTCGTTCATTGACTTCAGAACTGATGACAGCTGCCTCAGACCAACCGGATTCCTGGTCTTTCTTCGGCAATCTCTCGTACCATTGTAGAGCCTCGTGTGCTCGGGATGGAAGATTTGTAATCTGCTCGGCTAGAAACTGGTCGAAGGAAAGCGTATCTCTTCCTTCGTTTGCGCATCCGCAAATGTAGAGTCTTCGCGCACAAGCTAGAGGCTGACTACGTCGAGGTCGATGTCATCGTCCTTCACTTTGAAGCCAGGGCTAGCACGAAATTTATAAGCCATGCACGCAAATAAATATGGCCCATTGCAAAAGTGTTGCAGCTCCTTTAGTGACTCACGCACCTACAGAGAACTATGCAAGGATCTCGAACATTATAAACTTATATCAATCTATAATTGGAAATACATCCATCTTCTACACACAAAACTTCATCTACTTTCCCATATTTGAACTTCTATAACAGAAAAGCGAGCTCAATCCAAGGTTAACAGATCTACAGCCAATGAATGATATAGCTTTTGTGTTATTCTGTTTGATATTTATGGATTCAGTATGAACAGCCAGAGCAGCAGCAGCTTTGAAGGATGAGCCAAGCAACTGCCAACTTTTGCAACGGGCAATATTTGTTGCGCCAGGCCTCGGGCACGCTTGTGAAAGTCTGTTGGGGGACCAAAAGGACCTCCGGACCGCGGCCCTCAGAGGACCCTCCGGACCGATAAATAGCTTATGTTTGACATCTGTCAACGTAGAACATGAAGTGACACTTGCATTCAAATAACAAATCATTTGCAAGAAACCCTGCGTGACCAGACTCGTCTCGAATTGTGTCAACATTCCACATCCCTTTCTTACCACAATGACTGCCCTCAAAGAAGGCGACAGCTTCCCAGAAGGTGTCGTATTCTCGTACGTGCTTGTACCCCTCCACCGAAACCCCCCACTTCCCTGATAGAAATGGTTTGCTCACCACCCCACCCAGCTACGTCCCATACACCGAAGAATCAGCCGGCATCACCTCATGCGGTATTCCCCAAAACTATAACGCATCGAAAGAATGGGCGGACAAGAAGGTCGTGCTTTTTGCGGTGCCTGGTCAGTCCCGTAGCCCAAATTGGGACTCTACCATCCGATCTTGCAAGCTGAATATCTGGGGGGTGGATCAGGCGCATTCACACCCAGCTGCTCGGTGAGGCATCTTCCAGCATACATTGAGAATTTGGACAAGATCAAGGCGAAGGGTGTTGATATAGTGGCGGTGCTGGCATACAATGATGCTTGGGTGATGAGTGCTTGGGCAAAGGCGAATGGAATCAAAGAGGAAATCGTACGTTTTCTTCTCACTGCACACTTCTCAAGAAGACGACAGCGGGGCGCTGATTGCAGCCAAACAGCTCTTCCTAAGCGATCCAGAAACCAAGTTCTCGACGGAACTAGGTTGGACGACGGGTCCGCGAACAGCGAGATATGCCATGATTATCGACCACGGGAAGGTGGTGTATGCGGAAAAGGAGCCTGGGAAGGACGTCACAGTACGTATCATGGCAAAGGCATAACGGCACATGATTACTGACGCTGGAAATCAGGTTTCGGGCGCAGAGGCTGTAATGGCAAAACTTTGAAGGTGAAGACAGGACACAACACTCAGATACCCCCCAATAGACAGAGTCCATGACTTCCCATCCTCTCAAAAACCTCCAAAACTGCAACCCATCCATATCGACGACCCAACGCCTAAAAGCCCATGAAAAAATCCGAATCCCAAATCCAACTTGACCTTGACGCCCTCCCGAATTTCAACATCTTCAACTCCCACTCGGAAACAGGTCCCCAAGACAAGCCCGGTCCAAAAACCTGCACCTGAGAACCCCCAAATTCAGCATGTTCATCCACTAGAAAGAAAGAAAAAGATCTGTCTACTCACTTGCCCCCTTTCTTCTTATCTCCCCCAAACCACTCCGGCACGCTCTGCCCACGCTCCAGGACTTCTTTTCCTTTGTTCTCGTTTCCTGCCTGGACTGGTCCCGGTTCAAATGTGTTCGGTGTATCCGCGCCTGGCGTGGCGGGGAGGGTGACGATGTCGTCTTCTCTGTTGGCTGGCGCTGGTGGTGCTGTTGTTGGTGCTGCTGGGATAGGGGCAGCGAGGACAGCAGGGAGGGTGGACGCTACTAGGAGGAGGGTGATAAGGAAGGCGGTAGGAGTTTGCATGTTGGTGGTTTGGATGTGGTGGTTTTTGATGTGAGTGCTCTGGAGGGCGTTGGAATAGTTGTTTGGGTTTTGAGTTGGACGTTGTGAGATTTGATTGACAGTGCTGGTGGTTTTTTGAGTGTTGTTTTTTTGTTTGTGGAATGCTATGGGAAAAGGGAGGGAAGAGGAGAGGGCTTATATAGGAAGGCTGCGGAGACAGGCAGGGGACCATGTGGTCAAGGTGCTCAAGGTGCTCAAGTTCAGAAGCGGGCTCAAAGGTCCTCGTGGAACGGTTGGGCTTCTATGTGGGCTTGGTGGGTACCCGATTGCTTTCTCTAGGAAAGCCGTTGAGACTGAGCTATAGCTTGAATAGTGGGTCCATATCCACAACCGTTTCCCATGCCAATTGTGTCCCCTTTCCTCGCGTTCGGGCAGGCGTCTCGATGGCCTAGGCTGTTTTTATTGCTCTGCCAGAGGCTCCATTTCACGGCATCATTGACTCATCGCTGAAGCGAAATTTCCCGGCCCTCCCATAAACGGAAGATTCGTGAGCCATCTGGTAATAGACCCGCTCCGTGATTACAGGCTTCCTTGGGCCTTGAGTGAATTTTATCACCCATCACGCCCCCTAAACTCTGGTCATTTGCGCCTTGGGATAGTGTAGTTGTGCGGGTGCCCAGTACCTGACGCAGGCATAATCAACCCTGACACTAACCGCCATTTTGTGTTTCTGCTTTTTCAAAACAAGAAAAGGGGGCGACATGGTAGGAGGAGTAGTAACAACCCAAAGCTTGAAATGATCTCGGTGCCAGCTGTTTGCTTGTAATGACAGTGGGGTTACCGAGCTTTCTCGTTACCGTCTAAACAATTCTGTTGCCGCCCAGCATTCATTGTTCTCTCGAAATCGACGAAGGCCGAGACGCAGGATAGACTGTGCTTGATCGAGCCGCTGAGTTGAAGCCATGTTTTCCCTAACCACCACAACTTAGGCCAGTTCTCAGAACCCTTTCTCTGTGTTCCCTTCTCCCATGCTTCTGCTTCCATTACTACCGCTCTGTATCGAGCCCAAGATACCATCCATATAGGAAGCGCCACTCCACTTCTGATGAGTAAGAACATCTACACCGAGCTCCTTCTCCCGGCTTTGTACAAGCTTCACGTATGCCAGCATCCCCTCGTCCTTGAACTTTCTCGAGAGCTCGGCTGTTATGGTTGCCGTTGAATGCAAGCCAGCAAGCGAGACCAATTGCAAGACGAAGCCATGCTTAGCCAGGTCCCAGATGAAGTTCCTCAGCGAAGCCTCGTCAAATCCTTGTCCCATCCAATTGAACGAAGGACTCAAGTTGTAGACAAGCTTTTTCTTAGGAAGCTCATCCCTGATTTCCTTAGCAAAGCCAGCAGCCTTTGAAACGCTTGGGTCAGCTGTTTCGAGCCATAGTAGATCCGCGTATGGTCCGAACGCGATAGCTCGTTTGGTTGCAGCTGAAAGTCCGGCACGATAATGGTAGAAACCTTCCCGCGTACGTGGAACATCGCAGGACCATCTAACAGGAGTTTTTAAGTACCGTTGGGCCAATTCCTTTCGCTTCGAAAGAGACATGTTGCGATCAGCGGCGACCTTTGCTTTATATTCCGAAGCTTCAATGCCTTCCGACTTGAAATGAGTTTCAACAGCTTCATCTAGAGTGACAAGCTTGTGCTTTTTGACCCATTCGGCTTCGAAACTGTCTATATCTGCACCTGAAGCACCATTCAGCTCCAAGGCTTGCAAAGTCTCCGCCAGTGGCTCCGTATCCTCCGTGACTCCCAATATATATTCATGATCTCTCACATCGATAGCACTACTCAAGAGCTTGCCACTCTCTGAGTCGGTGCGGGCAATGACAAGATTTTCCGTCCCCATCAAATCCCACTGAAAGCGTGCTGCAATGAGTCGATTAATGTGTTCCCCAACAGGGACAAGCACTTTGCCAGCTAGGTGCCCACATTTCTTCCCACCATGTAACTGATCTTCAAAGTGAACAGCCGCTGCGCCGTTCTCGGCAAAAAGTTTTGCCAATTTTAGCACGGCAGATAGACCACCATGGCCTGTGTCACCATCGGCTATGATAGGTCGCATGTAGTCAATGTACGGAGTGGATTTGCGGTTCTCCGGCGTCAATTTTCTTCGCTCATCCCAGTTCCGGCGATCATGCAACTGTTGTGCTTTGAATAGCCGTTGGACCTGGTTTGGCACGGTGTTGTATGGATAGTCTCCAAAGTCAGGTGAAACCTCATTGGTCGTAGTCAACACAGACGAGCATGCCCATCCTGAAACATATAAAACTTCTTGGTTCTCCGCCTGTTGAGTCATCTGAACCGGGTCAATAGCACCCATGGTGTGGACAGGATCTCCTGCAGCCGCTCTCTGGGTCAGAAGATTGAACAGCTTTCGAGCCATTACGGAGCTGGGATAAGTCTGCAGCATGGAGCCCCGTTTGCTGACAATATCCTCTGGGGAGTAGGGCCTTCTGATGCCCTCAAAACGGTCACTAGCCCACCATGATTTGACATCCTGGACTTGCTGGTCAAACAGTTTGTCTTCAGCAGCTCCGGCCTTAGCATCAGTGGGTAGCAGCTGGTAAGATTTCGAAGAAGGGACGAACGATGCCAATGGGTTGACCTTGGGATCTCCATAGGCCAGATTGATAGAAACCGACCTTGTAAGAGCAGGCGAACAAGTTCGAACAGGGTTTCTGAAGGGCGCAAGCCTCAGCACTCGAGGCCGCAGCATAACAAGAAATTCTTTTGATCCAGTCCTCAATGGAAGGAGACGAGATTCTAGACTCTAGGAAAAGCTTGTGGAGACAATGGTTCTTCCCTATCAAACCAAGTCCATGAAGTCATTGGAGAGACTCACACTCTAGATCAGATATGCTCGGAGGTTGAGATTCGCATCACGGTCTGAAGTTTGAAGCCAATAGATCTAGAGTCCACCATGCATTGAAAAGAGGAAGCCCGGAGATAAAAAGGTTGGCTCCGGATTTGCCTCGGCTCACGAGAACTTGAAGCCCCTCTTGCTCCACAGTTGGAATGACGATGGGCGAGTAAAAGAGGGAACGTTTTACCTACTTGGCCGGGAGCAAGGCTGGTACTTTGCTGCCCTATCGCCATATTGGACAGACTCTCTGGGCCACAAGCAGCCGCACTTCTGGCGCCTACCTTCTCTCCCCTCGATCGAAGTCAGCGGTCAAGTGTAGTGCGGCGTCAAGCCAACACCAATGGCTCTACAAGCGCCACGACTGGTGCTACGAGCTGTCAGAACAGTTTCAAGATGTACAGTTGTCCGTCAATCGATTCGAAGCATTTCGTCTGCTTCCGAAGCCGATCTCAAGACAACCCTTCGAGAAGTGATCCCAGAGAAGCGAGAACTGCTGAAGCAGGTGAAAGGACATGCGGACAAGAAAATAGGAGATGTGTTGGTCGGCCAGGTCATTGGCGGAATGCGCACATTGAAGTCAATGGTATGGGAAGGGTCAGTCCTGGATGCGGATGAAGGAATCAGATTCCACGGAAGAACCATCGCAGACTGCCAGAAAGAATTACCAAAGGGCACTTCAGGGACAGAAATGCTGCCTGAGGCAATGTTCTGGCTTCTACTTACGGGGAAAGTCCCCTCAACAAACCAAGTCCGTGGTTTATCCCGTGAGCTGGCCGAGAAGAGCAAACTACCTGCCTCTGTAAGCGGGATGCTCAAAGCCTTCGACAAATCAGTCCACCCGATGACACAATTAGCCTGCGCCGTCGCAGCCCTGAACGCAGAATCTGTCTTTGCAAAAGCCTACGCCGAAGGTATAAACAAAACCCAATACTGGGAACCCACCTTTGACGATTCCATCTCCCTCCTGGCCAAACTCCCCCGCGTTGCCGCAACAATCTTCAATAAGTCCGCCGCCGCCGCCGATCTTGATCTAGACCAAGACTGGAGCTACAACTTCGCCTCCCTCCTCGGCAAAGGCGGCCCCGAAAACGAGGGCTTCCAAGATCTACTCCGCCTCTATCTAGCCCTACACGGCGACCACGAAGGTGGCAACGTCTCCGCACATGCAACCCACCTCGTCGGCTCCGCCCTCTCCGACCCTTTCCTCTCATATTCATTCGGCCGGCCTCCTCGGTCTGGCCGGCCCCCTCCACGGCCTCGCAGCTCAAGAAGTCCTCCGCTGGATCCTCAAGATGCAGTCACACATCGGAGAGAACTTCTCCGACCAAGACGTGAAGGACTACCTCTGGTCGACCCTCCGGGCGGGCCAAGTCGTTCCCGGCTACGGTCATGGCGTGCTCCGAAAACCAGACCCACGTTTCAAAGCTCTAATTGACTTTGCCGATGCACGAGAGGACATCGCCAACAACCCTGTGTACCGGCTTGTAAAGAAGAACTCAGAGATAGCGCCAGGCGTGTTGACCGAGCATGGCAAGACGAAGAACCCGCATCCGAATGTGGATTCGGCTTCGGGTGTGCTGTTTCATCATTATGGATTCAGAGATCCATTGTACTATACCGTCACATTTGGCGTAAGTCGAGGGCTAGGGCCGCTGGCACAGCTGATCTGGGACCGGGCATTGGGTCTACCGATCGAGAGGCCGAAAAGTATCAATTTGGCGGGGCTGATGGCGATGGTGAGATGAGTAGATACGTGGTGTGGTTGAGAAGAGAAGAGGAGAAAGACATAAGAAAGAGCATGGCCTAGGAGTTTCAATATGCCATAACATCATCGCGTACAGCAAACCTCAGCTGCACCAGGCTGCAGACAAACATCATTGGTACATAACTGCATCAGACACAGTCACCACACCAGCTAAGCATGAAGAGAGAATAAAGTCGTCGGTCTGCCGGCTTGGACAGCCTAGATATCTGCTTGATGACTCTATAACACAGTTGCATTCCCCTCGGGTGCTCATTCCATGAGAATTAAATGCACGGTACAGTGGCACTCGAGTAGGTCAGCAAGACAGAAAACAAAAAGGATGCGTGCGACAGCGACAGCGACAACGACGAGGTATGTAACCCTGATACATACAAGTGAAACAAAGTATAGTTCATTGGGTGGAAGGATGGAGCGAGCCCATTGAGTTTGCCATTGCCATGGATTCTTCTTCGCCAAGTTAGGCTGGTCAGGTCAGGCCAGGTCAGTTAGATCAAGGCCCGATGGGCGTTGCGGGCCGAGAGACACGTGAAGAGCACACCACAAGTGAACGCACCGGGCTGTGGAGGGGTGATCACATCTCACAACGAAGCGACTTACAACGTAAATAGTGCTGATGAATTGCTTTGGGGTATCATGGTTTGTATGCCCGACAAAGATGAGATCATCTCCTGCTGAAAAGAGAAAAGAGACAGTCTCACCACGTGATGGATGCCTCTTATCTATCTGTCTCATCCGAACCGTTCCCATTCCCATCCGTTCTTCCCAAGAGTCCGCCCGAAATCGACACCAAAATGGATGCGAAGTACTGGTATATACAGTGGTAGACAGTGATAGGACTCCATGACCGATGAGAACAACCTTCCTCTTCCCGACGAAGCGACAAGCAAGCAGAGCAGAACAAACCAACGCAATCTATATTCCTCCCCCGACCCGTCCTCTACCTTAACTCTTGTCATGATCTAACAGCCGTTATACCCTTTCTGCTGCCACATCTTCACACTCTTAACCTTCATCTGCCCATTCTCCTCCCAAGTGGGATACCAGCTATCCTGGGTGTTCCAGAAGTCCCTGCGTGCAGTTGGGGAACCATCAACCCAAGGCTTGCCACTCTTGCCGTCCTCAAACCAACCATTCGTACCACCAACCGCCACATTCAGAATCAGGTAGAAGTCTTGATCGAACGGTGTAGCAACATTGCCGGTCTGAGACCACGGGTCGACGAGGCGAGTACCGTTAGAATCCGAGAGAGGGAAGTCTCCCCGTTCCCAAAGCGGGATATCAAAGTTTGCATACAAGACCTGCAGGAGGCGGGTATCGATGTAGGTGAAGAGGTATTTCTCACTCCACTCCATGCCGAAGGTGTGGAATTTGGAGGCGTAGGTGGTGTGCAGGGCATTTCTCTTGACGTTGGTGCGCCACCAGGCGTCGTTGGCCGGGTTGGGGCCCCAATGCAGAGCCGAGGAGACGATATTGTTTCCTCCCTGTTCATAGGTGTGGTTGTTGCCACGCCCTTCGACAATGTCGATCTCGCCTGATTGGGGCCATTCGCCGTAGACGGAGTCGCGCGGTAACATCCAGACGGCGGGCCAGAGCCAGTCGCCGGACGGCAACTGGGCGGTGACTTCGATGCGGCCGTATTTGATAAAGGCGCCGTTGCGGGTGGAGAGACGGCCGGATTTGACGGGGTTGACGATGGTGCCGTTGGTGGTGTTGGTGGCGACAACGCAATTTTCGAAGAGTTCGGAGGAGCAGATGCCTTCGGCGGTGAGATCAATGATGGTGTCTTGTTCGATAAGGGCTGGGTCTTGGAGGGTGGGTTTGATGACTAGCATGCCGTCTTGCAGGAAGATATTTTCGTCGGTGTTGGTGGTTTGTTCGAATTGGCCGTTGCCAAAGCCACCGACTTCGGCTTCTTTCAGCCAGATGTTTTCATCAAGACCGTTGGAAAAGTCTTCATCGAGGATGGGGCAGTACTCATGGTTGACGACTGTACGGAGGCCGTCATAGATGAGGAAGCCCGAGATGGCGAGGCCGAGGAAGAGTCCGATCAGCGGGATAATGGTGACCCATTTCTCACGAGGGTCTTTGTGAGCTGTCCATGGTTTCTCTACCTCGCCTTTCTTCACTCTTCGGGAGTGGAAGTATCGTTGTGAGAGACCTTGTTGATGAAGCGCAGCTGAAGAGGTTCGTGTTGATTGAGCATTGGAGCCGTAAGGAGAAGCGAATGGATTAGGAACGGGAGCAATATCCTCGATATAATTCTCTGGAGAATGTGCTCGGTTCTGTGGTGTAGAGGTACCGCTGTTTCGTGCTGTTCCTGGGATAGAGTAATTTTGGTGACCTTGGTCCATTTTGCAATGCCTTTGGGCGCCAATTGCCTGCTCTAGAACGAGAACGAGTGGACAATTTCAGGCTTATACGAAGCGAATGTGGATGGAACGAGCGTGGAATGCCAGACAGGCAGGGAGGAAGCTGATGAAAGAAATGGCAATCCCCGAATGAAAGGAATTGATGTCAATAAAGCTACGAACTCAAAAGGAGAAAATTCCACTGGAAAAAAGCACATCCGGACCGGGGAAGCTGCTCATGACAGATCGAGGGTGGTATATTAGATGGCGACTTGCTTCAGCTTTGGCCATTTCACCTGGCGAGCTGGATGAATCTAGTCTAGGCCAGCCCATCTACATTGAAGTCTCAAATATGACAACAAAATGCAGTGCTGCAGGCTCTAGCAGCTTGAATCTGTCACTTCCAGGAACTCTATTGCGTGGGTCTCGGATGCTGTAGTGTTAGGAAGTATACCAGTATCGATCAACAGGCCTGCCTAGTCGCTAGGATTGAATGTAATTTCCACAGGGGGTGGGGGCTTGGATGTTCAACCAGACGAGTGATAACATTGCAGCAGCTAGAGCAAATAGTAAGACAATATCTGTAGGTTTGATAGTCTGGTCCTTTAGTTTGATGCCGAGAACTTAGAAGTCTTTGATCCATGTCTCAACCGTGCCTAGGCGCTGATTGTGTGGCAGTGCCGGTAATTTGCTGATTGGTACCTGTAATGGCCGATACATCGCAAGCCGCTTAGGTTGTGCCGATTGAGCATCCGTTTGTGGTTGTAGGTAATTAATAGTGATACTTACGGCCTCGTCCTTTGGATTGAGATGGGCTGGAAGGTTGCGGTTCTATACCAGCTACCATAGTAGTTATTAGTTTGGTAAGAATTTGGAACGTGTCGCCAATCGCGTCAGCTCCCGTTGTCTTTCTCGCATGCCGGGACGGTGTGCTTGGCCGCTGCCAGTGATCAAGATTCTTTCTCGTGCTTACTTTACCTCGATGGCTTGTACCGTCAGGGTGACACACCTTTCCCAACCGTCAGACCCAAGCAGATGCTAGTAAACTGCTTTCAATGCCACGTAGGCGATGCCTAAAATTATGTGATACTCATCACCTTCGAGAAGGCTTTGGGCATGCATGAAAACTCCTAACCGGCTTTGCAGATGATCAGCGAGGAGAAGGCACAGCACGATTTAGTCGGACAGGATGGTTCTTAGTAATGAACCCATTGGGACTCGTACCGTAGTAGCTGACTCCAAGCTGGCTCAAATCTTGGAAACTCTCGACCAAATAGAGTTTGACAAGTCTTCCTCACCAGCCACCGCTACTCGGTGCCGCTGAGATGTGTGTCCTTTGGGTGACAGATCCTTCTTGATATAGCATAGTGCGTGTGGATGCCAAGCTTCGATTGGAAATGGCTATGGACCAGAGTCCATCCTCTCATAATCTACTGACATGATAGATTTGGCTCAAATGCTGACAGTGTTTTCTATGCATCTTGTTAGGATATGTTATAACTGATTTAATGTTGCTGGTGGATGCATGAAGGCTCAAGAAGGAGAACGTCAAGAGTTTAAACCTGGGTAGAAAGGGATGCACTTTCCGGCGGCACCCAGTGACATACTACTAACTAATTAGTAGTTACTACGTACTAGGTTGCGGCGCTTCGTTTCCTGACCTCAGCAAATCCATCCTTAGCATGATAGCACATGAGATATGATAGCACACAATAACCGAACGCAGCAACAAATTCCAAGATAGTAGCTTTTGCATATAATGCATATCTTCTAAGCGGATGGAGAGAATATGTGTTGTGGACAAACCTCAAGATGGGCTAGCCATGTCACTTTCTCTCGCTCTGGCATTAGCTATACGGTGAAGGATCGCAGATCATTTGCACTCGACTATCTCAAGGGGCGATCGCCTTCTCCTACTGGCCGCCGACGACTTCGCCGTAATCTAAAATGAAAGCTGTCTTCCGTATTCCGCCCGTTGGATCATCGTTGGTCTTCCAAATCTGAACAGGCGGCTTGATATCGTGCCCACGATGGGGCCTTGGACGCACATTTTCGAGGATCAGAACGATCTGCGGAGAATATGTTCCAAAGTGCAGGTTGAGTGGAGTGATGTCTGTCTCTGAGTACCCAGTCCCGGGGATCGGGGAAAAGACGGAAAGTTTGTTGAGAAGATCGATAATCGATAGTGGTCTCTGCAGGCATCTAGTAGGCACCTACTACCACGTACATAGTACGAGTCATCTCATGCAGGGCTTCTGCAGGGTATTCCTCCGATACGTAGTAAGCCCAGCTCAGTATGAGCACTGAGCAGACTAACCTAAGACGTAGTACTGGGATGCCATTATAATGATGAAAACCTCCAGACTCTAAGTTGAATTACATGCCCATCTAATGGAAAGGAATTGAAACTCATAGCATGTGGTGATCCCACGTCGGGGACTCCACGATACCACTACTAAAGAGAGTACGGTGATCATTGGGCCCATTTCCCCCTCTCTACGCCTCTCCCTACCCAAAAACAATGACCAGGTTCTATCATGGTCAATGCTATCTATCAAGTTTTGGACCAATTGATCGCGAACAAGCTGACGCCACGTCGGTGGTCAAGATCGGTTCCGCAGAGACTTTCCCGCAAGATCTCTTCCGATGAAATGTGCAAGAGAGTCAGAGGTCGAACACATCGAATGGGCTCGCCATTTGTGTGGGGTGTACGACAGGTCGTGAAAGGGTGAAAGGGTGGTAATTAATGCATGCACAGTGCCCCAGAGTTTGTCTAGATATCAGCTGTCACACCACCCTAACTCTTTTTCTGCATCAGAAAGAGAGCAGGAAGGCTTTATGGGATATCATGACGTCTCAGAGCAATGGAGCTGACACCAACAACAACGAAAGCTTGGAGCTACCATGCAGATTTGCCATGTCGTGCCATCATGTAGAAAGACTAATCGTGCATGTCTCAGTCGGGCATTTGGGGATGTCAAAGAACCTTGTTTATCTTCCTTTCTTTCGCCAGAGACCGATCAAGTTAGTCTTTGCCACATCATGCTTTGATGTCGCTTGAGCCACCCATATATAGCTGCTACCGCATCACTAGCTCCAGCCAGTGCCGTATTGTCGGTACACCAGTAAATTGGCGAAGATGCTCAGGAACAGAGTTCGGTGGGGCTGATTACAGGGTTCTTACTACGTAGTACTATGTAGTACTATGCAGTAAGCTCTGCCAACCAGTCTAGTCCTTTTTGAGGAGCTTATCATTAAAGCTTCGCCCGAAGCGGTAATCAGGACATGGTTCTTTTTACTATCTCGTGGCGGACATCTGCTCCACTCGACAGGGGACCAACAAATTTGTGATTCGACAAATACGTAGTAACTCTGATATGTCATCGACCCCTTGCTAACTCGCTTCGGTACCATGTCTAGTTAGCTGATCCAGAAAAGCCTTCCGCTAATCTTCCCTGGCCAACGTGGCTGTCATCCAATCTGGTTGGGAATCTATCAGCAGGATGTGGCGATCTGTCACGGAAGCGCTGGGAAGCCATTCAAGCAGGAGCTGCATGACCTTTGCCTGGCCCCTTCAGCTTCAGCCAGTGTATTGGGAGGCCATGTTCTGACGGTAACAGCTACTACGTAGATACCCACCCGAGACGCTAAGTTGCACTCTTCGATACCTTCAGCGCCACTGTTGTGTTTCCCCTTGCGGAACCCAGACCGATTTGTCTGGACCGTCTGCTTGATCCGCCTTCCTTGCCATATCTGTTTCTCTACTTACACTATCTCGTTCATTGCTCAGCTTTCCGCGTTTCGTCGTATGGTTTTATCTTGTCTTCCTCCCAGCAGCTCCACCTTCGTGCGAACTGTTCAGTCTCTCGTTGACGTACCCCTGAAGTCCTCACTCTGTTGTCACTCGCTATTGGAAGGTGCCTAGGTGTTGGATATCGGTCTCTCGCTTGGATTAATTCACCTCGCTGTCGGCTACCCACTCGCTACAGATCATTTGCATACATTCGTTCACTCCATTGAAGTGGTGGAAATCCGTTAGTTGTCGACGCAATTCACCTCTGCCCCGTGTCCTGCTCGCCATAACTCTCAATACTCAGGACAGGCATCATCATGGGTTTGGGAAGTTACTTCAAAGCGAGCAAGCCTGCACCACCTGCAGCTACTGCTTCACCACGACAGTCGTCAACTGTCATGACGGAAAAACCAGGTCCGGCAGAGTTTTCACAACAGTCTAGTATGAACGCTCCACCCAGAGATTCTCGATATGGCTCTTCAAGAGCTTCTCTTGCTCCATCGATACGAAGCAACAAGAGCTCCTTCATCGACGATATCAAACATGAAGTTATGGTCAACTATCTCTACCAGCAACAGTGTTCACATCTCTGGGTCAGCGATAGCAGCGGGGACTGCGAAGGTGTGCTGTTGAGAAAGGCTCGAAATCACTATCTTGCATGCCCACCACAGCTGGCAAACTCGGTTTTGGCCATGGCATGTGCCGAGTTGAACGTTCAGGTAGAGAAAACCGTGCCGATAGCCAGTGATATTGTATCTGACGCTGTCAACAGGTAGCCATGACCGTCAACTCGAGGGTTATCAAGACTTTCATGTCCTGGTCGCCAGACGCGATAGATGTACCGCTCATGAACGGTCTTCGAGTCCAGATCCTTCCCACAATCGATGATATTCCTCGAGCGAGAAAACATCAATTTGCTGCATTCATTGCTTCAGAAGCTCTACTCGTTGTCTGGGACGATGATCCGGCACATTTGTTGGAACGAGCCAAGTCGATTGAGGCTGAACTCATGCAACTTGTTTGGCAAACTGGCGAGCAGACAGAAGAGGAGGACACCAATGAGAAGAAGACTCCTCGTGTGACTGAGTTTGAGGTAGACGAGGAATCTGGCGAGATCATTCCGGAGAAGCGACCGACAAATTTGATGAATACCATCCTCGTGGCCTTCACCTTGGTCATCGTTGTCGTCATGTTGGGTGCTGGTTTTCGTGCGGTGGCCATCGAGACGATCGTTGACAAAAACTACCTTCGAATGGCTTTCGTTCTGCTCACCCCGGTACAGGTCTTCTTCACCTTGGTACGTTGTTCACAATCCTTGCTTTGGCTCCAAGCTGATAGATGCAGTTCTTTGCCCAAGTCATTGTTGGTTGCATTGCCCAATGCATTGGTCCTGTGCGTCAAATGCAGCTCAATTCGAAGTACTACTCCGCCAAATGTTCGCCACGGCTGCAGAACCGCACCCTACCACACATTACTGTGCAGTGCCCTGTCTATAAGGAAGGTCTTGCATCTGTCATTGCTCCCACTGTCAAGTCAATCAAGCAAGCTATCTCCACCTACGAGCTTCAGGGTGGATCGGCCAATATGTTTATCAATGACGACGGTCTGCAACTCCTTGGCGAAGAAGAACGACAAGCCCGTATCGAATTCTATGTTGATCACTCAATTGGATGGACGTCTCGTCCTAAGCATGGTGTCGATGGATTCTTACGTCGCGGTAAATTCAAGAAGGTATGTTGAAGCCGAGGCTTAAGATGCTTCCATCAGATGGCTGATCTTGCTTGAATAGGCATCCAACATGAATTACGGTCTTATGTTGTCTTGCAATGTCGAAGAAAAGCTTGCACGCTATCAACGAGGCGAAGATTGGTCTCAAGCAGATGAAGCTCAAGCTTATGAAACCTGCCTCAAGGAGGTCCTCGAGGAAAATGGACGTGCATGGGCTGATGGCAATATCCGTATCGGTGACTACATCCTTTTGAGTAAGCATCTTATCCTTCCACCCTCCATTGTCACAATTAACATCCTCCAGTCGATTCTGATACTCGTGTTCCCTCCGACTGCCTCCTCGATTCCGTGTCGGAAATGGAGCAATCCCCCAATGTTGGTATCATGCAATTTTCCTCTGGCGTTATGCAGGTGGTGAACAATTACTTCGAAAACGGCATCACCTTCTTCACCAATCTGATCTACACAGCCATCAAATATACAGTCGCCAACGGCGACGTCGCCCCTTTCGTCGGCCACAATGCCATCCTTCGCTGGGCCGCCATCCAACAAGTGTCGTACACTGACGAAGACGGCTACGAGAAGTTCTGGTCCGAATCTCACGTCTCCGAGGACTTCGACATGTCACTTCGTCTCCAATGCGATGGATACATTATCCGCCTCGCTTCCTGGGCCGGGGAAGGCTTCAAAGAAGGTGTCTCCCTAACCGTGTACGACGAATTAGCACGCTGGGAAAAATACGCCTACGGCTGCAACGAGCTCCTCTTCCACCCAATGCGCAAATGGATCTACAAGGGCCCCTTCACCCCTCTATTCCGCCGCTTCCTCTTCTCCAACATCCGCTTCACCTCCAAAATCACCATCATCTCGTACATTGGCACCTATTACGCCATCGGCGCCGCCTGGATCATGACCACGGCCAACTACTTCGCCATCGGCTGGTTCAACGGCTACCTAGACAAATACTACATCGACAGCTGGAAGGTGTGGTTCAGCATCGTCATCGTCTTCAACGGGCTCGGCAACATCGCGCTTGCGGTGATGCGGTACCGCATCGGAGAAAAATCCTTCTTCGGCTCGCTCCTGGAAAACATCAAATGGATCCTCATGCTCGCCATCTTCCTCGGCGGGCTCTCCCTTCACGTCTCCCAGGCCCTGCTGTCTCACATGTTCGAGATCGACATGACGTGGGGCGCCACCAGCAAAGAGGCCGAGTTCTCCAACTTCTTCATCGAGGTGCCCAAGGTGGTCAAGAAATTCAAGTACTCGATCGGCTTCGCGCTGTTCGGCATCGCCGGCATGATCGTCCTGGCCACGGGCAGCTACATCCCCTATTCGTGGCGCATCAAGGATTTCGTCGCCATCCTCCCCATGGCCACGGTGACGGGCAGCCATCTGTTGTTGCCGATCGTGCTGAATCCGGCGTTGATGACTTTCTCGTGGTAGTCGCCACTCGAGATCGTTGCCTCTTGTTTTCTCTTCGTACATTCTCTCCATGCAAAACCTTTACATATAGAGCATTGATTGGTCGGCGTCTTAGCGATATAGATCGGAAGGAGGTGTTTGTCATTCTTTGGCTTTGTCATTGGTGTTTTTTTCCTTGTGTCAATCGGCAAGGCACACGTATACAAGGAGGCAGGACAGCCGACCTGCGCTCGACCTTCTCTAAGTGTTGGATATATATTTTCTAATGCTGCGTCTGTTGACGAATGAGATAATGGATCAGAGTTCATTGTTTTCTCTGACGATTAGAGGGCCTAGACACCAGTGATTCAAAGCTCACACGGGAGGTTAACATAATAGAAATCAAAGACCCAGATCTCTCTTTCCTCAAGCATTCATGATCGAGTGAGGTTTCATGCCTTCAAGTCGGTACTGATGTTCATGAGGTGTCACTGTCAACCCAAGGTAACATGAATCCTCGCTCACCATCCGACGCACAGCCATAATCTACAAGTGCAAGTATTCTATTTACACCATCTCCATATACCTCCTGACCTCCCAATCCGTGACCGCCTCCTCCCAAAGCCGAACTTCATGCTCCCTTGTGCCACCAAAATGCTCCACAAAGTCATCGCCAAAAGCCTCCCTGGCCACGCTTCCCTTCCGCATCATCCTCTCCGTCGCCGCGCCCCCAGGTTCTTCGCCAGCCGCTCCCCGTGATCACTCGCACCACCTACATCCTCGCCTTTCCCCAGCGGTGGGACGGGGATCTCGAGTTTCTTCTGGACGCCGCGCCAGCCAAGGCCGACGATGGCCGCGAGCACGAGGAAGGGGTTGGCGTCTGCGCCCGCGACGCGGATCTCGAAGCGGGTGGCTTTGGGTGAGGCGATGGGTGGGGCGATCAGTCTGACCGAGGCGGCGCGGTGTTCGAGGCCCCAGGAGACGGTGACGGGGGCCCAGAAGTTCTCGACGAGGCGTTTGTATGAATTGATGGTTGGAGCGACGATGGGCATGACGTCCGCGAGCCCTGAGAGGATGCCGGCAAGGAAGTGGCGGCCAAGGTCGGAAACGTAGGCGAGATCTGCGTACGGCGGGTTGGGGTCCTCGTCGCCGCGGTAGAACATGTTTTGGCCGGATTTGTCCACGATGGACACGTGCATGTGGCCGCTGTTTCCAGGGAGGCCACGTTGCGGCTTGGCCATGAAGCAGGGTGTTATGCCATGTCGGCTGCTGACGCTCGTGACTACGTATTTGAAGAGTCCGGCTCGGTCGGCCATGTCTCTGATCTCGCCGTATTCAAGGGCTGCTTCAAAGACGCCCGGTCCGGACTCGGTGTGCCAGCCTTCAATGTTGGTGGAGAAGCGTTCGCAAGCGGTGAAGACGTCGTAGTACCAGGCTTGGTTGTGGACCGGGCGGGTGAGGGAGTAGCCGGTCATGCCTTCGGTCAAATGGGGAAGAGTATGCGGTGAGTTCTTTTGGATGAAGGAAGCTGTGCTGGAAGAATTGAGCGTCGTCTTGTTGGGATAATCATCTGGCGGAGCACGAAATTGGTAGAACTCATATTCAGCTGCATGGAGTAAGTCTTGGAGCTGGCACTCGATCATCTGCCCATTGGCCTCTTGATGGCTGCGACATACCTCCAGCCATCGCTCCGTAACCTTGCTTCTCCACGCTCTCCATCATCCTAGCAAGCAGTCCCCGTGAGCATGCGCTCAGCCTGTCATCAGTGTCTGGATCGTAGAAGCTGACGAGGAAGAACGGCACATTATCTTCCCATGGTATTCTTCTGAAACTTGAGAGGTCGATCTTGGCCACAATGTCTCGGTATCCATTCTCGCTGTTACTGATCTTCAGCTCTCGGAAGTAGGTGAGGTCGTCCATGTCCCAGCCAAAGACGACGCTGCAGAAGCCGAAGCCATCCTTTGCGACCGAGAGGAACTTCTTCTTGGAGATGAGCTTCCCTCTTAGGCGACCGTCAATGTCAACCCCCGCAAGCTTGACCTTGGTATCCGCCTCCAGGACTTTGGCGATGCTATCGAGGGTCAAGGGCGAGTCTGGAGGCGCTGCCGCAGGTTGATCCACAAAGATCGACATTTTGTAATTCTCTTCAGGGACGAAGGTGGTACTTCGAACGGATCTTCTCCTCGAGTCTACATCGCGAAAGAAGAGTATCCAAGATCAATCGGCTTTATATAGCCCGCATTCGCCTTGAAGCGTTCGTTGTTTGGAAGGTGGGAGGCGGTTTTGCGCCGCGGCTGGGGAAGGCAGATGGGAAGCCAGTGCCTATCTTGTGCATAGGACATTGTCGTCATGGTTACACCCATAGTTACAGCTAACTAGTTAGCGTGTACGTGTCCCAGCGAGCTTAATCTCAGTGCGTTTGGTATAACCTTTACAGATGATCTCCCTGGCAATAATAAGAGTGTAATGCTCTAAAGGATCAAAGACTTCCGCAGCTGTGAGGAGCAACTTGGTGACCTCCAATCTCTCTTTGCCCTTTGGCTACATTCGAGACAATTGACTGCTCGTGCTCGATGAAAAGCTCATACGCTACCTGCACTGTAGCACAGCAGAGCTTGCTCCATTTGACCGTAAGTCGCTCTCTACAGGCGTCTCCATCACAATTCTCTCCAATCTTTCATCATACAAGCACACCAACAAGGAGCAAACTCCCAATTATTGTGCGCAAAAGCCACGGGTCGTCTTTCAACATTAGGGTGATCAAGCCGACGTACGGTAAACATCCTCGGACTATCCCCATGACTTCCTCCTGATACACAAACGGCTGGCCTTCTGGGTAAAGCACAGTATCATCAGATTCGTTTTTGTCGCCCTTACTCAATATCAGCTGCCTGCGCGGTATCAGCTTCCCCTCGCAGTTTTTCAATCCATTGCAATTGACCGTTTTGCACTACCATCATTGTTCAAGCCTAAATGATACATCTTGATCGCTCGGTGAACCTTCGGCAATGGCTTTTCCGGAAACCACCACTGGGATGGTCCCCCACATGGACAGACTCCTCATGGTTCCAAAGAAAGATCAAGTCCCCACGGTGAAATGCTGGTGCCATCGACACTGAAGTGACTACCAACACTGGGTGGGAGGACTTGGTCAGAACACACAACCGCTTCCATAGCATGAGGACGATAGAGTTGGCAAATATGATCGACCTGATGCTTGACAGCGCTCGGCGTTGGTGATCAAGGTGCTGCATAGTCGATTTACGCTCTTCGCGAATTCCACATGTGACCATGTTATGAGAAGCGACCACAAAAAGTTATCGACCGGGACCAGAAAACTAGAAGGTAGATTGCTACGCTGGGTCATTCTTTCTGATGGCAGCGACATGGTCTGCAATCGCCAAATTTCCAATGTCCATTTATCTTGTTTTTTTGCTCGGATCCTGTTGGGATCATCAATGCACAGCTCAATGCAGTTCACAGCGTCAGATGGCATGCCCAAAGAAGTAAGATCCGCATCAGGCGTAGAGAAGACTGATGCGGCAACCATCCTCTCTACAACAACAACAGCACTGGCACAGGTATACACGCATTCACGGCTGGTTCCTTGGTGAGTCCATGCTGTATGAGAAGGAGTTGTTTTACAGGTTGTGGGTTAAGTACGGGGGATTATCATTGGATTGGCGCCACAGTCACTATCAAAAAAACTTTGGACGTGAAACCAATCTCCAAGTAGTAATATGACCAAGCTACCATAAACAAAAATCTACATGGAATTTTTAATACAGAAACACTTACTGTCAAAATGCCACCAGAGCTTGCTCTGTTATGTTTTCAGCATATGTTTGAGAGGTCAGTGACTATATGCTTAAGCGCCCACATCTTAAGAGATTAGTTACTCTTTACTAACGATATCTCTTACAAAAATTAGATACCATCCTCTTAAGAAATCCTTTTGCGGCACCCTTATGACACCCTTTCTGGGGCACCATGTTGGGTTGAAGACCTCATCATGCGGCACTCTTTTACGACACTTCTCCGGGTTATATATACTAGGGAAATATCAATACAAGCTGTCAAGCAGACTAAATGGTCCTGTGTAGTGCCATGGCGTTTCATGATTTTGGCGTAACGCCAATCCAACAGGTAGTCTGCTGTCAGCAAGGCCGAGGGTGAGGGCGGGAAAGACGTGGAGGGCTTGGATGTACGGAGCGGGAGCTCTTGGCATGGCTTCTTCCAACAGGTTGCCCAGGAAGGCCAGGCTTCAGGTATCGTTGCCTCTCACATCATATCCAACCCCCAAGGTACCTTTTGCTGCGACAGCTCCGCTTATTATCAGCAAACAATAACTCAGAATTTGATCAGATTATTTCCGATTCCATTAATATCGATATTCAGAAGAGGCGAAATCTGTAAGCCAGAAAAGGAACTCTGGGTCCACGGACTTGGGATCTGGTGTATTCCTGGCATAGGCGGCGACGATCTCTGATACCTCACCTTGGCCAATAGCACGATGGATTGATAACCCAGCTTCAAGTCTCGGGCGGAATAATCCCAAGTGAGCACTGCTACGTGAGTGATGCGGGTACGGTCCTTCATTTTCTAATCAGCACCAACGACGGAGACTTGCCATCAATGCTACATGACTTCATGCAGCATCGAAATTGCGACCGCGTGTCCAAACAGACTGGATCAAAGGTATAAATAAGAAGATGCTGTACCACCAGGATCTGTCTGTCATCATCATCAAACAGCATCACTTCGCCTTACGAAACCAATAAGTGTATGGCTCTTACCGCCTCCTTGTGAGTCGCAGAGAAAAGCAGACCAAGGTACGTTCATATTAGCATAAACCATGTTCTCTTCGGTGTTGACAGTCGCAGGTCTGTGCCATTCAGCAGTTGACTCATTGCGGCCATGCTTGCGAGGGGTAGTCGGTATCTGCGCTGGGGTAGGGATTCGGATTGCCTGTGTAACCGTACGCGAGGGGTTGTGCTCGTTGGGTAGGTTGGACTAATTTTGGACGTCTGTGACCTAGTGGAGACTGAAGTCTAAAAAATTTTGGGTACAAAGTCAAGATTGAGAAGATTATATAGCATGACTACATCAGGCCTGGCATAGAGGGGGTACCGTCATCTCATGAGTATTTTGATACTAATTGTTTGCCCACTCTACTCCGTTTCAGAGCCATTCATGTAGCAATCGTAATGCATTCCTCCTAAGGCTAGATGTGTCGCCTTCATCTACGCTAAAATTGCAGTGCATGTGATCGTTATTCCCGTACCGATCATTCGCTGAATCGGACCCTTCTGATTCGCTATTAGCTGACACGTAATAGGCTAGTCCAATTCGTAAAAAATTGAACTTCGCAGAAGAGGTCTAATCGCGGAATGCAAATGCAAGCATAAAAAACATTCACTGATTCACAATATAAATTGTTAAATTGCACTACTACCATTCATTGTACAAACTCATAGATCAGGGATTCTACTTCTTATGCAAAGGCCTATTTTGCTATCCCCTGTGTCACTGAATAACCCTATTCGACTCAGTCGTCCTAGCCCGGCCCTCATTGAGGCAGAATACTCGTTTCGGGGCCTTTCATGATTTCCTCGGCAGGAGTGATTGCTTGGCAAATGTCGTAGGTTGTTGCCGATAGAGCCAGCCCTCGACTCGACCTTTGTAGGGCAGTGCCACAAACGAAGAAGGTATGAGATAATGGTCAAACAAAAATGTTCAGTAAGCGTCATAAACTCTATCTTCCGGTGATATTGTACTGGTCCCAAGTAAGCACGCAGTCTATGGTACTGCCATTCTGGCACCATCCAGAAGAAGAAGCCAAAGACCCTGGCAAAGCAGATCATTCTCCTTACAATTTCTATATCGAAAAATCTAGCAACTTGCACGTGGCCATGTTTCTCACGCACTCGTTCCACTTGGGCCAGCACCACCATCTCGGCCGCTCCAGATGCAAAGTTTTGCGCAGAAAAAGCCAATGTCCTCTGTCGGGGTACTATGCTCTTCCGCTTGCCAATCAGCCACGGCGTGGCAGATGCCCGAAACGAAGAACGCTCAGAAGGCAGTGAACAGCTTCTCCGCTCGGGAGCCAGGCTGCAGCCGAGAGCTCCACGAGTAATCAGCCGTCCGGAGGCGACACATGATGGTGCGGTCAAGCGATGCCAGAATTTGGTCCAGAGGCGGCGGATGCTGTAGGCTTGCAAGGGACTCCCGAAGAGCGGGTGCCATTCGTCGGGATTGTCAACTTGTAATATCCTGATAAAGCAGACCGAGCGCAGTATGTTGTAGGTGTCAAGTATCAGATGTGCGATCCAGATCCAATATATGGCGATGAATGTTCGGATTTGAGTTTCACGAAAGGTGATAGGAGCTGTAGGAACTCCTAGGAGCATACGCCGGATGTACGTCTCACGCGCTGGTGCAGGCAGTCTTTGACGCCGCTTTCAGTGTCTGTTGCATCGCGGGTCATATGATATGCTACCACTCTTTATTGTCAACTTCATACTCTTAAAAAGCATCCTCCCTTTCCCACCTTTCCCTTTAAGGGGCTCCTGGTTTCCCGATCGTCAGAAGCCGCTCCCTTCAATGCACTGTGCTCGCATCTTGTCAACGGCGTCGCTAATAGTCATGGAGTATATCTCAATTATAAAGACGCGATAATCTCTACTTTTGTGATTCGCTCCGCTGATCGCCATGACAACTAAATGATGCCGATAGTGTACCGGTCTACGCCGTCAAAATCCTCATAATTCTCCGCTGGAACGGACCTGCACCCCAGTGCATTGACGAAAGCTGGAGAACTGGAGGCTAGGATTTCAAATGTTCCAATGCGGGAAAATTCCCCTTCTCTACCACTGGGCATCAAGTCAAGACCCATGATAACCTCTCCGACTAGTTCTGGGTCGGACGCCCCTCGAACTCTTGTCCTCAAAACTGGAAGGAAGAAGTGGTCCTCCCAGACCTTTAGATCGTCTGGTGGATCCCTGATGTGAGTTCTCCATATCGTGCTATCGGGGTTTCTAGTGTCGTCCAAGCTTGACTTCAGGTAGGCAACCCTCGGTTCGGTCTCTGAGCTGTCTGAATGAACCCTTGGTACGATGAACGCACCATAACATTCCCCACCTTCATCACTATCTTCAATCCAGGAAGTGAACTCCTCGAACTGGCCGCGTAGTGCGCTTTTGGGTTTGTAAAGGGGGGCGTACATCATGTGCTTTTAACAATTTGCCCTTCAACTTGATGCTCCCGCCTCTGACCGCGCCCATCTGCTCATCGTCGGAAATCACATACGCATCAAGGACATCTATTGGCCACATTTCCCACTTTCTTCTTATAGGGTACGTAATAGGTCCATCATTGACACCGGCCCAAGACCATGACGGTGCCCGATACATCTGGGTCCGTTGCCGCCCGTGGAGACCGCCGAACAGGCGCAGGTGTGCCTCTCCTCGCCAGAGCAGATTTGCTGGGAGCATTTCCTTCCACAGTCCGGCGAGGTAGGTACAGGGATTGAGATGTCTTGCCGAACAAAATTTCCGTGCCACTCCCGCTATTGCAAGAAGTTTGTCTGAGGGATAAGAAAGTGTACCATGAGTGTATTGAAATACTATGTCCTCCCAAAGATGCTCAGAGCTCACCTCAACGCTGTTGATAATTCGTCTGTCGGTGTCTTCACGAAGCTCCTGGCTATCATCCAATAGCGCCTGTTTTAACAGTCGATCATTGCCCTCGCGACTAGCAAATTTGCTGTCTGAGATCTGACCCGGCATATTCTCTGCCGTCCGTTCTTCTGCGCATTCCCAAAGCAGCAATCCTCGAGCGAAATGGATCGTTCGCGGAGCTAGTAGCGCTTCTTGAAAAGTCCACGCTCTCTCCTTCCATGGTGACGCCTGAACGTATTGTTGCCATGGAGTCGCGTTATAACAAATATAACGTTTGCTTGAAATCTCCGGCCCAGACAGATCGAGTAGGCAGGTGGGCCTCGAATGGAGGCTTTTCTCGCGATCAAAAATACCTTCTTCATCACTCTTTGACGCCGTGGCAGTGACATTCAGATAGGCTTCGCCATAGACTCGGGACATCAAATAAGCTTCCTTTGTCCAATCTGCTTTCGAGTCCTGAACAATGCACAATAAGTCGACCCATAGGTATGAGATATCAAGAAGAGCCATGAGTATAGCAGCGTCTTGAAACGTTTTCGGCAGATCTGGGAGTGGTATATCCTCCCTGAATTGTGACAGAAGCGACTGTTCTAGAACCAAATGCTTGGATTTACCCCAACAGTGGCTAAGAGTCGCATAATGAAGGTCGGGCAAGTGAGCCAGGTCTTCCTGTAGCCTTAGACGAATCGCGATGTCTTCGCCCCTAGTAATCCGTCTGACTTCGAGGAGTCTTCTTGGCCGGAAATCTGACGATTTAAGGTCGCCATTCGTACATCTTCTCCTATGCTCGTGTGCACATCTACCCATCCACGTCTTGATAGTCTTCAAACTTTGAGAAAGCAAACGATCGTCCGGCCCTCCTTCTCGCATAATTTTGAGATCAGAAGATTGGACCGCTGCACAAAATAATAAGTCGATCCGTCAAAACAACAGAGATATTACTTATTACCAGGCTCCAACCGGAACGAGATTTAATACCACACTGGAGATGTCGCCACATTGATCTGTCCTCTACACATTAGTTCCCCTTTCATGTCTTGATATTCAACCATCCACAAGTCGACCTCTAAACCGTAGTCTTTGCCTGAGCCTATCTGTTCCAGGTTCCGCCCGGGTATGTTGTCGAGCAGAAGCTGACAGAGCGAGCATTGGTCTCCTGTGCCGAACATTTTGAGATGGTCCGGCGAGTAGCCCAAAGTCGGCGGGGCGAAGAGACTGGTCGTAGCTGCTGTCAAAGAGATGTCTATGGCTGGCGGAACGAAAACACTGGTCGGGGTCTTTGGATAAGGGTGCCCCTTTCTGAGGCTGGAAGTAAGATCCTGACAAAGCCAGCAGAGACGGTTTGGAAGCCATGATTCGCTTCCATCCTTAGCTACGGACATTTGGTGCTGCATTCTCTGGTCTCACTGTATTTCTGCTACCCTGCACCGAACCTTGACCGCGCCTTGGCACCCAGTTGGGTTCAAAGTTTGCCTCAGATGGTGCCAAGCCAAGCCCTTCTATGCTCATTGCGGCTAGTCGACGACTACGCGATGTCGAATGTGCCGAAATATGGGAAGAGTTTGGAGTCCTGTGAAAAAGCTTTTGAGCAAAGATGGTGGAGATAGTAGACAAGAAGTAATTTAAGATGGCCGTACATGTTACTAAGAGTCGTGTTATTTAGAGGTTCTACTCCGTAGTGTACTCTATTGGCCTACGCTCCCTTTGGCGCACGTTCTGTCCATGCATTCTAGCCCCGTACGTTTTGCTACGGTAACTGTCATCATATTTGAACTCAATCGGTGTTGAATCATCTTGACCAAATTCTGATCTAGCGAACAGAAAGGATGTACTATGACATGTGCTAACCAGCATGGGCTGGGCTGACTGTATAGATTGCCCTGTGTACCTTTCGATCTGTCTGCCACGTTTGGAGTTACTCAAGTACCATCCGGGTTTGTATCTACCAGATAATCATACAAGCACTGCCCTGGCATGTGGAATAGGATCAGGAATACCATTTCGTCTCACAGATCCATGTGCAATCTTCACAGCGTTGTTGGCATCGTCGCCGGTGGTCAGAACCGAAAGACAAAAGATTCAAGGTCACAGAATCAGATCAGAAGCGTGAACAATTTCTATCTAAAACTGTGTCGCTCGTAAACATCGGCCTATGACATTGTGTTGACCAGCAGATTCGCATCTACACGTTCTATCCCTTCCATGCCTTGTGACAGCCCCTGCACAGCTTCACTTGCATTCAAGCCTAGTGTGTTCTCTCGGAGATTCAGACAGGACGCCATTCGGACGACCTCGGATGCCTCATTTTGCCAAATTAGCTGGCGCTTCTGTAGCAGGACCGTCGGGCGTAACATAGGCCTTGGTCATTCCTCCATCGACCACAAAATCGGTGCCGTTAACGAAACTGCTTTCATCACTAGCTAGGAAGAGCACTGCTTGCGCCTGCTCAATCGCCTCTCCAAATCTGCCGGTAGGGAAGTGAATTTCACGTCGGTGTCTCTTTTCCGCATCGTCGCCAAGCCAATCTTGAAGCAGCGGAGTGTTAAGTGGTGCGGGGCAGAGAGCATTGAACCGGAATCCTTCTCGTGCATGAACAATAGCCAGCTCTCGCGTCATCGCCATAACCGCTCCTTTAGATGCAGTGTATGCAAGCTGTGGTGTGGCAGAGCCCACCAGAGCAACAACGGATGCCACGTTGATGATGCTTCCCTTGGTCTTATTGTGTCGACGCATACTGAGGACTGCATGCTTCGACCCGAACCAGACACCTTTCACGTTGATGTTGTGGGTGAGATCCCAGATCTTTTCTGGCGTACCGATCGCGTCGGCATCATCAGCATGCATGATTCCTGCATTGTTGAAGATTATATCAATTCCGTTGTACTGATCCTGCGACTCTACCATAGCCTTTACGTCTGACTCTTTCGAGACGTCACATTTCATAGTCGAGATTCGTGCTGCATCAGGCACGATTTCCTTAGCTTTGGCAAGTGCTTTCTCCAGTGCCGGCTCCGAGATATCTGCCATCAATACTGCAGCACCTTCTCTGGCGAAAAGAATAGTTGTCTCCAGACCAATGCCCCTATCAAGTCTCAGCTTCAGGTAAAATGTTGGATTTCTAGCAGGAAGCTTGAGTGGGTAACATTGGCGCTGTACACCTAGCCCACCGAAAGCTAGTGTAAAGGAGGAACAGGATCGGAAGTCATGTGGTAATCGCCATCTCGTCACGGTTGACGTGAGTGAGTGGGTGTATCCGAATGTAGTGGAACTTCAACCTGGAACCGATGCAGTTAAAGAGATATCACTTACCCTGCCGCGCCCGTGATAATAGCATTCTTGCCCTCTAATCTCCCTGGTCTGCTAGGCATGATGAGTCAAGTGACGGGTTCCAATCGTGTTGAAGATTGAATCCTGAGCTTGGGGTAAATCAAGCCCTTTCGAATGTTGAGTTGATGGGCAGGGCAGGGGCAGGAAGGGAGGCTGGGAATGTGTAGCAGTTGTCACCAAATAGTTCGCGATACAAGACTCTGTCCTGGAAGATGAATGGATTAAGATGGCATTGAACTAGATTCAGATCAGAGCGCAGGTAATACGGAGTACGAGTGTGGTAATTGTAGAATTTTTGTAATCGTATTGGAAGTTGACTCATCGATCGGACAAGGAGATGAAGGGCGGTACCCGGAACGTAAATTGATAGAGTCCTCAAGGCTTGGCAACCCCTTCCCTTTCCAACATCGTGATTCAGAAATAGAACTGAATCTCAAACGTCTCAGCCCAAGAGCTCGAACAGATCCGCAACTACTTTTCTGGAAAAGCAGTTTGTCGGCAGCATTTCTACCCAAATCCTGCGCCTCAGTCATCATATGCCATCAACGTTGGAACCTTGTGGGAGCCCGGCATGCGATAGCCGCCCCACCAAGTACTTACCGCTGAGTACGATCTAAACTAGTCGTAGATCCGTGATGCAGAACCGAGGCACTGTGATGAAACCACATTAGGCAATGCGACCCTACAGGAGGGTTCCCATAAGGCCCAGGTACAAGAGGCTATTTGTCCACGCTGACACCGATTCGTTGTTGGAAGAAGACTCTGGTAAGACTTGTAAATCAGATAAAGATGGAACCACTCGGGCGCTGGCGAGGGTTTATGACTAATCAATTCAGAAAATCAAGCATTGGAGCCTGGGGCGAATGGTAACTCCAATCAGACTTTCGTAGAGTTATTCAGCACTCTCTGTCTCTTTGCTTGCAATGATTTCATCCCCACCAACAAGACATAGAGTGATTCCCCGTCTTTAGCCGAAGGCCGATAGAGTCAGGAGAAATGAACTTTTCTTGACAATGTTGCCGGAGAAATTGTCAATCATCATGGCGAGGGAGTCAGGAATGATAGGCACAACTTGACTTGATAGTCCGGGTCGCCCAATTATCGCTTAGAAGATATGGAAAGCAGAAAGTAAGATTGGAGCGATCAAAATTACAGAATTATCTAGGTAGAACTGCAAGCAACCTGTGCGTTGCAAACGACCTAGCCTGCCAGATATTTCCCCTCCACGCAACTCTGATCCTTATCTTTGTTAAAACCCCAGAACGCCACTCGTATCTCCTTGAAATCACCATAGTTGTTCAAAAATCCCAACACGCTCTCCAGTATGATCAACACCGATAGGGCTTCGTTGAGCACGAATTCCAGCATAATCCTGTCGAGCGGTTTCGTCTGCATCGAACATAAGGAATTCGGGATCTGAGCTGAAACACGTCAATAGCGTATTTCCCGTGGAGCGGTTTTCATAGGATTCGATAAGCGTCATATATGGCTTGCAGGTAGTCAGCTTTTGCAATCCGACGACAGTATTCTGCTTACCTTCTGCGCCTCTGCGGCAACCACTCCCCACCCACATCAGCGTATTCACAAAGAGATACCTCTCATCACCAGTTTCTAGCTCTATGTTGAGTCGAAATTTGTAAGAGTTGGGATTTACACTGTCCGCTTGAGCGGGATCCAGAAGCTTCTCCAAGACATCCTTGGATCCCGTTCTCCAGCCCGAAGTCTTGACACATATAAAGGCAGGCGGTTCATCGTTAGTCTGAAGTAGATAATTCGCGGATAGGCGAGTCGCTAGGTCTTTAACGACGAGTTGCGAATCCTGTCCTCCAGGCTACTAAAAGTGAGCTTCTCATCCAAGAGTATTGATCTATTTCAACTCACTATCACAGCGCCTTTGCCCCATCGGCCAGCCCATGAGCCTCCAACATAGCTCACCCAGTTTCGTTCTCCGAAAAGTCCTGGGCCGAGAGAAACACGAGGATTCAACTTGATGCTCATGCGAAAGTCCAGTTCGAGAGACGGGGTTGGCAATTGAAGAGACCTCGCAATTTCTCCCTCATCGAATTTGTGCAAGAGGTTATTGGCTGGAATAGAGTCTTTCATGGCGGCAAGGTATTGGGGACACTCTTGCAGGTGCTGTCGTTGTCGGCTAGTATTTTTCGCCCTAACTTGTTGGCAGAACATACATTGTACAGAGAGGCACTTGCAATAAGTCAGTCTGATTTGCCATGCATGACAGCGTAGCAACAGCACGGATATTGAGCACACCTTATCCTCATCTTTCGCTCTAAACTCCACAAAAGAGGCATGCACATCGTCAAGAGGTGGGGCAGGTAAACCTGTGCCAGGCGTCGATTTTGCAGTTTTGGGGGTTTTTGTTGTTGTCGTCGTCGTGGCGGCCGTTGGCCTGGCGGGTGTAGTCAAAGTAGATGGCCCAGCGACTGCGGTCTGGGATGGAATTGCAGGTCGGCCGGTCATGGTCTGAAGAGGTGTTTGTAATGATGGCCCTGGTGGAGGAACGCCATTGACGACGGTACCAGCCGGTCCAGGCAAGGCATTTTGACCAGGACCACTTGGGGTTGTGTACCCGTTTGGAGCCGCAACAGCATTACCGGGACTGGCTTGCGCTCGGATGGCACTCACATGATTGTTGGGATTGGCTGTGCATTCAGCTAGGTGTTGCTTCTGGCGACTCGTGTTCTTCGCGCGAGTCTGGTGACAATAGATGCATTGGACCGACAAGCACTGGAGACTCAATTCAGCGAGGTGGCGGGTAAAGAGCTCGTCGAGACTCACCTTGTCATCGTCTTTGGCGCGGAACTCTATGAAAGCTGCATGAACGTCTTGATCGACGCTGCGACCCATGCTTCTCGGCAATCTAAAATGTGAAGTTGTGCCGGTATGTAAACTGACAGTACGGAGTACGTGTATTTACGGATCGTGGAGTTTTGGTTATGGTTGAGACTAGTAGTTAGCAGTTGCAGCTGCTGCCTGGCCAGCTGCGCCGGCCTGTAACACTGCACTGCCTCAACAGCGGGAAATTCTCGCAGCTCGAAGCTTGGCATGATGCTATTTTCTTGAAACATCTTATTGCATAGTAATTCGTGTTAGATACAACAGCATTTTCAACATCAGATTCTGCATCGAAATTGCTAAAGCAGTTCAAGCACACCCCTCGTCCGTTTGTTCATCTATTCGTCTAATTTCGTTGACCCAGTTGTTCCAAATATTGACTGCACCGGGTCCCCCAACTTGTTAGCGCGTAAGACTTTATCACGAAGAGATCTTAAGGCTGAGAGTTTGAGCCTCTCCTCGGGCGTATATGTTCTTCCTGCCTCCTGGATACCAGTCCAATTAGTAGTTATTGGAAACCTTTCATGTTGAGCTTGCCTGCAATATACTATATCAACGCCGGGGCTTAAAGCCATGAGCAGGTCATGAAAGAACAGAGTCCATCTTCCAAGAACAGAAAGACTGCGGCTTGCTTTTCCAACGGGCCCCACTACTGTGAAGGCTATCCTGTTGCAATGCTTCATACCTTTGGATGAGTTACCATGCCTAATCGTCGAAATCCCTCAGATTTGCCTCTAGTTCCTTTGACAGATTCACATTTGAGGACTGCTGGCATGTCATGGCTGACATCCCCCTCATACCGACAGTCCTCTCTGTCCTTTTCCGCTACAGCTTTCCATTCTGTGACTGACGTTCTGTTGGAAAATCCCAACCTCAATTCCAGCCATCTTTTCCGAGCTGATATCATTTTTGATAGCACTGGGATCTTGAAGACTAATCGGGAGAAAGAGGACTTCCGCTGCATTCCGCCTTCCAACAGCCATTTGGGTTGTGAGGAACAGCAACTTAAAACCAGCAATGAAGACGAGGCTCTTCCTCCCTTACCGTTTCCTGGTTTCGAGCTTAGAAGAACCATTCTCAGACGCTTGATACCCCGAAAGCCGCAGCTTGACCAATCATTATTGCAGACATGTCACATCTACACCGCTGAAGACGAAGATCTAGCCGATTTCGACGAGGTCCCTTCCAGCGAGAAGGCCCATGAACATGTATTTGCCCCTCTATCGCTCGATGAGAAGCTCAGAAATAAATCGGTCTATAGGCAGGCCGTCGCGCACCACTCCCAGCATTTAGTAGTGTACCAACCACACGCTGATCCTCTGACGGGGAAGAATATGCCTTGGTACCACCCACCCCTAAAATCTCTGGCGTTTCTATATAGGCGTGAGAGACTCGATAGCTCAGAGGAACAAAACCAAACAAGCAGCGCACTATCCGTACACTTTCGATTCTTCTCAGGGAGCTGTCCTGCTGATGATCCTCGGTCTATCACAGATCGTGTCCATCGTACGCTGTTATCACTTCTCTCGACATTCACACGATTGGTTCGGAACACCCCAGTCTGTCTGAATATTCGTAATAAAGAAGAGAGGCCAACGCGGAACTCAGCAATGCAGTACATCAAAGATAACATTATTCCTGAGCACTTAGTCCAGAACACTTATTCCAGGCTCAAAACCCAGTATGCAGCAGACTTGATAAATCGCTGGGTGGAGAAGACCGATCCATCAAAGCATGTTTTCGAAGATCTTTCAATCGCAGCTTTCTTGCTCGAACTTTGGAGGAAAATGTATGGCAACAATCCAACCCACTTTCCTGGATTTGTAGATATTGCCTGTGGAAATGGGGTCCTAGTGTATATTCTCAGAATGGAAGGTTTCCGGGGATGGGGTTTCGACGCAAGGGCGCGCAGAACCTGGTCTATCTTTCCTACAAGCATTACTGCGTGCCTCAAACAATCGGTCTGCATTCCAAGACCATTTCTCGAAGCGCTACATTCTATCGACTACCCGCTTCCAGAAGATCTGCTGGTCCACAACGGCATATTCGAACAAGGCACCTTCATTGTCTCGAACCACGCAGATGAGCTCACTACATGGACACCACTTCTTGCAGCTCTGAGCTGCCCAGAGTCTCCTTTACCGTGGCTTGCAATACCATGCTGTTCTCATGCATTATCAGGCGCGGCAAATAGATACCCATCAGTCCTTCGCCAACCAGGCGACACAAAGGTTCAACATAACATCAAAAAGTTAGGCCCCGGCAATGATGCGGATACTAGTCGTGATGAGCAACCTAGGACAGGGGATCTAGCTGCCTTGCGCGCTTCGAAAGACCCGGCCCCTCAGTCTTCCGAGCGGAAGTCACCAAGTGGAACCAAATCTGCGTACGCGTCGCTCGTGGACCAAGTCATCTCCCTGGCGACGAAACTTGATCCTACGGAAGATGTCGAAAAAACACTGATGCGAATTCCAAGCACCAGAAACATTGGGATTGTGGGAGGGCAGCTGAGAGGCCTATCATCGAAAACGGGCGGCGAAGGTCCGCTTATGACGTATACATCAAACGCAGAACAGCTCGAGCGGGAGAAGCGTGCGGACTTGACCAGAAAAACCGTACGTGAAATTGTAGAGCAGGAATGTATGAGATCAGGGGGTGTAGAAGACGCTGCAACAATTTGGATGGGAAGGGTCAGAACGGCAATTGGGACCACCCGCCACACGTTCGAGTCTGGTTAGGAAAATACAATCCGCGGTTCTGGCACTTCAAAATTCAGGTATGGATTCGTGTATACTTCCACCTCCCCATCTTCTGGATGGGGATGGTTTTAAACGTGTTTTTAGTGTCTTAATTAGAATGCACAATACCAAGAATAATAATAATGCATCCTCCAACATCAACTCCTCTTTGGGGGCTGAGACAAGTGCGGCTGGCCCAGCATAGACTAAAATACATCGTACATAGAGCAGTGCGAGCCTGAGCATTAATTATATTTAGCTTAACTCCGCCAAAATCCAGGCTTGGTAAGCCGTCAGCTTTCGGTAGGTGAGTCCGGGTCGCCGGCGGGCACTTGGCAATCTTGACAACTTTCCTCCCTGTAAGGATTCCTCACCTCCAGATCCTCCATCAAAACCGACCCAGTCAAGCTCTTCCAGAGAGCACAACACTTGCTTATTGAGTTGACCTCTGGCTTGTCTCAGAATATTAAGACCGCTGTGGCTTGTGCGCTTTGTCCTTGCCTCCCGGCTCTGTTTCTGGCGCCCCCATTTCAAAGCAGCAGGATCCCTACTATGCCTACGCTTTGTCTGACTAATTCGCCATCCAATCCGTGAGCAACAACAAGGGTTCCAGTGCTGCTGCAAAGTCCAACACATTTATCGGAAGATTGCCGCTCGCAGGTTCTTATGATATCCAACCGGATTGTTGACGATAGCTTTCTTGGTTGGACCTCATCCCTTTGCTATACATCCAAGTCCCATACAGGACTAGCAGCTCCGATAACCAACCTCACCCCACTGAGTTTGTCACATGTAGACAATCAGGAGCAAGATCCGCGCATACCACCCAATTGCGACTTATGGTCCATGAATACGGCACAGATCACATCGCAACATGGTGCGCATACAGTTCGATGGGGAAGGAGAGACTAGTGGCAAGAGTAATGTCTCTAAACCAGTGAAAAGAATGCGATGGGCTTCACAACATATCACGGGCCAGAGCGCACTGAGGAAGCGCATGTCGGTCATCAAACGACTTCAGAAACGATCTGCGTCTGCGGAAGAAAGAGAACATAATGAAGAGTCATCGCCAAGTGCATCCGATCCAGAAGTCGGTGCTGAGTCCAAATCGCAACCACGGATCGTCTACATTAACTTACCTCCCCCGGAAGATGCCAGAGATGAGAACGGGCATGTGAAAAACCACTTTGGGCGTAACAAGATCCGCACTTCGAAGTATACTCCATTGAGTTTTATCCCAAAGAATCTGTGGTTTCAATTTCACAATATTGCAAATGTTTACTTCCTGTTCATCATCATACTGGGCGTAGGTAGACTTCTGGAATTCATAGAGATGAAATGCGCTTACGATCCTACAGATCTTTTCAATTTTCGGCGCTTCCAATCCGGGTCTTGCCGCAGTGCCTCTGATTTTTATCCTGTTCGTTACAGGAATTAAAGATGCTGTGGAGGATTGGCGGAGGACGGTCTTGGACGATGAACTTAATAATTCCCCAATACACCGTCTGGTTGACTGGGAGAACGTCAATTCTTCCGAAGATAACGTTAGTGCGTGGCGACGGGTTAAGAAATCTTCCACGAAACTTATCACCTTTTGCTACAGAACGATGAAGAACTTACACAAGCGCAAATTCAAGAAGGAGCGTGGACCAGACATGTCAGAACTTGATGGCCATCGCTTGTCGACTAATACAAGGCCGTCTATAAGGACCTCAATATATTCAGATAGAACGTCGTTCCATTCCACTCGATCGCACCAACACTGCAGCGACATTCCTCTGACACCAGTGTCTTCCCCAGGTGCGGCCTCTGCTGTTCATTCTCAGATGCACTTGTCCCCTGGCTTTCGACCTGGCACAGCATTTTCTTTTGAGAACCATGGCGAACATGGCATTCTGGATGCTGATCCTCAGGCGGCTAACGCTCCCTCAAATTTACGTACGCACGAACCAACCCCTGTAAAGCGTCGATCCGATTTTGGACCAGTAAAAGACTATGGAAGCATTTTGAACACTTCCAAGGCTACACCAGAGAAGGCTCGTTTCAAACGAGACTATTGGAAGAATGTTCAGGTTGGAGACTTCGTACGCATCTACAACGAAGAACAAATCCCTGCCGATGTGGTGATACTTTCCACCTCAGACCCCGACGGTGCCTGTTACGTCGAGACGAAAAACCTCGACGGTGAGACGAACTTGAAGGTTCGTCAAGCTTTGCGTGCCGGTAGAAAGGTTAAACACGCTCGCGATTGTGAGAAAGCAGAATTTGTCATTGACAGTGAAGGCCCGCACCCAAACCTCTACCAGTACAGCGGGGTTGTGAGGTGGAAGCAGAGCATCTCGAACACGGGTGATGCAAATATGACAGAGATGGCCGAGCCAATCGGAATTGGCAATCTGCTTTTGCGAGGGTGCAGCCTGAAAAACACAGAATGGGTCCTCGGCGTGGTCGTTTTCACAGGTCGTGAGACCAAGATCATGCTCAACTCGGGTATCGCACCCAGTAAACGAGCTCGGATAGCCAAGGACCTCAATTGGAATGTCGTCTACAATTTCATCATTCTCTTCTTCATGTGCCTCGTATGCGGCATCGTTCAAGGTGTTACTTGGGCACAAGGTAATAAGTCGCTTAATTTCTTCGAATTTGGCTCCATCGGTGGGAACCCGCCCCTTGACGGGCTAATTACCTTCTGGTCTGCTGTCATCCTTTTTCAGAACTTGGTTCCCATTTCACTATACATTTCGCTTGAAATTATTCGGTCGTGGCAAGCTTTCTTCATCTACAGCGATACTTTCATGTACTATGAAAAACTCGACTATCCATGCACGCCAAAATCGTGGAACATATCTGATGATCTAGGTCAGATCGAGTACATTTTCTCCGATAAGACTGGAACCTTGACGCAAAATGTGATGGAGTTCAAGAAATGTACCATCAATGGTGTTGCCTACGGAGAAGCATACACAGAAGCACAGGCAGGGATCCAAAAGCGACAGGGTATCAATGTTGATGAGCATAGTGCCAGGATTCACCAAGAAATTGCAAGGGATCGGGTGCGAATGCTGGCTGATCTTCGCAAGATCCACCACAACCCTTATCTACGCGACGAGGATCTCACATTTGTAGCTCCTCTCTTTGTGGCAGACTTGATCGGTCAACACGGCGAAGAACAGAAGCGAGCGAACGAGCATTTCATGATTGCGCTTGCGCTTTGCCACACTGTTATTACTGAAAGGACGGCAGGTGACCCACCCAAGGTAGAATTCAAGGCTCAGTCTCCAGACGAAGCAGCGCTGGTTGCGACTGCTCGAGACTGTGGCTTCACAGTCTTGGGTCGTTCTGACGACGATATACATCTCAACATCATGGGTGAGGACCGCACCTACAGGGTCCTCAACACGCTAGAATTTAACTCAACCCGAAAACGCATGAGTGCCATAGTAAGAATGCCGGATGGTCGGATCAAGCTGTTTTGCAAAGGGGCAGACAGCATGATCTACTCAAGATTGGTAAAAGGCTTGCAGCAACCACTGCGTAAAGCTACAGCGGAGCATCTGGAAACATTCGCCCGAGAGGGTTTACGCACACTTTGTATTGCCGAGCGAGATCTCACTGATGACGAGTACTACGCTTGGAGTCGGGACCACGATATTGCCGCGTATGCAATTGAGGACCGTGACGGTAAGCTTGAAGAAGTGTCAGATCGCATCGAGCGAGATTTGATGCTTCTAGGTGGTACTGCTATCGAGGACAGACTGCAAGATGGCGTCCCAGACACGATAGCTCTACTAGGAGATGCGGGAATCAAGCTTTGGGTCCTGACTGGTGACAAGGTCGAGACCGCCATTAATATCGGCTTCTCCTGCAATCTCCTCTCCAATGAGATGGATCTTATTGTCTTCAATGTTGAGGAGGGCCATCAGGATATCGCTTCAGATTTGTTGGACCGACACTTGCAAGATTTTGGTCTAACAGGCTCAGACGAGGAGCTTGCTGCTGCACGGCTTAATCACGAGCCGCCTCCTCCAACGCACGCAATCGTCATTGACGGCGAATCATTAAAGCTGGTTCTTCACGACGACCTTCGACAACGATTTTTACTGCTTTGCAAGCAGTGCAAATCCGTTCTGTGCTGCAGAGTCAGCCCTTATCAAAAGGCCGCCGTCGTACAACTCGTCAAAAATGGACTTGATGTCATGGCTTTGTCTGTTGGTGACGGGGCAAATGACGTGGCGATGATACAGGAAGCAGATGTTGGGGTGGGTATCGCTGGTGAAGAAGGCCGACAAGCTGTGATGTCCTCAGACTACGCCATTGGCCAATTTAGATTCCTGCAAAGGTTGGTACTGGTGCATGGACGATGGTCCTATAGAAGGCTTGCCGAGACTGTCGCCAATTTCTTCTACAAGGTAAGATGTCTCTCAGCTATTGTGTTGTCGAACACTGACCATTCGCAGAACATTGTATGGACCCTCGCCCTGTTCTGGTACCAAATCTACACCAATTTCGACATCACATATTTCTTCGAGTACACCTATGTCCTCCTAGCCAATGTTGTATTCACCTCACTCCCCGTTATTTTGATGGGTATACTGGACCAAGATGTGAGCGACAAGGTGTCACTCGCTGTTCCGCAGTTGTACAGACGGGGCATGGAGCGCAAGGAATGGACCCAAACCAAATTCTGGTGAATTCTTCCGTGGATCTTCTCAATAAGTTAGAGCTAAAGTTTTACAGGGTCTATATGATTGACGGTGTGTATCAGTCCGTCATTTGCTTTTTCATGGGATACCTTCTTTTCGCCCCAGCCGTTTTTGTGACAGAAAGTGGTCGTGTTGTTGACGATACCTCTCGCATGGGCGTCTACGTTGCCTGTGCCACGATTGCAGTCGTCAACATTTACGTCCTTCTCAACACTTACCGCTGGGATTGGTTAACGCTGTTGATCGTGGCACTTAGTACTCTCCTGATTTGGTTCTGGACCGGCGTCTTTTCCTCATTCCCAGATTCTTTCAGGTTCTACGAGGCGGCAAGGGATGTGTACGGCACGTTGACGTTCTGGACGCTAACACTCCTCATCATCATCATCTGTCTTCTGCCTCGCTTCTCTGCAAAATTTATACAGAAGAACTTCTTCCCTCGCGACATTGACATCATACGCGAGCAAATAAGGCTCGGCACTTTCAATTACCTGGATGAGCCTAAACCTGCTGCAGGCAAATCTGGGGACACTTCCACAACGTCATCAGAGCTGGCTAAGCCGTCCAAAGTGAACGGAAAGGGTCCTGTAAGCATCACCGACTCGGAGCGGCCTTTATACCCACCCTCTGAAACTACAGCAAAGACACGCAATCCGAGAAGCCAAAATAGTAGCGACGGCACGGACAGGACGAAAACTTCTCTTGATTTGGCCCCGCCAACACGTGATCTCCCGTCGTCAAAGCCGGTACGCTCCTCTTACGAACGAGCGCGGCAATCAATGGACCGGCTGAGACCCAGTTTCGAAGGTAGCCGAGATTTCACCTCAGCCGCGCTCCTCACCCGCGTTGAGTCCAGCCATTCTCAGCCGCACAGTCCCTATCCTATTACACCTTCAACCAGTCGAATACGAGACATCACTTCAGAGCTTCAATGAACGGGAGCTTACTACTACAGGGCATTGCTGGCGGGTGTCTCTTATCTCTCCTTCCTTGCATGTGACGAGCGACGCAGCGAGCTTGGCTTCTTTGGTTTCGAAACAGATGGAATCTCATGGGCGCTCAGGGAGTCTGTTGACTACTATACGAAGATCTAGAGTCAGGTTGGGTCTCGCAGCAGTTATTCTTTCCTCATATACAATTGTAAATATTTTGGGACGAAGGTTATAGAAGCCAACTACGACGTGGAGTTTAAACACTGTAGCTCTTTCGCTTCAAAACGACTTGCAATGGAGGTAGTGAAAAATCAAATTTGACATGGTGAACATCTCTGTAACCAAAGCTCGTACTTTAAGAGAGAACAAGCCAGTGTTCTACCAATGCTTTGGCAGCCGACCTCTTCATCCTTCACTCAACGCGTGGCGCGTATACGCTCGAGGTCTTTAGCTCTACTCATCAACATTCAGGTTGCGCCACTGCACTTCAGAGAACACTTAATTTCGCCTTGCCTGCTCTTCCCGAGCGTCCGCTCCTTTTGTCGTTTGGTCTGCAATGAAATATGTTTCTCGCCAGAGTGACATGACTCTTCTGAACCACATTGATCCTGTAATGCATACGATTACATCCAGACGACAATCCCTTCACATCTCACTCTACCCACCTGAGACCTTACCTCTAGGGCACCGCAAGAACAGCTAAGGCTTTGGTCGCTATGGCACACCTCATCCAATATTTAGAGTAAGCCTCATCTTTGTGGCTGCTGCTCGAACAATCGGGTTATATTAACTTTTCCGCCTCAGGGACATCAAACAAATTTCACCAGAAATTCACTTGTTCTGCCCTCGCCAGAACGAGGATGACTTCGACAGATACGAGAGTGATACATTAGTTGGCGAAGATGGCAGCCAGGCCCAGAGCGACCGGACAAAGCGTCAAAGGATCAAGGAAGCTAAAGATCGCCGGCAGAAATTCATGGATGCCATGGGCTTGATAGCCTACGATGGTCCAGAAACGGAGGCCTACAAGAACTACATATGGGAAAGGCTCAATGATGCTCTTTCGAAATGTGACCTCTGCATACCCGCTTACTACGTTGCCAAACTCGAATTGAAGGATACTTTACAGCAACAGTTCGAAGATGATGACATCAAGAGCTTCTTCTCCATCATCGACAACGTGGATATAGAGCGTATCATCAAGGGTCTGGACAGGGCCAAAGTCACACTGCAGAACGTCCCCGAACAGAAGCGTAACCTTAGCTGCCTTGATCAAGCATCGCTGTTCTCCATATTTGAAGCGTTGAGCTGCGAGGCTTTCCTACGAAAAGGGGATCTCCTCGACGCCCATTTTGATAAGCCTTTTAAACTCATCCAGGGAAAAAGGCCTCTGAAGACGAGAGACTACGTTCCTGCTGCTACTCGCTTTCTCTTTGACAGTCAACCTCATCGCTTTATGTGGGCTTCAGCGGCGTGGGCTCGATTTGATCGGCCCCCTACTGACGCCGAGTGGACCTGGACAGTAAAGGATGTACTGCAGAAGCGGTTCACACAGACATACGAAGAACGTTCACCAGCGGCAGTCTGGCGTCTTTGGAATGGTCTACGCTTCATTGTGGGGCGCCTGGATCAGCAACAGATTACGCATAACTTGAGATCTCTAGAACCTGACATTAGCAAGATGGCCCTAGATCATCTAGCAGTCAAGACATCTGGCTTACAATTCATCGTTCAATCCCTTAAACTTCTTCTACAGAAAGCTCCTACTGACGTCTGGGACGCTATGGGATCCATATCTCCTTCAACAGTGGTTGAACAGATTTTCAGCAGTCCCTACTATGAAAAACTTTTGCAAGACACCAGTAAGCATGACTCAGAGCAGGACTCGAGTGCCGCTCAGATGCTCTCATGGATACCTGTGTTCCAATCGTCTTTGAAACCTGCGAACCAACCTCATGCCTGTCGAGCATTAGCTGCGCAACTCTTCCAGCGGGCGTATAGTTCAAATCTGACGGTGCAGGCAAGAATAGCTTGTTATAAAGCCGCCTTGAATACCCTTCTTGAGGTCCTTCAGCAATTCTCGGACTCTCCTGAGCTGCGCCAATCTGTAGGACGATTCGTAGTGTCCGATATACTCGATATTGTTGGGCAGCACATAGTCCATATCATAGAGAAGCCTCCAGGCGGTGCCAGCTCACTGGGCACGTCGGAAGATCTCGAGCCACCGGCAACGGACGTTGTTCGCTACTCCCTAGATTTAGAGTGTCAGATACTCAAGAATGACTTTCAGACGATATTGGCTGGGAAGATACTGCAACAGGGGCCAAGCACATACACTCCCGATATCTGGTCTGTGGTGGTGCAAAACCTCCATAGTAGTAACACGCAGCTATCGGAGGCATGCCTTCGTGGGACCCTGGCCTTGCCCGGTCTTGAAAATTTCGTTAACAGACGGTCAAAGGAACTGCCTAAGGAGTCACAGCAATACAACGATGTCTTCGACAAGATCACCAATCTGCTCAAACAGATATTGGAACGCATTGCGGACTTTGCACCGGAACATCTGGATCACCTTTTTAAGACACAAGAGACCAGCATGCCACTGATCGCTGCCCTCTTTTCGGCCGATCAGGGCACCTATCTGGCAGCAAATGATCTTATTAAGAACGTCAGTGGCCAACCAGGGCAGAAAGAAGCCTTGACTCATTTGCTTCGTGCATTCCCAGGTACCACTCTTTATAGTCTCTCGTGGTCATTTCGGCGGACCGCATTTATGAAGACCTTTGCCTCCATACCTCGAATACTAAAGACAGGCATGGACATATTGGATATTCTTACCGACACACAGACAGGCCTGTTGAGGGACAGTAACCTCGAACCTCGTGATTTTCACGCAGCACAGACTTATTGGACGTACCAATGGCAAGTTTTGAAAACTGTGTTCAAGGACACAGAACGCTGGCACACGCTATACCATGATAAAGCACTGATGACAGAGGTTTGTCGAGACGCTATGCAGTATGCAGAGGCTCTATTTGAGCAATATGACGTGTTTGCAAATGCAACATGCAACGCAAAGTCTGAGTCGACTGAAGCTGTTGATAAACTGCTCCTCGAGAATAATAACGGCTCCCCTGCTGCTACCCTCCAAGCGATGAGCAAATGGCTTCGCCTTAGGGATGAATATCTGTCTGCCACATTGGTGAAGCTGATCACAAAGATGCTTCAACGTTTAAGTGATCACAACATCAAGGTGCCCTTGGAGGGCCTCGGATACATCGAAGAAGTAGCTGTACAGAAGACCATCAAGACGATGCTATCAGCTCGGCAAAAGGCAGAGATCGTGAGAGCCTTGGAGATCTATCACAAGAGGCCAGTTGTTGTAGAAGAACCTTCAATGAAGCAGAAGAGCCTTACGGAGTGGACCAAACAAAGTACAAAGGGGGATGGGTTGGAGAGCAGTGCTTCTGCTTCACGTGAGCAAAGTGTGGACGAGTTCAATGACTCTGATGTTCTGGACAAGGACTTGTATGAATTGTCAAAATCGGTCGAACTAAGCAAAGCTCGGTTCCCAGTGCACCAAAAGGCACAGAAGGGTGCGAAACCTGATCTTACCAAACAGATATCGGCCAAAGTGATCAACAAGGCAATTCCGCAGAAATCGAAGCAAGAGGTGTCTGCTTTTCTAGAGACACGTCGAAAGGAGACTGAGGCGAGAAAGGCTCGTGATAGGGAGGCAGCCGCACAATTGCGAGGACGGATTGGCGTTGGCGAGCAAACCAAAAACCAAGGATCTGGAGTGAATGGTATCGGAGTCAAGGGCAAAGATCATACTCTGGCAGCAGAAAGTATGATGGTATCATCAGAATCGGAGACTGACTCGGAAGACGAGATGGATAAGCAGCTCTTTGGATCGAAAGTTAAAACTGTCAAACAGACAGGAGCTGGCCTCTTCCCTGCAATGGTCAAGGCTGGTGCAAAGGTCCCACAAGGCCCAGTAAAGAAGATCAAAAGGTTGCTGCATAGAAATGACATGCGCGCTCGACTTTCTCCAGATCTTTCCAATCTTCATCGGACTATCCTCGGATGGGACTTCTTCGCAGATACAGAGTTGCCTCCAGACTCTGGCAAGGACGATTATACGCTGGTCTCAAATACGTTCTCCACCGTCTTGGATTATCAGAGGACGTTCGAGCCGCTCTTGATCCTAGAGGGCTGGCAGAGCTTCCGTTCTGCAAGAGAAGATGGAAATTTCAAGTCCTTCCAAATCAAAGTCTCGAATCGTCTCAGTGTTGACAGTTGCGTCGAGGTCAGTACCACCATGTCATTCGCAGAGAGCAGGGAGTTGGGAATCGGAACGGCGGACGTGGTGCTCCTGTCCAGGAATCCACAGCCACATAGTGCTCCTGATCAGCCGCATTGCTTGGCCCGAGTCAAGGAGAAGAATTCGAAGCAAGGGCAACTTGAAATAGTCCTTCGGGTCAACGCTGCGAACAACCCTCTTCTTTCCATGCTAGCGCCAGGCACTGACCTCTGGGGTGTGCAACTTTTGTCACTAACTCCCCTAGAACGCGAGTATGGTGCATTGAAAGCACTTGCATTCTACGACCTTGGTGAAGAAGTCATCAAGGCAAAGCCATCACCGATTCTCAATTACTCTGAAGAGCAGCTTCACCCACTAGTTGAGAATTACAATGTCAACAAAGCTCAAGCGAAGGCTGTTCGATCTGCGCTCGATAATGACGCATTCACATTGATACAAGGGCCGCCAGGTTCCGGTAAAACAAAGACAATATGCGCTATGGTCGGTGCAATGTTGACGGACTCTCTTCGCAGTCAAGCAAACACTACTTCGCGCTCCCTAACCTCTAATGGGCATCCACATCAAACCCAGCCTACCATTCCAGCCAAGAAGAAGGTCCTGGTATGCGCCCCCAGCAACGCAGCGGTCGACGAACTAGTCATGCGATTCAGGGATGGAGTAAAAACACTCGACGGACGAAAGGAAAAGCTGTCCATTGTACGACTTGGCCGCAGTGATGCAATCAACAGCAATATCAAAGATGTCACGCTTGAAGAGCTAGTAAATGCAAAGCTCAATCTGGCCACGCCAAAGCATGGGAGTGATCGAGACATTCGCGACATCATGACCGAACATAAGGACACTTCCGACAAATTCCATGCCCTAAGGATTCAAATGGACGAGCGTAGGGCCAAGGGAGAACCAGTGTCACAGGCCGACTCGCAGGCGTTGGACAGATTAAAGAAAAAGAGGGGTGAGTTGAGTCTACAGATTGACAAAGCTCGAGACAAACAGAAGACGGCCTCTCGAGATGCAGAACTCGAACGAAGGCGTATTCAACAATCTATTCTGGATTCGGCAGACGTGCTCTGCGCCACACTGAGCGGGTCAGGCCATGAAATCTTCCAGAGTTTGAACATTGAGTTCGAGACGGTTATTATTGACGAAGCAGCCCAGTCGATTGAACTATCCGCATTAATACCCCTTAAATATGGCTGCTCAAAATGTGTTTTGGTTGGAGATCCGAAGCAGTTGCCTCCCACTGTTTTATCCAAGGAGGCTGCGCGATTTCAGTTCGAGCAAAGTTTGTTCGCACGCATGGAAAAGAACCATCCCAAAGACATCCACCTACTGGACACGCAATACCGAATGCACCCAGAAATCAGTAGGTTCCCTAGCAAGACCTTCTACGAGAGCCGGCTCAAGGACGGTGAAGACATGTCCAAAATACGAGCACGCCCATGGCATTACGCCTCGTTACTTGCCCCGTACCGATTTTTTGATGTACAAGGAATGCAATCGAGTGCTCCAAAGGGACATTCCCTGGTCAACATTGCTGAGCTGGAAGTTGCCATGCAGCTTTACGAACGTTTGACAACTGATTGCAGACAGTATGACTTTAGAGGGAAGATAGGCATTATCACACCTTACAAGGGTCAATTAAAGGAGCTGCGTGCAAGATTTTCTCGTCGGTACGGTGAAGGTATCTTGTCGGCCGTTGAGTTTAATACCACAGATGCCTTCCAGGGTCGTGAGAGCGAGATCATTATCTTTTCATGTGTACGTGCAACAACGAAAGGCATTGGCTTCTTGAGCGATATCCGACGTATGAATGTTGGCCTCACCAGAGCCAAGTGCTCACTTTGGGTTTTGGGAGATTCTAAGACGCTGATTAAGGGGAAGTTCTGGAACGATCTTGTCACCGATGCAAAGGCGAGGAATCTATATACTGACGGTGATATACCACGGCTCTTACACAGGCCGCTCCTCACTGTGGATATGATACGTGACGACATTGAAATGGACGATGTCACTTCCTGCACACCATCCGTTGCCATAACGTCTTCCATTGAACCCACGCATGCAGATCAGAGATCCAGCCACGGTAGAAAGAGAGAAGCTACAGTTGGTATGAGCTCATCATTAGCTTCCAGCTCGTTGGATTTGGCTGCTGGTGCCCCTTGCTCAAGCAACCTTGGTTCACCCAGAAATCCGAATTCTAGCTCCAAATCCGTGACGTCTCAACCGGAGTCAGCCCAGACAGTGACACCTGTGTCTTCGACATACTCTAGGGACATTGTTCATACACCCACCAATGGATTTCGGCATCAGAACAGTGGGCTGGGCGGTGTGTACGGACCTTCTGGCGGCAGAAATGGGCTCAACGATCTGGCAAAATGTCGCGTTTGTGGATCAGATAACCACTTCACTCATGCTTGCGAGAATGCCGCGGCAAGATCAGCCACTCAGGGCAATTGCTTCCGATGTAGTAGCCCATTTCACTCATCATGGGATTGCCCCGAACCTCGCTGCCTCGAATGTGGCGAGGTCGGTCACGGCCAAAGAGCTTGCGAAGCACCTCCAAATCTTCGTTTAGGCAGAGCAGAAAAAGAGCGTGTCCAAATACAGGAAGACGATTTCTCAAGGGAAAGAACGAGAGCCAAGCAACGACGAGCAGATAAACAGCTTGGAGAGCATGGTGCGAGTATTCCCACCGTGAAAAGCACTCTACCAGGTCAAGGAAAATCTCAAGGTCCAATACCTGGAAGTGATCTATCGAATCGTAGCAAAGCAGATACAAAGCGCAAGAGAGAAGAAGTGTCCCCAGTCAACGCACCGAGAGGACCAAAAGCTATGAGGCCTGGCAACGGTACTGTCGACTTGACGGGGGTCGATGATGAAAAGCGTTTAATAGATGGTCGGAAGCCTGATATGGGTGCTGCTCCTCGGCATCCCGGGGCGATTAACCGCTCAGGCTCAGTTGGCAGAGTCATCATCAAAAAGAAGCCCAAGGAAAGCGACGTATTCCTGAAAAGAAAATGACAAAGGTGAGACAATCTCGCTCGCGTTGGGATAGCTTTGCGTGGATGCATTGGTGACGGGGGTATTTCTTTGGCGTTCGCATACAGGAGGGAAGTACGTGTTATGGAGCCCAACTTAGCTGTTGTGCTCCTCGATCATGAGCTTAGGGCGACTATCCATAGCTGCTTAGAAAAGGCAAGCCAGTTTCAATGTACTACGTAGATTGGGAGGTAAGACGATGCGAACTCGCTCTTTGGAGTGGCAGCACAACGGCAATTTGCGGATGCCAGCCCAGACGGGAACACCAGCTGATCCATCCTAGACCGCCTGTCCGTTTGTCTAAGCTGCAGGATTATCCTTGCCCACGCAGTACGGTACAGAGCAGTTAAGTTGCTCCCAACTTTGCTACCTCGACACAGGCCGGAGGCCCGGAAGCCCACCAATACTTGCTGCATATGCACGCCCGGTTTGTCAAGTAACGACTAGTCAAGGCCCTTGTGTTGCCTTATGGGCATTGAATACCCCACCCGTAGGTTAGTAGTCCAAGCGACAGATGTCATCATACAGCACAACTTGGTTCACCTCTACACTGTTGCAAGCTGTCAAGAGAAACTTCGTGTTCCCTTACTCCGTTAAAGCGTATGCCGGCCACGCTGTGATCCAATGCATAAAGCATCAACCAACTGACCCTGCAAGCTCTTTCTGCCACTATGAAAAAGTGCAGCTATATTTCAAAAGTGGCTGGTCACACGTCCACCCTTCTACCCTCATCACGAACCCCTTGCATACGAATCCACGAAATCGGATTTTTCTCGACGTCTGAGAATCCCTCTCGACCATGCTACGCTCGAGTCAAAGCCATCCTATACGTTCACAGTATGTTGGGTCTCATTTTCGAGCCGGGCATTTCAGCGTGCTTGGAAGCAAGTGACAGGACTACTATGATAGACCCCAGGACATCTTTGCTTTGCATAAACGCTCCATATTGAAATATCTTCTGCAGCAGGGTAGCACAGATCCTAACGGCTTCCATGTATCGCTGCCTCCTGCTGCATGCATGCGGCGTCAATCTATTCCTTACGTTTTCTTTTCTCCTTGCAGATCTTACCCTGGCCGGTTTTCTCACGTCAGTGCGACACCCTTGCTCATTTTTCAACGTCTTTTTCTCCGTCGGAACCAGCCCCAGGATTTGGTTGAAATGTTCACTGTGCGGCCGCTGCCGTACCCGTCAGCCATGGTCGATCACAGGATTCTATCCAAGACTATGCGGAACTTGTGATATTTGATCGTTCTGTCCACCGGTGACATTGTATAACGTTGAACAGCCACACAGTTTCCGTGCCAAATCGCCCTCGTCCTACGTGGGAGAGCCTTGTCAAATTCCACCTGTGTCATGATATGACATCCCTCTGAAGTCCGTGCTCTTGCTCCGGGTGCTCGAGACTGCGCAAATCTGGTGAATCGCTTGTAACAACCAAGATCGCTCTTCTCAGCCGACCGAGCATCACATTACGTGTGCTTCTCCCACTCTTCATTGGAGAGCCAGCTTCGAGGTGCCATGAACCCTGACAACAGCTATCCACATCCAACAGCATCGGCTATCACTGTCATGACTGACATTCGTTCCCAGTCGCCCCTCATGAAGGGCTCGATTAATCCAGAAGATCGACTCATATACGAAGAGTTTGGACAAGCGGAGCAAAGAAATGCGGCGGCAGCAAATGCTTTCAAGATGGTACCCAGGACGATACCCAGCTCTACCAGAAGTGCCAGAGGAAGTATAGAGCGTCACACTGGTCCAGTTGCTCATGACAAAAACATGCTGAGGGTTCTGCCTCTCATTCATATTCCAACCAGCTTCAAAGAAAATCCAGAATGGCGTCAATACTATAACCAGAGCTCGAAACCGGCCGAAACAAAACAACAATGTTTGCTTGATACGCGAAGTACAGCACTGCCAGAACACTCGTTGATTAAGACGAACAATTCCTCTACTGAGACTTTTATCACAGCAAATACACTGTTGGACCAAGCCTCGATGAAAAAAGCTGGACTCGACTCCAGAAAGCTCTTGCGTCTCCCACGTTCTCGGTCTAGTCAGAATATCCTAAAGGCAGGGAACATGCGCCTGAAGCAGCTGATCCGGCCCAAACACAATACTTACTTTCGGACAGAGGCGGTTGTTGGGGCCGACCAAGATATTGCTGGACAACTCCAAAAGCCGGATTTTATTGCTTCCCAGAAAGATCTGCGCAGCAGAGATGCGAAGGCCAGGATGGAAAGGCTGGCAAAAGGGGAAGCAATCCATCCACCACGGTCACTTCGCAACAAAGAAAGCAGCACCAGTATCATTGATCTTGACCAAGTCGAGGCAAGACATGGTTTGGAAAAGTACCATCGATCCACTCTGTCCAAATCCTGGGACGAAATATTCAAGAGTGTTGGTGGTTTCAAGTCAGGTTCTGACGGTGGGAATGATGAGCTTTGTTACAATGAAGCTCAGTTGCACTTTACCGGAGTCAATGTCACGAAGCCTGTTTCAGCAGCTGATTCCATTTCAGCAAGCAAACTTCAAGTCAATACGTCTCAGAACGTCGACGCCAAAGGTCCTCATGTGCCAGCTCCACGCACGTCGAATATTACCACAAAATTAGTTACAGGTCCCACACGGCAGAGCTTCCAAGTTTTAGTAAAGCAACTTCCTGCCCGCCCAACGCCTACCCGCCAGTCGAAACAGGAATGTACCAACCAAAGGGACTGGGCCACGGAAACCGACATGCACTGTATGCAGGTCAAAGCAAGCCTCACACCTCACTTGCGAGAAGCCCGATCTTTCGAAGTTCTTTCCCAGCACGGGTCGGCCCCTAACACAAGCCAGTCAACGATTGCATTAGAAGCTATTGAGGCCGAAATGAATAACGGTCAACCAGTTTCTCCTTCGACCCTGATGGGTCCGAGCCCGCCTCTCTCTCTCAACAGTACACCCCCCCAGCTGGTAGCAGCACCCACTGATCCACCTGCTGGACCCCTGCCTGAGCTCCCGGAGGAGTTCAGAAAGGCTGGCGCCTCTTCCCGTGCCTCGTCACAACACTCAACCCGAACACGACTTACTTGTCCCACCACTTCTCCTGGGCCGAAGCACAGGAAAACCACCAGCGCCAATTCCTCAAGTTCAAATTTAACACTCCAGGCTATGAAATCGTCCCAAGGCCACTATCGTCACCAGACTAGTCCTGGTACTAGAAGTCTAAAAGAGGCCAGCACGATTAGCAGTGCTCGGAGCGTACTGGCTGCAGAAACGCCGAGTCGGACACATCCTCAAAGGAAGGCGGCCTTGGCTGTTAGCGAAAGTGTAAACGTGTCTGGCTCTGATCAATATTACCTGGGCAGCAGCCAGGACCTTCGAAGTCTTGCAGCCAGCGATATTGACCGAGGATACGACATGATAGATACCACTGGACTAGCCTCAACCAAATTCCCTTTTCTCACCAATGATGCGCTTTCTTCCCGCAGAGATCATATCAAAGAATTAAAAATGAGAGATCTTGCACAGGAGAAGGCGGCAAGAATTCGCAGTCAATCTCACCTTCGTAGCCTCGAAGAGGCAAGCGTAGCCGCAAAGCCTTCCTCGACCGCTAATAAAGGGTCGCCGAGGCATATTCCACTGGTGCCCGTCAGCCCATTCGACACAGCTCACAAAACCATCATTGGGGGTTCAAGCCAAGCGAGCCGCCGACCAAATCACCATATCCCTTGTAGTCTATCCATCAAAACGAGCCAGAGTACCATGACTCAAAGCCAGATCATGGTCCTTGCGGAGACGAATCCCGATACCCAACTGTTCTGTGCCTCTACTCCAACTAGATCGGTGCGAAGGACTGACAGCGGGAAAGCGATGTCTGGAATAGGCAAAGAGATGAAACCGAGAAAGCGAAGAAGCAAGACTAGGGTTCGTTGCCATGTTAATACAGCAGTAGCTTTAAACGGAGCTACCGGAGGGAAGCCAAGTGGACAGTACACTCCTCCCCTATCCGAGCCCTCACCTCATTCGTCAGGTGATGACATGGAGAACACACATCGTCCAGAAGCCTCTCAAGACGTCAACGATATTTCTCCCTTGGCCGCAGAGGAAGGCGATTTCGAGTCCACTCCATCTAAACAAGCATTTGCTGTACTCGCACGCAAAGAAGAAAAGAAGTATTTGAAGGAGCAGCTACTTTTGAGGAAGCTGAAACGTGAAAGCTCTGACTTGAAGCTAGCCATGAAGCTGTTGAGCCGTGGACTGGAGAAACTGACAACGTTCGTGGAGACAGATGAGGGGCTTAACGAAGTCAAAGGCCGGGAATTATTAGGAGCGGAGATGGAGCGTGTCAAAAGAATGGCGGAGAGCTTCGAATGCTCCCTTAGCCCTGAAGATTGGGAAGGGCTTGACCAGGACACTTTCAGGCATGATCACCCCGAAAAGCATACTTTGGATGACGTAGATGTCAGCTTGCGAGGGGCAAAGAGTGCGCGAGTGGACGATAATCGACCTCTAAGCCTGGTGAGCAGATACAGCAGTGTTAGGAACTCGATGGGTGAGAGTGTGATTTCTGGACCCCCCCTCAAAGACGAAACGATCAGGAACCAATTAGAAGGATTTAACAGGGCGACTATGTTAAAGAGTGGTTCTCTTGATTGATCATTGCGTGGGTGAGACTGTCAGTGAACGAAGAGCTGCGATGGGAGTCTGGTAAAGGAGACGAATGGTGGCCTTGAGTTGCGGGAGGGAAAACATATTGCACTCTTGTATCTTCCTCTATTACTTTATGGTGTCGTCTATCAAGGGGTAGGAGTGTAATCCTCTAGATGTACCGGAAGAGGTTGAAGAGTTGTCATCTATTGCTAATGTTTCGAACGTGGTTACACCAGAGACTAAGTATAAGGCCCTGGGCTTCTCTGAAAGGAGGACATGATCTCAACATGTTTCTAAGAGAAGACGCCAAGAACATCTAGACGGAGCTTCGTGCCATAGTTATTAAAGCAGTTTAGGAGCACAACCCCATTATATTACTCAAAATAAGAGGCGGGTTTCGGAGGTTATTCTTTTACCGTGGAGACATTCGACATGCTTTCAGCACTAATCCTATGATCAAAAGAACATAGTAAAGTATATAAAGCTGTCCTCTGTGTGGCCCGAGGCACCGCCGATCAACTCCTTCTGTGACTCGACTGAAATGTACGCTTCGAGCACATCGGATCCCATACTACGTGCGTTGGCCTTTTACAACGCCAGGGCATAAGTATCTCAATTGCCTCGGCAAGAGGGTCGTCAGGTTAAGCAGCTCCCATTGATGGATTTCCCGATCGGGCGTGCGGCCAGAGCAATCCCTCCACCCTAGTCTCTCTCTTTCCCTTCCATGTCGAGCATGCCTGCAACGAGGATGGCTGCAAGAACCAGGCACATATTTGCGGCCGCATTTGCACAGCGGATGTCCCAATAGCCTGGAGGTAACTTCGTCAAGGCATGCCATGATTGTTGCTGCCCTACCCGATCCATTCACCTGCTTTACTAGGCCGTACGCGCTCTTAAGAATCGAAAGACGGCAGACTGCAGACGCAGAAACTAATGACTGATGACACCACATTTCTCGCCAAGATGGTGGACATGCACATGCAGTTATTAATGGCATAGGTATCTTGCATGATAGGCCATGCAAGAATTCGGCACCGATCCCTCCCCTTGGCTCAGATCGAGTGCAACATTTCGATATCAATCACAGCAGAAATTCTCTCAAGCTTACCCCCTGCGGGCCCATCCGGTACCCTATTCTTCGTGTGATAGCACTTGCGCAAGTCCTCAAGCTCTTCACGTATCCTGCCCCGATCGGGCTTACACAAGCTCATTCGAAAAGAGGTACAACACGATATCTTGATGTCTATATCTATCCCTTGTTCCTGTTCTGTACCTCCAAGGGCTCTAGCTGCACTCGATTCCCCGGAGCAGCCGCCGCAAGGGCCTGCTTTGCAGAAGTATTTACTACGTATGCACAATATCCAATGGTGTACAAGATCGACAACGCTAAGTACTAGCAGCATTCGTCCTCCGTATCCGGCAGTCTATTGGGACAGTTCCATCAAGTCTTCTGATCCTCCTTCCATATGGTTGCAGGGTCACCGATCCGGTTCCAAATACGTCTTACACTATCCTTTTAAGTGACTCACACCATCTGTGCGTAGAACCATTACTTCCACAGTGTTCAGTCACGAATTATTGCACTCAGCCTTCGCTCACATCATTTTAACAACGGCTTCTCATGGTCCATTCCACCACTGGTCCTCCTTCAAGAGATTTCAGCCACAATAAGCAAGAGGACTTTGCATCACATCGAGGTATTCTCGCGGCATTCATCACTTCTCATGCCTTGCTATTACCTGTCCCATTTGCCATCATGGTAGTATTGGACGACAAACTCTCCCAGCCAGGATACTGATGGGACTATTCGGGGGTGTATATTATAACGGACAATACTCATTGGATTCTTCTGCCGTAAGCCGTCCTAGGGATAACCACAATGACGCTTTCTTGGATGCTACACCCACATTTCCAGGAGCCTATAGACATTTTCCTCTTTGGCTTCATCGTGCTGATTCTCCAGCACATGCTCGAGGTCCGAGTGCACATCGATCCAACAGAACCTTTGATACGTGCCAAATGGATTCTTGCTACCCCGTTCAGTCCCGGCTATCGTTTGTGGACAGGGCCGTACAACGATATATCTAAGTGTTCTCTAAATCTCTTGTCTTGAGGAAATGGGCTCAGGAGTATTCAGTCAGCCGGCTGTCTTCACCAATCTGAAGATTTATGCCCAGATTTCATGTTTACTTAGAACTTAGCAGGAAGAGTCCCTCTTCAAATAATGCTAGGAGAGCCATATGCCTAACCCATAAGATTGCTTAGAATGTACTACGGGGGGGCATCAGGTATCTTTACTCCAAAACGTTCTTTGTACAAAACAGCTAAGCCGATATCAGACTAAGAGTGAAATGTTAGCTCTTTGGAATGGTCGTGCTTAAATCAAGCTTTGCAATAACAAATCACAGCACTATAACGGAGTAACAGAAACTAGCCGCTACCAGCACCAGACTAACAATACTTATGCCTCCCCCCGTAGTACAAGGATACGCAGCTTAGCCGTCTGTGATCCAATAAAATCTTATTATTTCAACGTATTTTGCTGGAAATATGATCATAATATAGTCAAAATATGCTTCTCTTATCGTCTTAATATGGTCGTCATTTCACAGAATAGCTGCCATTTCCACTAACGGCACTTAGCTTGTATCTTTAGCTACCCCTTTTCCTGCAGTGGTACGTAATAAGTAGTCAGGTGTGTGCCAAATGGTCTAAGATCTAAAGCTTAATTACTAACTTAGCCTACACATCGGATGACAACATCATCTGTCGCTTGCTTTTGAATTCTGGTACCATGGACACCATGTAGTCCTTCAATCTGGGGAGCTCTGTTTAGCTCCACGGCTCAACCATATTTTCGAGTCATACCGTCTCGACTTATCTCTGGTGACGCTGCGACGGTAACAGCTTGCACAACGCTATCATTCCTTCCAAGGCCTCTCTTTACCTCCCTCAGTCGGCCCACTTCCCCCATGGTGTGCCTTCCGACTTGCACTCTTAATACCTTCCTGTTCCACCCTTCCTTGCTGCCGGCGTAGTGCTGCACTCTCTTCAATCTCCCTTTCTCGCTCATCTACACAAGAATGGCGTGGGCCCTCGTGACCCCATCTTCCCGCGGCATTGGCCACGCGCTAACCCGACATCTGCTCTTGACCACTCCTGTCAGTCTTCCCATAGTCGCAACCGCGCGCACCGACGTCTCTTCTCTGCGCTCGTCCCTTCTGTCTGACCTCCCTTCTTCAATCTCTCCTGATTCCGCCTCTTCACGTCTCGATATCCAGAAATGCGACCTCAACTCCGAATCCTCGATCCGCGACCTCGCTGGCTACTGTTCCGATAGATATAGCAACCGCTCCAGAGACCCAAGTGCGCATTTACGACTGGCATTCTGCATTCCTGGAATGCTAGTCCCTGAACGCGCGCCAGAGAAAATCGAATACGACTCCGCGTTGGAGACGCTGAAGTTGAATCTTCTAGCGCCGATGATGCTAGCCAAGCATTTTGTGCCGCTGCTGCCCAAGAAGACGCAAGCGAAAAGCCCTGATGGGCTCCCGGAGGTAGAAGGGTTGAACGCCCTAGCCGTGATAGCTTTCATGTCTGCGCGCGTGGGCTCGGTTTCTGATAATGGGCGTGGGGGATGGTATAGCTATCGCTCTAGCAAAGCAGGGGTGAACCAGCTGGTCAAGAGTTTGGATATATATTTAAAGATGAGTAGCGCGGGGAAAGCGGTATGTGTGGGCTTGCATCCAGGGACGGTGAAGACGGATCTTAGTAAGGAATTTTGGGGAAGTACGCCTAAGGAGAAGCTGTTTGAGAGTGGGTATAGCGCTGAGAAGTTGGTAGAGGTTGTGAGGGAGCTGGATGGTCGAATGGGGGGTCGGTGTTGGGACTGGAAGGGGGAGGAGATATTGCCGTAAGAGAGAAGTGGTTCAGCAGAGGAGAAGACGAAGGTCTGAGAACAGGGAGAAGAAAACCAAAAAGGTGGAGAAAGAAGCAGGAACAAGAAGACGAAGGTAAAGGATGACTTGGACTACGAAGCTCAACCCTGCTACAGGCACAGCTGGGAGATGCATACCCTAACCGCTACCGTCTGTGCTCTGTACTGTGAGAGCAAAGCGCACGCCCCTACTTCTGCAGGAAGACAGCCAGCAGACACAGGGAACACTAAGAGCCATTTTCACGAGGTGTGCACATACAGGCGCGACGAATATTCGAACTCGCTTTTACTAGGAAAACGGTTGGACGAAGATAGATGATAGATTAGTATGTAGATATTTAGATGACTTCCTGGATGGAAGGGATGGTTGGGAAGATCTTGCTGACAAAAAGGACCGATAGAGAAAAGGCGTATGGAGATAGCCTAGGTAAAGATTGTTGCCAGTCTAAGTAAAGATTATTGCCAGCCTAGGTAAAAATTGTTATCAGCTTAGATAAAGATTATTGCCAGCCTAGGTAAAGATGATTGCTAGCCTAGGTAAAGATTGTTGCTAGCACAGTTAAGACAGATGGCCTTATGCATGTGCAGGTTGCAACACCACAAACCCAGGCTGCCCAGAGGAAGCAATTTCCTTTCTGGGAAGGAAGCAGAAGTCCTGCCCAGATGTCCTTTAACCCCAATTTGTTTAAAGCACTTCCCTTGATGTCGAGCCCGCAGACTCCTTGCTTGTGGATCTTGTCTTCTGGGCCTAGGATGATGTTTTTGCGGTTATGGGGCATGTCTTCTACGCTCACCACACCGGAAATCCAGACACAACTCCATGCGTACAGATCCGGATTGAAGGCGACGCTTGGTCGTGCGGGTTGTACTCCACTGCCTCCGGCTTGGGATTTGAGATCTTTGAGACTCACCCCCTTTTAGTCCTCTGGTCGCAGCTGAGGAGTAGGAAGGTCGTCAGACATGAGCCAAGTTCAACCTGGGGAGGGCATCCTACTAGCCAGAATAAGGAGCAGCCAGGCTTACTCGATCACTATGAGTCGCAGCATCTCAGGCTCCATGCACGGTCTACTATTCCTCCATCAATTACCGGGACGATAGATGTGCAAGGCTGACAATGGCATCATGATGATTGATGACCGCAGCCAAAGCTGGTTTACCTCTACCACCTTGTATCCTACCCACCCACGTTTCCATGATGTTCGACCATGGAAGCTCTTGCAGCAGCCAGCTTAGCAGGTAACATCGTCCAGTTGATTGACTTTGTTGCAGAAGTTTTCTCGAAATCTGGACAGATCTATCACTCCGCAACATGTGCATCCAAAGAGGGCGAGGAGCAAGATATCATCATACGTGATATTAAGAAGTTGAGCAGCAGATTACATTGTCCTCCACAGTCTCCAGACCCTGTGCTGGAAAGGTTACGTTCGCAATGTAACAGGTTAGCAGATGAGCTGCTGGTGACTCTGGAAAGCTTCAAGGCCAAAAAGCCGTGCACGAGGACTCAGAGTCTACGCAAATCATTCAAGTCAGTTTGGGGCAAGGAAAAAGTGCTGAGACCTGAGGGACGACTCCAGACATTCCGCCAGGAGTTGAGTTTCCATATTCTTGTTGACCTAAGGTATATTCTCGCCACGTCTGTGACAGTTTGAGCTTCGAAAGCTGATTCTTGCACCTAAAGAGGTCAGCTCGACCTATCCGGCGATCAAGCCAAGAATTACTTCGAATCACTTGAGAAATCTGCAAAGATCAGTCTGAAAGACCTCGCGAACATCAAACAGCAAGTGCAGGAAACACAATCGATCCAAAAACAGACGCAGAATATCGTAACCCAGGAAATCGATGCACTGGCCTTCAACTTGGATCAACAAAATGAAGGGATACGCGCTCTTACAGCAGATGAAGGGCACCAATCCCAGGCGCAGATACTCGATGCTGTCGCGGATGCAGCAACTATGCATGTCAATGCCTTTTCTTCGGAAAGTGGGAAGATCAAAGCCACGATTAGAGACGAAACCGCAAATTCGAGGGCTCATATTGCAGGCCTGATGGAAACGAACCAGGAAGTAGTGAAGCAACAGATCAACGATCTGCAACGACGTCTCCAACAGCTTCAGATAGAAATTGACCGGAAGGTCGAGGAGTTAAAAGGATCTGGTCGTCAAGATAAATACCACCCGCGAAGGGCCAGAGCGTCAGTCACTAAAAGAGAGGGGAAACACTGCGAATGTGACACTCATTTCTTTATATGGCCTATATCAGAGTTTACAGGTACCAGCAAGCTTTTTGTGTCTTGTAAGCACTGACCACGCTGATGCTTCCACAGGAATTTTTACAGTCATTGCTGCAACAAGCTAATGTGGCAGTTGAAACTGTCACCGTGGCTACCAAGTCAAATGCATTGCAACTTCGCTCTTTATTCAAAATCGTTCTTGCGATGCGCCGTAATGATAACCTCTCTTTAGCAATGTATTATGCTTGGTACTATGAACCACTCTTTACCTCTTATAGATATCGCATATTCCAATCAGGAGTCTCTGCGAAGTTTTCAATCGAGAAAGGGGTTAAATCTCTGACACGCACGCCCGATGAATCAACTCCCTCCTCGGAACTGCGTGCAGTATATGATTTAGCTAGAAGAGGGGACCAGCTTTTGTGGACGCTGACGGCAATGACAGCAGCCTTGAATGCTTACCTAGACCCCGAGGCAGTGGCTTTGGTTGTACAGACAGTTTTCAACATTCGCGCAAATCCGGCTTGCATCCTGCACAGAACAAACATCTCATATGTTGCGGACCTCGTCACGAAGTTCTTTACGCGCGATGAACCAGCGCCCCCTCAACTTCAAAATGCTCAGTACGATTGTAAATCCGTTGTAGGACAACGACTAGTGGAAGATCTTGCTCTCTGGTCTCGTTTAGCCCACGTCTCTGGGCTGCAGCAGGAACTTTCAGCTCAGCTCGCCCCAAACGCCCCAAACGCAACCGGGTCGATCCAATGGCCAACGACTCGGTGTCTCGAAGCTGACTTGGCCTGTACTTTATTGGCACTTTTTCAACAACCATGCCCCTGGAGTGTCAAAGTCCTGAAGGACATAACATTCAAAATAGATCTACCTGAGAACGGCGTTCTGCTTCGCAAAAGTCACCCCTGGGTGCTTGCCTCAGCAACTCATCTTATTGCATTCCTCGACACAATGAGATCAGCCGGTGTTGACATCCGAATCGAGGAAGTGGCGCCGGATGAGGAGAGTTTTCCAGGATATGTCGCCGCTCATAATCAACCATATCATACTTTACATATGGAGCAGCTCAGATCTGCGAGCTGGCTCTGGCCACAATTCAAGGATTTACAGGGGTTTCGTTTCGACCGGGTTCCACAAGAACGGATCGAATCCAGCTCTGGTTAGGGTTGGATACCCCTCCTAGAAGATACAAATTACAATCCGTTCTGATTCCATCTGCTGAGCTTCCATCTGCTAAGCTTCCATCTGCTGAGCTTCCATCTGCTAAGCTTTCATCTGCTAAGCTTCTATCTGCTAAACTTCTATCTACTAAGCTTCTATCTGCTGAGCTTCTATCTGCTGAGCTTCTATAAGCATTATGTGATCACAAGTGGCAACTCAATCTCAGGAGATGGCGTTGAAGGATAACTTTTCGAGAGACACAAACACGGACCGTATCCCAAGCACTTGTGCATGGCGAGTAAAGAATCGGCCAAGCCTAGACCACCGAATTCGAAACGTCTACCGCCTCTTTTACAAGCACATATCCGTGTGCATAGCCATATCAACAAATTCAAGTCTAATTTGAACCACCAAATGACATCGAGAACACGAGTGTCCATTGCACCCGCATTCCCTCCCCTAAATGCGGAATATTCAAGAAGTGACGAAGGACGGCGTCTGTGGAGAAGCTCTTCAAGCCAATCCCAGTGATAACTTAGAGCAGATGAGGAATAACGTGCTAACCAGCCTCTTCTTCAAGCCGAAAAACCACCCCAGGGCTTTGCAGGACACCCACAACAATCGACCTTGTGTAAGGTCTATTCCAGGCCAGATTTTCCCTTGTGGTTTAGACAATGATGGGGAGTTCTTTTCCTTTCGTTCCGGGTCTAGGCGGGAGGAAAGAAAGAAAGAACGAAGGAATGAAACATCAGTACAAATATTAAGGCGATTCAATCTTTTTATAATGCGCCATCCCCCTCCCCGGACCACCTACCTCCCGCATCCTCGTGAGAGGGAGGGCTGATTAGTACATAAAACTCAATTTGAACTTCAACTTACTTACCTACCTTGAACGATGTCCCGTCACGGGGCACGCCGGTCCCACCGGCAAGGACAAAAAATGTATATTATATATGAGGGAACCAAGAAATAAACATGTCAACTTCTCAAAAAGGTATTACTTCCTTCTCCCTGCCTTCCTAGCTGGGACGTAGCACTTGTTGGCGTTGGCCCCCACCTTTTTCCTCATGTGTCAGAGATGATGACCATATTATCATGGGGTTTATCAGCGACTGCTACGGACAGGGAGCAGGGAGCAAGAATGATATCGAAGGCGCCCCCGTTGCGAGTTTGTGATAATACAGCCTGTATCACCACGGCAAGTGTGGTGTGAATCCTTGATTGGCACGGAAGGGTAGTCAGTGCTGAGTTAGCTGGTAATCTTGATAGCCTGGTATCAGCAGCAAGAGGGGCTTCGGGATCTGAGATCGAAGAGTGCCTTTTTGGCTCAGTAAGATGCATTGTATAGCTAATCCTTTTTTTTAGTCCCGTGGTTTTTTTGTTCCTTAGACGGAGAAATGAGGGTTGAGATGTTTAGGTAGGACATATCATGACTGGATCAAGCTGTGGGTTGTAATCCATTTTGCCTAGATTGATATGTTTTCTTGTCCATAGTATGCTTCTTCAAATGAAGTACCACAAAATGCGCCTTCGTCCAACCATAAGGTAATGGTGACTAAAAAACTTATCCCCCTAAGGACCTGATGCAGGCCGATGCTTTGCGAAAACGATAAAGTGCCCTCAATGAAAACAGATTGAAATGGCATGAAGGAGTCTCCCTTCAGAGACTCGCCCCTCTTTGGGGAGAAGGGGAGGGAGGAGGGAACCCAACGACTTCAGCATTCCAATTGACCTTCTCTATATAGGTCCAAATCCAGTCTTCGCGTCAATCAATGCATATCGCTCTTTCTCTTTCCGGTCCTTCAACAGACAAGCAATGCCAAGTATTAGAAAAACATCGATGGCGACAATGCCAAAGTCCGCTGTGAAGATCATGCTGTTCAGCGAATTGGCAAAGGATGAAAACGGACCGATACAGCCCTGCAGATTTGCAGCAACGAGGGTACTTGTGCACACGTTGTCCGGTACAAAAGGAGGGGACGTTGCGTTCCAATATCCACAGCAGTTGAAACGCTGCTGGAGGAGGGATTGTGTCTCGGTGGTCTGATTGCCCCAGACGGTGGCTAGGTTGGCACGGGTGTTAAGGGTTCGAAACCAGATATCGAGGCCGACAACGAGGGTAAAGATTGCGCAGCACATGACGGCATAGCCATGGGCTTTGAGGAAAGTTCGGTTTGTGGGTGCGGCGATGGAGGGAATGCAGAGGAGGAAGGTTACGAAGACGAACACGGCATTGACGATTGCGGCTGGAACAACTGATTAGCCTCTGTGTGGTTGGAGTGGAAGAGCAGTCTTGCGACAGACCTGTCAATGGTCCTTGCGATAGCAACAGATTGTTCGCAACATTGTCCAAGTTCTGCTTGCCGTTGAGTGCTGCTCTTGTGAGCAGAGCAACCACAAGTATGATTATGCCGCCAATAACAAAAAGAGCCTCGAAGCCCATGAAGGCGAAGAGGACTCTATTTGCCATGGCGTGCCAGATTCCAGATCTAGCGTGGGGGAGGGTGAGGTAGTCGCCAGCGATCAGGGAATATTCGTCGATTCATTTAGCGATTCAGTAGGTCATTCGCAGCATAAGAAGGTCGATGACGACCGGCGTCAGTATGTCGAAAAGAGCGACAAGGACTTCAAGGAAAGTGTCTGTATGCCAAGTACAAGTAGGAAAAGGAAAAGGAAAAGAGAGCAACGTGGTAGAAGTGGCGTTGCCATGAAGTACTCGTGGTCAGAACGAAACCCCCGTCAGGCGCACAGATTCACGCAGAGTGTGGGACCTGCTTGAGATGAGAGACGAGACCAGACGAAGGACTCATCAGGATCAACGCGTCTGACCTGCGCAGGCAATGGCTGATGGATTGTGTGACAGGTGGAGTGTTTCGAGGTCAGTCTCTTGCTACAGCTGAGGTTTCAACCACGGGCGGCGGCCCAATGATAACAGCCTTGACGCATGAAGTAATAATCATTAGCACTGATTATTAATGATCTGAAGAGGTAGCTGCAGCAAGAGAGCAGGGCATGATCAAAGTCATTGGTTTCTACGGACGAGTTTTGGTAATGGGATCAGGAGAGATATTCGCGATGCGGAGAGGAATAGTTCCCATAAATACTTAACTAACTAGTCATCATTACTGTAGCTAAGTTAGGTATTGCACGGCCCACGAACCAACCCGCCCCTGTCTGACGAAATTGGTTCAGACAGCACAAATCCTTTCGCTATCCGCTCAAATATGATCACTGCACGTTTCTTCCTTCTAATCCTGTTTCATGCAAAGCATGATTTGGCCTGCTCCCAACGACCAGTCCTTAACAAAGATTACATGAGATTTGATCCTATTACACTCGAGGGCCATTGCAGTGCCCCTTGCCACTCCTCGCCAACTGAAGTTTTGATGGTGTCGAGTAGATACCTGGCCATCCCCCTCATGAACCATTCCTTATCAGCCCAATGAAGCATGACCGCATAATGGGCCAGGATGACCAAAGCTTCAGGCTTCTGGTCGGCAAGAAGCTCGAGATACTTCTGCGGTATGGTATTTGGCCAGATACAGCAGGAGAGCATGAGCCCTTGACCCCTGTCCCGTAAGATGGACACCTGGCTAAAAGTTTTCATCAGCTCATAAACAGTCATTGCATATGCTTTGGAAGCCTCTGGATCTGTAGACAGACCAGAGTAGCAGCATGTCGTCAGGAGTTCCATGATGCGGTCCGCATCTTTGATAGAGTAACCAGCCTTGGTCTCGGTCTGATTGACCTCATCGAGAAGTGGATAGAGAAAGCTATTGCGTAAAGTGTCCCAATGCAATTGTAAAACTGAATTGCAGCCCCGCAGAAGCAAGAACCATTCGAGAATCTCTTGATGCGCTTCAGAGCCAGCCTGTTTCCGAAGGCTAGCCGAAGTCATGACAAAGATCAAGCAGGAAAAGGTGAAGATTGCATGGCAATTGTTTTCGTCGACCGAGGTGAGAGCATCTCGGGCGGTCTCGAGGGCAAAATTCTGGTGAGTGGAAGCCATCAAATCATAGTAGGAGCTTTGGAGGGGATTTAAATGGCGAAGATGCAGCGCGGCAACAGTAAGGATGGCTCGAAGCAGGAACTCATGCTTGAAACCGAGTCGTACTGCGTGAACTTGCCACAGCTCTCGATTGTCCACCGAGGCACAAGCATCAGCCAAGGTAGTGTATGTGACGGTGGAGAAGTGGTGTAGCAGCTCCAGGTCACCGGTAGCCAAATCTGTAGTGCGTCGTGTGCTTTCTAGGTTGGGCAGAAGGAACGGATCGATCGTTGCGGCAGAAACGGGAAGTGGTGTTGTTGTCACCGCCTCCGGATGGATTGGACTCTTGTCCTGGCTGGGCTCTTGACTTGCGGAAGAAGTGCGCGAGTCTGTCTCTCGCGCAGTGGAGCTCCTATCCTCTGGCCTGCGAGAGAAATCGCATCCTATCTCACGCCGAGCACAGTTTTGGCATACTGGGTGCACTTCGTTGCACTACAAACGTCCCATCAGCATGAGGTACAGGACAGCGGGATTGGCGCTCATACTTTGATTCTCCTTACTTTACACTGACTGCAACCCTTCTTGGATTTGGTGTGGGACCTCCTAGGGCCCATGTCCCAGACTAGGGAGGACAGGTATGCCTCTCTAGCCTAGCCTGGCCTATTGTCTCTTCTCTCCCTCCCCCTGAAAGAGTTATATCATGCTGTGGATTCACTCCTCAACATTGGCCATCCCTGGAGAAGCAGAGCCAAGGAGGAACTTCTCGAATGAAATCGTTTTAGTAGCACAAGGCCGTAGTTGGAAATAAATGCTTTCTTTCTACCGAGCCAAAGGCTCGCTAATAACGTATGAGAGCCTTAAATAATCAGCCTCGTATTGAGAGCAAGGCAGATAAGGTATGAATAGTAACGAGATGTCGAAGTACCGAGGTAGACGCGACAAGAGATTGAGGACGCGGGAGTCGACGCCATGAATAGCAGAGAATTAGTAGTAAGCTTACTTCTTACTTCCTACTTCTTATTTTAGCGACCCTGTCTGCTGTTTGACGATATCGATTCAAAAAGTGAAGACTCCTATTAGAGCTTGTTCAGACACTGGGGCCAAACTGTGGTATGGCCCGAGTGGACCTTATAGGTAATTACTACTGAGTGTCAGAGGTGAGGTTGCGCTGTTCTATTTACTACTATGGGGGGGCCGATGGGCCATAAATGTTGTTAGGCTGACGCTAAGTTAGTAAGCTTGCTCCGAAACAGCTGTTTTACAGATTATCATTTCTTCAACAAAAGAACCTCAAAACGTTTGACTAGAGAAGCATAAATATATTTTTACACTCATATTATCTATCTAAACCTTTTTAAGAGTGATTTCCAATTGGTCAGCTTTATTATGACACAAATACAGTGATACAGAGGACGCCAAGGAGTCATACGCCAAACGAATAGAATTCCTTGTGTACCAAATCGCGCGTTCAGAACTGGAGATTACGAAGATGAAGGAGAGATTGAGGTCATGGGAACTGAAGGTGACCTGTTGCGGTATCCTAGGGAAACAGTCGTGATGGCCAATTGGCACAAACTTGGTGGTCAGAAGCAGCAGACGGCTGGAGTGATCCCCTTGAGTCTGATAAAGTAGTGGGCATTGGGTGAATAGGTGAAGATCCAGCTAACGCGCTACAGACGCATACATGACAGCTGATATAGCCCCTAGAGCAAGCACTATGATTTAAGGCTTAGAAGGACTACGCTGAGAGGTTCTGCTCATGCTTCTGAATCTGTGAAGGCATTTCTCCGGGTCTGTAGATTGAGGCCTCTTTTCCGGGGGCCACACGTGACAATGAACATGTGTCAGACAAAAGCTAGTTTACGGTCCTTTTGGTCCAACAACATGCAATCAATGACTACGTAGGACAGAGTACTACAGGGGGCAATAAATATTGCTAGGTTGGCACTAGAATCAGCTTGTTACGACACAGCGTCACACACTTGCATTGATTACAATATAGACCCTTGACACTTGCGATGCAGCCAGTTTGACTGACGAAGATATTGAGCTCAGAGAATTTGCTTACAAAGCATTAGATAGGGTGATAATTCCTTAAGGGTACTTTTTGATGAGTTTGGGCTTGATTGAAGCTATGCATAACCGTATGTGGATTCTTACATGATTTGTATTGAAGGTTGTTTTGATACTTATGCCCCACCAGTACTGTCTGACTCACGTGGCACCGGATAAAAGTCGAACCGAGGAACTTTGGATGATCCGACCAGGCTGGCGAATCACAACACAAGGACTAGATTGTGGCTTGGCACAACCGGCCCGAATTGCAACTAACCAAGTTGATCTCAAGGCGCGGCTGATCTTTGGCTGACTGAGACCGACACAAGTGCCGCCCTCACCAGCACCACCACCATTACCCATTACCCATTACCCATCACCCACCCACCTTTCTGACCATTCCCCTTTCGTTTCATCAACGTTTACTACGTACCTTTCTCGTACCTCGACTCCACCACACACACCCACCTCTATCTTCATCAAGGCACTCTGTTACGCCTGTGCACCCACCCTTCCACGTCCGGGTGACATTTGCCACAAGGTTCTCCATCAATTCTGTCTTCGGTTCTTGGTAAGTGAAATCACAGTTTCTTGAAATTGAACTATCAATTCCCCCGTCTGGCGGCCCGCCCTGGAAGCTGAGACCTATCACCGATACTTGGGCTATACGGAGTACTACCTTTCCTATCCTAGCCACTGCTCTGACCTGCTCATCGACCGCTCAAGTCCACCATCCGCCGTATTACGACGAATATTTGGTTTCCATCACACGCAGAACACTTTTGCAGCAGTTGCGCGCTCACAGCGATCCACCTGAACTAAGCGCGCAATCAATCAATCAATCAACTAGCTGTGAGGTGACTTCTAGGTGACTGCCCCTAGTTACTTAGTGAGGCTCCAGGCCTTCCCCCTCCCTCGGTTCGGAAGTTGTTCCCCCGCACATCCATGCCCATGCGCATGCCCCATGCCCACGTCCACCTCCAAATAACCCAACCCCATTATTCTCGCCCTTGTCCTCTTTCTCCTTCTCTCTAACCCGACACAGCTGAGCACAGCGTTGTTCCTTTCCCATTTCCACCATAGCGTTGCGACACAGCTGCAATATTAATCGCTATCCAAAAATCATCCATTTCAAGAACCGAAAAGCTTGATTCGCGCCGCAGGTTCCCACAGTCTCGCTGCAGCCAAAGAAAGGTTCCTTCGGCCTGATATCCGGCCTGCAAGACTTTCCCCTGTTGGTTCTCCTATCCCCACAGTACACGCGCTGCGACTGGCACGTCACGCACCTTTCCACTCCACCATCACCATGACCGTGCTGAATTCACTTTGATATTGGTCCGCATGCAGTCGCATGTGACTGTGAGACATCATGCTAACAGTCAACGTCAACAGGCGCAGAGTGAGCCGATCTGCCGCTGAGATCGTTGTCTTGGAAAGACACGTGCAGGTACGTCGACTCGGCCCTCTTACTCAAAACGTTCAGTTCCAAACCTCTTTCCCCTTTCATCACCAGCTCACTGAAATAGGTCTAGTTCATCGAAAATCATCCAACCCGATCGAGAACAAAGTCAAGCCCTTTGATATGGCCGACATCACTGATCCGTCTCAACTCGACCACGGTTCTCCCATTGACGACCCGACCGGCAACGGCGAGTCCCGCGGCACCAAGCGTCCTCGTGCCTCCGCTGCAGCTGACGATGATGACGACGATGACGAGAAGGGAGGCCGTGAGCGGCGCAAGATCGAGATCAAGTTCATTCAAGACAAGTCCCGACGACACATCACCTTCTCCAAGCGAAAGGCTGGCATTATGAAGAAGGTTGGTCACCTGCGTATGGCTTCCTCATCCATCCCGAACTAACCAGGCTGTTACTTACAGGCGTACGAACTCTCTGTGCTCACTGGTACCCAAGTCCTTCTGCTGGTCGTGTCGGAGACTGGCCTTGTCTACACATTTACCACTCCCAAATTGCAACCCCTCGTCACCAAACCAGAAGGCAAGAACTTGATCCAGGTAAGGCAATCAACCCCGTCGCTGGCCTTTCACGTAGCTGACTTCACCTCCCAGGCATGTCTCAACGCTGCAGATCCAGCTGGCGATCAAAATGGCGTCGACACTGGCGATGTTCCCGAATCTCCCGAAGATGTTACCTCCCTCCCTCCCAACCATGGTGGCATGGCTCGCGGTGTTCCTCAAGGTGGTTACATGCCTCAACAACAGGTCAATGATCCTTACTACGGTATGCAGGCTCAAGGCGGTCAATATGCCGGCATGCCTGGAATGCCACAACATCAACGCGGCGCCGTCTAGGCTTACCGTGTGACTCGTTGAGGAAGAGCAGTATGTTGTCTCATGATACCCACTCAGCAATGCCACAAAATGGCCAAGCCAGATTTCATCAAGCTATGGCGATACTCGACGGGATACGTTTGGGGGATCTGTTGATGGTGTCTGGTGCTCATGGGAATTGATGGTGGAGCTTTTTTTCCTTCTTGCAGCAAAAATGTCTGTTTGGGATAATCCTATCACCAGCATGCTCCCCAAATTCAGATCCTTATGCACAGCCTCGAGCTTCAGGCGTATTCAAGGTCACTATTCTCCACTTTCTGTTATTTCTGCTTGCAATCGAGCACCACCTCTTCGGCATGTTCTAATTAATAGCCTACCATCATTCTTCCCAAGGGAACTTGATCTTGATGTGGAATGCGAATCCGCCGAAACAGGTCGGTGTCAATGTACCAGCTAATGCGGCGCAGAAGGTGGAGATCCAATGATAGCAAAATGCTATATTCACAACTACTCATCCTGCTCACTTCGCTTGCCGCTCATGTTGGCAGCCACACTGAATCTCTATACTGCTTCCGTCCTATACTTACCCTTTGCGTTCTTCCTTGGCATATATTTCTGGATCCCTAGCTGATACCGCGCTCATGCCAAAGTTTTCACCATCTCTCCTCGCATTCCACCCCCAACCTCTCTCTTTGCTCTTTGTTTCCACACGGCCACTACTGCAAAAGACAGTCTCCTATATGCACGCTTCGGCTGTCCTCAGCGAATCGATCTTTCACTGCCGAGCATGGTAGCTACCAGAGCTGTTCCCTTGCGTGTCCGTCTTACATAGGCGTTGAATCTTGTCGAGTTACTGTTCCTTGTATTCTCGTCGAACGAGAAAAGTGGGAACCCCTTCCTCACCACACCAAATACCTTTGCTTCTACACAAGTAGATGGGCCTCAAATCAGGCTCCATCCTTTTCTTGGTGTGTCTCGTCTGCAAAGATTCAAGCTCCTCCTGCATTCTCCTTTTCACGGGCCAAGCAGCCGAACACATCTTTACTTAATTGGTGGTGGTAGTTTGTCGTTTCTAAGCAGCATCTGGGTAAAGTGGCATGCATACGAGTAGAGGTTAGCAATCCGCGGCCCGGACTTGAGCTTGGTAAGGACATGGACATGGACTATAGGACTTTGGTTTTCCGGGGCCCCGGATATCTGTCACTCATAGATTAATCCCTAGGCGGGTATGTTCAAGATGACTCTCCATGTAGCGAGCTTTACAACTGCGGGATATGCTGGCTAGAGCATGGCAGGCTAGGCGATGATAAGAAAGATGGTAGCATAGATTTCTGACATGGTCTATCCCGCGCCCTGTGTTGAGCTTTCCCTCCGTTCTATCGCCACCGTACACTTCTATTTCCAAGCTGATGAAATCCTAGATCTTCATGGTACAAAGGAGTTCTAACACGTCTTCGCAACAGTTCGTTCAGTCTCAGTTGAAGTCTTCTTCCTTAAATCCAGCTCAGCGTATTTCAGCCTACATCATTCAGCACACCCACTTCCTCTTCAATGATCGATATCCTCCCACGCGCGGCCCTGCACCTCACTCAACTCGACCAAACTCATCACCTTGCCCGTCGTAAAATAGCCGGCATGGATCTTGGCATCGATCTCCACCCTGCTATCCTCCGGTATCAACTCGTCGGGAATGGGAACCCGCTCCCTGATCTCGATCCCTTGTTCCACAATCGCATCGTACTTCATATTGCTCATGGACAACATACGATCGATCTTGGTGATGCCGAGCCAATGCAGCACATCCGGCATCAACGCCTGGAACCGCATATCCTTGACGCCGGCAATGTTCTCCGTGCGCTGGAAGTACTCGCTCGCTCGATCGGAGCCGCGTTTGCGCGCGTTGTAGACGAGATATTTCGTCACCTCGCCCAGGGCGCGGCCTTCCTTGCGGAAATAGATGACGACGCCGGACCCGCCCGCCTGGGCTTCTTTGACCGCTTCCTCGATCCCGAAGATGAGGTAGGGACGACAGGTGCAGATGTCGCTGCCGAAGACGTCGGAGCCGTTGCATTCATCGTGGACGCGAAGGGCGAGGCGGACCGATGGGTCGGACATCTTGGCTGGATCGCCGAAGCAATAGACGGTTAGGCCGCCGATGGGAGGGAGGAAGAGCTTGATGTCGTTGCGGGTGATGAGTTCTGGATAGGAACCGCCTGTGTTTTCGAAGAGAGAGCGGCGTAGCACGGATTCCTCGATGTTGAAGCGTTCGGCGACCCCCGGAAGGTACCAGACGGGCTCGACGGCGAATTTGGTGACGGCTAGTTCGCCGGTGGTGTTGAGGCAGATTTTGCCGTCGGGGACGAGACGGCCGGCTTTTACGGAGGCCTCGAGCTCGGGGATCTTCATGTGCGCTTTTGTGATGGCGATGGTGGGGCGGATCTCGACGTCTTGAGATTTGATGGTCGAGGCGAAGAGCCAGGGGGCTAGGTGGCCTAACGGGTCCATGGCGACGATTTTCTTCTTGTCGGCCCAGGAGGGGAAGGGTCCGATGCTGACGGCGGGTTCGGTGTTGGTGAAGTCGGCTTTGTGGTCGATGTCGAGGTTTTTAGAGGCTACAGCTAAAGCGTGGTAAACGGCGTACGAGCCGCCGTGGGCCCCGATGGCGTTGCGGCGGCGGATGGTGCTCTGTTGACGGCTGACAACGACAGGACCGCGTTTGGCTGGATCATTTTCTCCCCAGCTCATGGGGAGAGGGTCGATACCAGATTGCCCTGGATAAGTAGTTAAGATGATTCGAGAGGTTACGGAATTCTTCCTCCCTACAGCCGGAATGGGTGATGCTCGACTGGGTAAGGTCAAGTCCCCGTGGGCTGAATCAGGGCGTGAAGGGGTGGTGCCATTGGCGGCTTTTGCTAGCTGGATGGGATCGATGCTAGGCGACCCTCGAAAGGCCGGTTCTTGGGATGATGATGCAAGACGAAAAGAGCTTAATGAGCTAGAAACATCCATGCGGTTGTTGATAGCCTCGACCTGGGCAGCCAGTTGAGCTTGATCTTGTTGCAGCTTCTTCAGTATTGACAAGATCTCGTCCTGATCGCTCGAAGGATCTGCCATCCTGATGAGGCCTCAGCTGATATTGTCGTCTGTACTCTTTCTTCAATCGACAATGTCCAGGGCTTTGCGCTGAAGCATAACAGAGGTCGTCATGAAGCAAAGCAATAGGATCTTATAGTTGCAAGGCCGCCCTCTGACTTTGCCATCGGTACATGTTTGAATTTGTGGACAAATGGGTCTGCTTGCTCGTATAATGTGGTTTGTCAGAAAGTTCTTCCCTTGGGTCTCAGCTGCGTGTTTTGGGGATAGTATGGCGTCAGCTGGCGGCCCGTCCCGGCGGCTATGTACAGGGATTGTGCCTAGCCTTTCGTCACCCAAACATTGATGCCTGGGGTGACTGGTGGATTCTCCATCTTATGACGCACCTAATACTTGTTTCTTAAAAGCGTTTGATCAAAAACACCAGAGACAACTCCATAAGAGCGCGTACTAGGCTCTCACAGAAATCTCTGCGGTCAGTTGTCCAGCGCCATCTGGCACACTCAGCTCCATTCTAACACCGATACCCCTGTACATTGTGTCCCACCTCGTCTCACTGATCATTGTCCATACCAGCTCGTTGGGTTGCTTGGGTTGCTTGGTTTCAGAGCCGCCACCTTGATTCCGTTAAACCTTGGTGCAAACAGCGGCAAGGATCTGTACATAACGCGGCATAATCATAAAGATGTTTCTGAGCCGGATCTCTGCTATCTTGATTCTAACTATTGTGACTACGGTACAAGGCAGATGTCCTAGCGGACGCTCTTCAGTCAACAATACATCAGGAGGCTTCGAGTTTACCTATCCATGGCCTATCCAATACCAAGAACTCCTTACTCAACAACAAAGTCTTTGTCAAGCGTACATGGACGTCCATCCGGACCTCTCTATCTCACCCATAACAGTGGGCACAGTTGTGCTCCTGCACGGCAAGAACTTCTGTGGTGCAACATGGGGAACGACGGCGCGTGTTCTCCTCTCGTCAGGCTACCGCGTCATAATCCCGGATCATATTGGCTTCTGCAAGTCTTCCAAACCGGCCGCCTACCAATACAGCCTGCAACAACTCGCGTTGAATGTTCACTCCATCCTCACCAATCTGAACAGTACCGCGCCCTTGACTCTGATAGGTCATTCCCTGGGAGGTATGTTAGCTACCCGTTTCACACTCATGTATCCTTCCCTAGTGTCGCGGCTCGTCCTGGTGAACCCGATTGGTCTGGAAGATTGGAAAGCCAAAGGGTTTCCTTATCAATCTATCGACCAGATCTATCTTGGCGAACGTGCCTCCAACTATACTTCTATCCGCGGGTATGAGCAATCGACTTATTACCTTGGGACATGGGCCCCAGCTTAGGATGTTTGGGTCGACATGTTGGTGCGCATTTACAGGGGCCCGGAAGCTGAGTCCTATGCCTTTGACCAGGCACTTATCACCGACGCGGTGTACACACAACCCATCGTTTATGAACTTCCATTACTGACGAAAACCAAAGTGCTGCTTTTAAATGGGGCTAAGGATACCACGGCCATTGGGAAAACATGGGCTCCACCAGAGGTACAGAGGATTTTGGGCAACTATAGTGTTTTGGCCAAAGAAGCTGCTAGCGCCATAGGTCCCAACGCCATACTGGTGCAGCTTGAGGATCTGGGGCATGCGCCACAAATTCAAGCCCCAGAAAGGTTTCATAAGGCACTGATGGACTGGCTGGCCTAGAATGGGGAGGAGTTGCTGTTCTATTGAACCTGGAGCACTACTGGAAAGCCCGGGGAGAATTTTGCAATTCCTCTTCGTGTATTGTACACTGAAGTCGAAGCCCGAAGGTGGAGCACGTTTAGACCGTCAGGAAAAGAAGATTCGAGGCTTAACGTCTGGGTTTGAGAAATTTCATCTAGGAGTCCGGAGGCGAAGGACATGGTGAAATAGAAATCGGAGCGGACGGGCGAAATGTGATGCCAGCACGCCTTTCCATCGAACCTTTTACAAGACCAGATATCTACAGTCGCTATCCCATGGTAGCTACTATGCTGTGATGGCAGTTCGCCGTAGGGTTGCTACTGATAAAATACTGCTATTACTGCCGTGGCAGGCCCGAATTCTATATCCTTTCGACGCACAAGAAAGAAGTAGAGTCCCTGAAGCTGGATGTTACCATGATGTTACCATGATGTTCTTCCTGGTCTTTATATCTATCAGACACTACTCGCATTTCTGACCACCGTGTTGGCTGTCATTCAAGGGCAACCAGCAAGCGCATCCACTGTATCGCACTTGAGTGTGCTTGATCCTCAAATGACTCATACATGACCTAACCCTGGTGCTGCCCCGAAAATTGTGACCAGGAGGAAGAGTCATGCAGTAAAGAGCCGTTTACCCTGCCTGGGAAAGATATGTCGGTCCGTTAGAGGAGCCATTCATTGCTGACCCCTGGTTGACGCTAAAACAATTCCGGAGGTGGTCGACGTTTGAGTTCAAGGGTCCTCATTCATTTTACTTCACCTCAAAAGCATTGTGAACGGTGGTGAAGAAGTGATTCAGAAGTGATTCATCAATCACATTTTGCTATCGAACAATAGGCTATTCAGCCGAACTATTCCGGACGAAGAACACCTAGCAGCTCTTTAAACCCGGACAACCTACTCTGATGTGACAACTAATCCCGGACGAAAGCTTCAAGCATCTCTTTCCATTCCTATCAACATTGCGATCGCTGCTAAAGTGCAGTGAAACCGAATCGGCTCATCCTTTTCGCCGACTGTCTCAGAACATATCGTAATGGTAAGATCAAAGACATTCTCAAACCCCTCTCATTTCATCCCTGTTCGCCTCCAACGCTGACACTCACCTCCCCACTCCACAGGGCAAACGCAAGAAGTCCTCCCGCAAACCCACCGGTCCCAAAAAGCGCGAACCACTCGCCACAACCTTCACTTGTCTCTTCTGCAACCACGAGAAGGCCATTCAGGTCAAGCTGGAAAAGAAACTCGGTGTCGGCACTTTATCGTGCAAGGTCTGTGGACAACGGTTTCAGACCTCGATCAATTGTACGTCATCCGTCTCTTCTCGGCGCTGTTGCGCATCGAAGTGAAATGGCGGGTGAGTGGCAGTTGGCTAACATGGGCTACTAGATTTGAATGCGCCGGTGGATGTCTACTCGGATTGGGTCGATGCTTGCGAAGAGGTCGCGCATAAGAAAGTCGATGACGAGTTAGGCGGGAATGCTGGTAAGGCTACTGCGGAGGACATGGATTTCAGTACATATGGGACTGAGAATGGACCGAGACGAGGTGTGGCGGCCGATGGTGATGAGGATCTTATCAACGATGATGACTATTGACGTGAGTCGACAAGTATTGCAAGTAAGGCGCAAGGATTCAAAGCATCAATGGGAAAAAGGAAGGGCCCAGCTGGCGAAGCCAATGGATGGGCTTCGGGTAGTATGGGTGCTAGGTTTACGGTATTTGCAGGCAGGCCTGCAACATCATTTTTACATGCATAGTGCTCGAGTTGGTACCGGATGATCTTTTAATTGCATTACAGTGTGTAGAAACGATCCCCAAAGTCGCCGAGCCCTGGCACGATATAGCTACACATGCCATCAGCGAGATCTGTATAGTACCTTTTTGACAAACTGACTTTTTCTCATTCAACCCCTGGTCAATGAACGAAGTGACGACCCTAACCTTTGGAAATTTCTTCGAAAAGTTCCCCACCCCTTCCGGACTGGCGATGATGTTCAGAAACAATATTCGATCCTCGGGTACACCTTTCGCTTTCAGCACTTCAATGGCCATCATTGCCGAGCCGCCTGTCGCGAACATGGGATCCAGCAGCAACACCCATCGGTCCGCGATATCTGTTGGTAGCTTCTCGTAGAATAGATGTGGTTGACAGGTAGACTCGTTGCGTTGGATCAGGATCTTGCCTATCCGTACTGAGCGACAGCAGTCGCGCAGGCCTTGCTCCATTGATTCTCCTGCCCTCATGATGGACACGCCGCAGATCTTACCCTGGAATTTGACTCCGGCGTAGTCTTTTCCCACGGGTGTGGTGACGCTATGAGCGACGACAGGTAAGTGATTCAACCCTTCTTCGACCAGGAGGCGGATTATGCGGTTGGAGTAGAAGATAAAGTCTCCTCTCTCTGTGTTCCTGTCTCGGATCATGCTGCAGATAGGAATATGATGTTAGAAGAGCGGACCGAGGAGGGAGTAGGTGGAGGGCCCATACGTCAGCAGGGCAATGAGTTGTGGTGTCTGAGGTAGAATGTGCACATTCTCGAAGGGGACTTCTTTCGAGACCGTGGCAGTCGGCTTCTCTGCAGCTGGTCGGTACGTTGGCCCTAGATCTTTCTCAGGTGCAGGTGAAGAAACACCTTGCTGTGTTCTAGTTGACATCGAGGTCTCGTGCTCTACCACCGAGGCCTAGGTCAATCGAGAGGCCTTTGGTTATTCCTGGATGGTTGCCCGAAACCCCTGTAATATGGAGACAAAGTAAACTGAATCAATTCCACGTGCGATATTAGTGGATAGATGTGAGGATAAACTCGAAAGCTTGGATGTTGCTGGTCTGTCAGGAGGGGATGCTCCAATTGGGCTTGTGTTGGCGAGGTCGTGTGCCGAAAGTCAAGCTGCAGGCGGAGTAGGTACCTGGCGGCTGCATGCAGCCGTCCTCCGATCCAAGATTTAGGGGTTCTTTGAACAGCCACACGCTCGGTACGCGCAGCCTGTAAACATTATGACCTGGAAAGGCTGTGTTCAACTTTTGATATATCCATGCCTGACTTGGGAACGCTTTGGCCTCACGTTTCGTGCAGGGTTCTCTCATAAGCATCAGTTTCAGTGATCACTGCTTGGTACTACAGTATGCGACATTTCTCTACAGCAACCTAGGTATGCGCAACGCAGCTTCTCTCAGCTTCTTGACTAACTACTGGTTGCTAGAACAAGCACATTACGAATTCGCATTGTCTGCCTTACTGAGCCCAAACCCGTTTGTTTTAGATACCTGGCGTTGAGCCATACACGCAAGCAAATTATGATGTCATTCCCACGTTGAAGCAAACTAAAGCACCATCGCCAGAGCGTACAACATCTCCCATACCATCCATCATGCCTTCCCAAGACAGCAAGCCACGTCGAAAGCCTCTCGTGTACGGAAAGGCGAGGAGATCAGCGCTTGCATACAATGTTTTCGACTTAGATCATGCGCTCCGTGAAGATGTCCACAGCCGCATCAGCTCTGAGAAAGATGAGATCCTTGGGGGGCAAGGGCAGATACAGGGTCAAGTTGTCAAGTCAGTAGAAACAACCCCTAAGGGAAAGCTTAGCAACTTCCGTCAACGCTCGGAGAAACAATTGCCTGCCATTTTGCCTACGCAGAAAGATTCTGGATCTAAGACTACCGAAGATTGTCGAGCGTCGACGTTCGACCTTTCACTGTCTGAAGAGGAAGACAGCAATATACTGTTTCACAAGTCAATGCAAAAGCGTAGGAGGCTGACACCCGTCAGGAATCAAGGCAGGGGTGTCAAGAGTCATCGGAAGGAGCTTGGCTATTCAGGCACTAATGAAGACAGCACTCAGTATCCTCGTGATACCAACGGGCCGGCAAACTCGCGGCTCCGGGCACAGGCAACATCTCAATCTAGAGTAGCACGACAGTCTCCACGAAGAATGAGAACGCCTGCTCCCGAAGATGGAGGCCCCATATCTCCAACCTCTCCTTACAGCACACCAAGACAAACGAGGTTGTTGTCTAGCCTCATTAATCCTGCTGAGCCCACGGACAGCCCAAGTAAACTCCCACTGACCTCATTGAGTTTGGCAAACGCAGAGGATCTGAAGCCGAAACCAGCTGACATACTCTCGAGACCATCTCGGAAGACCGAACAGATTAAAAAAGGTCTCCTGAGACCGAGAAAGAGATTGATTGATGCCATGGTCTCACCTCAGAAGCGCTTATCCTCATCGGCTTCAGGTGGATCCGACTCTGACGATTCTGTCTTAGATGCTCGCAATTCCTTCAGGCAAATGGATGATACGAGGTATGAGGTGGATTTGGTTGCTACTGTACACGCAGAAGGAGAAAAGAGGGTAGAAGAAACACGAGGAATTACCCAGAATAACTCATCTACTTCCTTGGGCGTAGGTGCAAAACCGAGAGCAACTTACTCTAGAGAGCGTTCTCATCTTGCCGACATGGTGACAGATGACCTCCTTGACCCTATCAGTCAACCAGCATTACGGGGAGACGGTCTTCTAATGTCTCAGAACGGTGCCATATTCAGTAGCTTTCCGTCAGTCATATCGCAAGAAGGATCGGATGAAGAACAAGAGCAAGACATTGTTGGAATCAGGAGCATCCATGAGCTGCGCCATTCAGGAGGAAACGCGAGGTCCCAAATTGACATCGAGTCTATTCTTGAGGACATTGAGGCGAAAGGTTCTTCGTCAAGGGCGAGGCGTCTCCGCGGTCTAGCTCAGCTCACCAAAAGACTTGCTAGCCCCGAAGTGGGACGGCATGTTTTCGACCAGTCCTTAGATCAACGACTCTGCTCTTGTTTGTGTTTGGATGGAAATGTTGTATTTCAGACTCTGTTGATGATGATCCTGTCTCGTCTTATGACTAGCCTGCAACTGTCGATCGCCTCGTTGAGAAGAATTTTTGAAGCGCTCATCGGTTCAGGCATGCCGTTGCTAGAAGAACCAAGAGACTGGGTGTCAGTTGTGCAAGATCGCAAGCAGAACTTACCCAAAGCGTCGTGTAGGGAGATGACTGCGGTTGTCGAGCCTTTTCGTACGTCGCCCGTGTGGTCAGATCGGCGTCCGAAATCTGTCAGTCCACAATTGGTTTTGCTCCGGTCCGTTGACATTGTCCTTCGTCAAGTCAGGCAACTTGGTGATTCTAGCGTGAATTTGCCAGCCCCATTCTTCGATCGGCTCGTTCAGCTTCTTCTACAAATTGGTCCGATACAGTTGACCGATGCAAAGGACAATGATTCGGTGCTTGTCATGGAGTGCATAGTGTCTATCATTGAATCCTTGACTATATCTAAAGACTGGGCGGAGGAAGGTTGTCTTGAAGTCGCAAAGAAGCTATCTGGACTGGGACCTCTACTTAGCCAACTGAATGTGCCATCGGCTGAAGCCTCACATCGGACTCAGCATTTGGTTTTGCGGCTTATTTTGAACATTACGAACAACGATTCGGACCTGTGTGATTCTTTTTGCGAACCAGCACTATTGGCGGCCATTTTCGGGATAGTGGAGAGGGACTTCCTTCAGGCGTCGATTTTGGCAAGGGCGGTTTTGAAGGACATTCAACTAGAAGGCGTCATACTTGCGCTCGGAGCATTGATCAATCTTGCCGAACATAGCAGCTCTTTTCGGCAAGCAATGCTTGATTGTTCGGTTGATGGCAGGAGTATGGTGGACTGGATTGCGTTTGCCTTCCGCAATCAGGTGGACATTGCATCCGAGGTGACTTCCATCGCTGCGCTGACTGCCCCTTGTACTGACACCGTCCAGGCTTCATCTGTTGAGCAGACAACTTCATTGGTTGCGTTTGGCTACCTGGCGGTCCTGTTATGCAATGTGTGCATGGATGCGCAAAGCAGGGAACGTGTACGCGGAATATTGAAGGGGGGCACGCTTGAACCGCTTCTCCAGTTCGTGCAAGAATTTTTGGACCACTTTCGAAGAGCAGAGACGCTGGAATCAGGGCAAGAAGAAGATGAGCCCAGTATGAAGAGCGGCTTCGTAGACCGATTTGAAGGTATTTTGGCTGCATTGCGTCAATCGGAAGGTAGCCGGTAGAGAGCCCCCATGGTTTCATAAAAAGCAGACTTGCTGCGCTATTCGTGTTGGGATGTTTGATCACAGGAATACCTTACAGCGACCCCAAAGCCAGTCCCTTCCTTTGCTTGCCACGATCATCAGCAATAGTACATTAAAAAGCAGTGCTTCAGCATCCATGGCGATCTTACCACGCAGGGGCAGCAGCTAGTTAGACGTGACGAGATGGACATCCATGCGCTTCTAGTGACCTACCAGAGGCCCATAGAGATACGCAGGCCCAAGCTGAGACGCGACGTACAGGACCTACACGAGGGAAGGTCTGGGCTTTTTGAGGCCAGCGCATGCATCATGTCGAAGATCCCGCAGCCGGGGAGATCTGTCACTGCCAGCTGCAAGATACATTATGCATGATGCGCCCAATGATGACGCTGTCCGAATCCGCCTATGCCATCATTACGCCCCGCCACTGCAGCTCCAACAAGGACTGGACTTTCTCCCTCGATTTTTTTTTTGGCCATCATTCGAAACCGTAAAAGTCGGTGAAAGCAAATGTCTCGATACCCCTGTGCTTCGTCCGCTCCTTGCTTCTACTCCTTCCGCTGTCTTTCCCTTGCTTGTATTCTGCTGGATGTTGTTGTTCATTGCAACTGCCCGAAGCTGCCCCTGACATGTGAGAGCGCACATCCGCATCCAGGGGCTGCGCTCTACTTAATTCTTATTACATATCGCGCAGCTCTATCTTCAATAGTCTCCGCCGGGTGTAACTCGAACATTCCACTAGCATCATCGGCAATATCATTCCAAACTTCTATCTGCGCACATGCTCGCAATTGGTTCCCGGCTACGCAGCACTTTCTTTCTTTGCCGGGAAACATTGAGTTTTGCTCACACGACAGAGCACCCATCTTTTCAAGTCCGTGAGGCCTGCTTGGAGCCAAAAGCACCATGCCGCCACCTACAAAGCAACGGAAGATTGCTATCGTTGGGAGTCGTTCGGTTGGTTAGTGACTGCATCTTTTCCGTGGAAGATAGGTGCAATTTACTCCTAGCAGATCCGTGCTAATCATCTCAAAAGGTAAATCATCTTTGACTGTACAATACTGTGAAGGTCATTTTGTCGAAAGCTACTACCCAACAATCGAGAATACGTTCAGTCATGAAATCCTCTACAAAGGACAGAAGTTCGCAACGGAGATCATAGACACCGCAGGACAGGTCAGATACTCCAAACCGTCCAAGACGGGACACTGACGGTAACGAAGGATGAGTACAGCATGCTCAACTCTAAGCATTTCATTGGCATACATGGCTACATGATTGTCTATTCGGTTGGCTCAAGGCAGTCCTTTGAGATGGTCAGAACCATTAGAGATAAGATTCTCAACCACCTTGTGAGCATGCGCCTTAACCATTTATGCACGTACCATACTAAGCCTCTACCGGCAGGGTGTCGACGAAGTACCTATTATGATTGTTGGGAACAAGCGCGACATCAAGAAAGAGTTGCGTAAGGTATCACCTCAGGAAGGCGAGGCATTGGCTAAAGAGATGGGGTGTGGATGGACCGAGGCCAGCGCTCGAGATAATGAGAACGTCACCCTCTCCTTCGAGCTCATGATTGCGCAGATTGAGAGATCGCAAAATCCCAACGAGCCGACAGGAAGGAACAAATGTATTCCCATGTGAAACACCGTGTTTGTGACAGGCTTTGTGGGTCATTGGCTCAAGACTTGTATGGCGGAGAGGAAGACTGATCGAGTGGTATTTTTCGGTCAGCTGGAGCCGCGTATTTCCTTATTAGGTTTTAGGTGCCAGGCCTAACGGTTCTGTGGTTAGCATTGGGATGGGCGTTGGGGCGCGGGAGTTGTAGTAGTTTTCGGTCGCTCTGGTTGGACATGCATCGCGACAGCAAGACGTCTTGATCAGTCTCGTGACGAGGAACGAGAATGGAAATGGAGAGTTGCGGATGGAGATTGAGAAGCATCAAGTCAGGTCTTATTGAACTAAATCTTTGTTCATGATTTAGACTTTGTTAGGATTGGCCTGCCTATCTTGGACGCGTTACGTGTGTGAAGAGCTTCCTTGTAGATTACCCATGAAGGGTTCTTGGCATGATTTCGAGAGGTGCCAAGTCTTTTGTGTGTTGTGAGTCAAACTGAGTGAGTCAGGTATTAAGGATTGTACGCATGATCTTCTCCCCAGTTGAAGCTTACACCTCGAATATAAGTGCTCCCAAACAGCCCCGTTCCTTTTCTTCATCCTTCTCCGGCAATGCTTGACGTTCTAGACTTCATTACAGACCGAGGGGGTGATCCGCAGAAAGTGCGAGAGAGCCAGCGCAGAAGATACGCCGACGAAGGTGTTGTTGATGAGGTGATTGCATTATACGAAGATGCTCGAGCGAGTGTGTCAGAATGCCCACCAGTCAGAATTCTTACCTGACTCAAATCCCAGCAAAGTATGAAGCATCTCAGGTTAGAACGCAGATCAATGGCGTACAAAAAGAGATTGGACAGCTGAAGAAGGTTTGCTACGAACCTTGATTGAATTCTAGCCTCACGTCGTGGTCTAACATGGAGGCCTAGGCCAAACAAGACGCAACGGAACGGTTGGCACGAAAGGCAGAATTGGAGAAAGAGGTGAAGCGGATAGAAGATCTTGCCGTGGAGAAGGAGAGACAACGTGATTTGAAGATCAAGACCATTGGAAACTACGTTCACGACTCCGTTCCCATCGATAACAATGAGGTTTGTCCATTTTCCGGGCTACAGTGTCCATACGTCGGGCTGATCGTCCCAGGACAACAACGCTCTACAGCGGAAGTGGGCTCCAGAAGGGGTGACAGTGGAGAAGAAGGATTGCCTCTCTCACCATGAAGTCCTTACGAGGATAGACGGCTATGACCCGGAAAGAGGCGTCAAGGTTGTTGGTCACAGAGGATACTGTCTGACCGGCTATGGCTTGTTCCTCAACCTTGCATTGATCAATTATGGCCTGGAATTCCTCTTCAACAAAGGCTACAAGCCAAACCAGCCTCCACATTTCATGCTGAAAGAAAAAATGGCCAAAACAGCACAACTGGAACAGTTCGATGAAGAGCTATACAAAGTAGTTGAAGGAGGAGACACGCCCGATAAGTATCTAATAGCAACCTCTGAACAACCGCTCTCCGCACTGCATGATAGCGAATGGATGAGCGAGAAAGACCTTCCAATCAAGTACGCGTTGGTCCTCGCTTTGGTGCAACACGACTGACGTGAGGTAGATATGCCGGCTATAGTACCTGTTACCGAAAAGAAGCAGGTTCCCATGGTAAAGACGCCTGGGGGATCTTTCGAGTTCACCAATTTGAAAAGGTCTGTGTGTAAATACTTTTCGTTTTGCATTACACTGACATGAAATCCAGGTTGAACAATTTCTCTTCACCAAGCCCGAAGACTCCTGGCAAGCATTTGAGGACATGATCGCTGTGGCAGAAGAATTCTACCAGTCTTTGAAGCTTCCATATCGAGTTGTTGCAATCGTCTCTGGAGCACTCAACAATGCTGCATCGAAGAAGTATGACCTTGAGGCGTGGTTTCCATTCCAAGGAGAATACAAAGAACTCGTTTCCGTCTCGAATTGTACAGACTACCAATCTCGAGAGCTGGAAATACGGTGTGGACAAAAGAAAATGCTTGATACCAGGAAAACTTATGTGCATGCCCTCAACGGCACTTTGTGTGCTGCAGAAAGAACATTATGCTGCGTCCTTGAGAACTATCAGACGGAAGATGTCAGTCATTTCTGCCGTATTCGGAATGGCCCAGCTGACAGATACAGGGCATTGTTGTCCCCGAAGTACTTCGCAAATATATTCCCGGCGCTCCTGAATTCCTCCCATTTACAAAGGACCTGCCGAAAGACACGACCTCGCAAAAGGTGAAGGCGAAGCAAGTCGGTAGAGGCACTGACCAAGTACAAGCCAAGTCAACTGACGGTGCTGCAACAAAGATGCAAGATCTGAGGGTCTGAGTTACGGAAGGAAGAAGCATTGGTCAGGAAAAGGGCGTTGATTATCAGAAAAGTTACGATAGATACCACGAGGCATAGAGAGCATGAGGACACGATAGAAAAAGGACACATCAACCCCTCCACCAAAAGGACGGCGCTTGTGCTACAGGAGATTCTGCCTCCCCTGTGTTCGATGCCCACATTTGTCTTGGAATTATTGGTCTGCTACTTTGTTACTGCTGAATTGGAAAATCTGAACTATGCTCTGAACTGTTTCTGATCGGCCGGAGCGGCCTCTGGTCGGTCGGTGCAGTCAGTGGGTATACATCAATTTCGAAACCCACAAGCGCTGCCAGAAAAGAGACACATCAACCACTCCACTAGAAGGACAGCGCTTGTGGGTTTCGAACCACACTTAATTGATGTATCCCCACTGACTACGATATGACGCAAAAGTCGTGATTACAAAATGTACTCCGTACAGCTATTTTGTAACCGCTGCCTGAACATAGCACCCGACATAAGGGTACGGAGGAACATGTGCACCCTTAAAATGACGCCATCTTCAAGCTCCGCGGGGCGTGGTTAAAAAAGTTCCTGCCCCGCGGCGGTGTTCGATAGGAACGTCGCTAACTTTTTTTCCTGGGTACATCTTTAGATGCTGATCTATATACCTACCATCCCTTTAGACTGACATAGACCACACTCCATACTTGGACAACATACATATCTGAAGGTTAGGTTGATCCTCTACACTATCTCACTACTCCACATACCTTGCGCTCGAGATGCCCCCATCAGCCCTGACGGAGAACATTAAGATACAAAATGCCAATGGCGATTCGGCACGACGCGAAGTCTCGAAAAGTCAGGGCATGTCGGTTTCGCCGATTGACTCATTCCATTCCCCCCTTCCCTCGGCATCATGGGGAATGCACCACAAAAGGCGACCTACCGACAGCTTCAGGGCCAGCGCTGCGGGGACTGCTCCACTGGCAAAGCTTTTGAAGCCCTTTAAACAGGAGGACATCAAGATCCTACTGCTAGAAAATGTGAATCAGACTGGAAAGGATATCTTGTCGCAGCAGGGATACCAGGTTGAGAGTATAAAATCGTCGTTGCCAGAGGATCAACTCATAGAGAAGATAAAGTGCTTTGCGCCCCAGCCCCTGTCTTGTTCCAGCTCGTGCTAATGCCATGCCAGGGACATCCATGTTCTGGGAATTCGTTCAAAAACCAAGCTGACCTCACGAGTCCTCTCCCACGCCAAAAACCTGATAGTGGTCGGCTGCTTCTGCATCGGCACAAACCAGGTTGACCTCTCTTACGCAGCGCAACACGGGATCTGTGTCTTCAACTCTCCCTTCTCAAATTCTCGCTCTGTTGCGGAACTTGTTATTGCTGAGATCATTACTCTAGCCCGCCAACTCGGCGACCGCAACAATGAGATGCACCAGGGAACCTGGAACAAAGTCTCAGCTAAGTGCTGGGAAATTCGAGGCAAAACTCTAGGTATAATAGGATACGGCCACATCGGGAGTCAGCTCAGCGTGCTCGCCGAATCCATGGGGATGGATGTGATCTATTACGATGTGGTGAACCTGATGGCGATGGGCAACGCTCGACAAGTCCCAAACCTCGAAGCTCTCCTATCCGCCGCTGATTTCGTCACGTGCCATGTGCCTGAACTTCCGGAAACAAAGAACATGATAGGCGTCGACCAGCTGGACAAGATGAAAAATGGCAGCTATTTGATCAATGCCAGCAGAGGCTCCGTCATTGACATACCCGCTCTAATCGACGCTAGCCGAGCTGGCAAAATCGCCGGCGCAGCTCTTGATGTCTATCCCGCTGAACCAGGCGGAAATGGGGATTATTTCACCAATGACCTCAACACTTGGACTGAAGATCTACGATCACTGAAGAACTTAATACTGACACCGCACATCGGTGGGTCAACCGAGGAAGCACAGTCAGCCATCGGTATCGAAGTAGCCGAAGCACTGGTTCGCTACGTCAATGAAGGGGTCACCTTGGGAGCTGTTAATATGCCGGAGGTGACACTTCGGTCCCTCACCACGGACGAGCCGAACCACGCCAGAGTCGTGTTCATCCATCAGAACGTGCCGGGAGTGTTGAGGAAGGTGAATGAGACCCTGGGAGATCACAACGTGGACAAGCAGATGTCGGATTCGAAGGGCGATGTTGCATATCTGATGGCCGATATCAGTAGTGTGAAGGAAGGGGAGATTGCGGATCTGTATAATGAGCTGGAGAGACTGGAAGGTGAGTACATTTCCAGATTTTTGTCACCTGTCATCCCTATTCTGCGGGTGTCTTCTTGGTCCTAAGCAATCAAGACGTACCTCTGCTGACCGGTCTTTATGCAGCCCGGGTCTTGACGAGAATATTATATTAATTGTATGAGCTTGCCGTGATACGATATCGGGCGTTCTGGGACCGGTCAAGGGCGTTGCTTTCATTCAACTAGAAGAGGTTCTCCTGACTCAACGGAACCTGGATTTCGACTTGCGTATTTCGAGCCCTATAAAAATATAGACAGCGCCATGTCCGGATCTCCTTTCAACAACTAGGTCTTTGGTGAGACCAGATCCTTCAACATTGCAGAGCAAGATCAGATAACGGATTTTCAATGCCACCTTCTAGAAGGAAATCCATACATAGCCTGCACTAAACAACGAAAGTCCTTTCCTTTCCTCTCCGTTCCACTGCATTTACAGCGTGTAAACATTCAAATCGCTTGGCGCAAAAGTTTTTCAATTTCCCAACATATCTAAGAAGGAGCACGCACGGATTTTCTTCTCGTCTCGAAACGACGGCCGGCGAAGACACCTTCCGAATTTTTGACCTGTCAACGCTGGACCGACATTTAGACGCTCATGTGGATATCGCACTACAATACAAAGCACGAATGAGCATCACTGAATATATGTCCCCTTATCCCTTCCCTCGGTGGACAAACAGGAAATCCTCTCCGTCACAAGCCTGCCTTAGCCCATCCCACCTGACATGCGAGATGGGCAGGACAAATTTTGCAAATTGCAATTGCAATTCCAAATCCCTCCGTTCTCAACTTTGTCTTTCGTCCCACGGGTTTCCCGTAGGTGGAGCGTCTAATGAGACCTGACGACCAGAAATAAACTAGGTTGAGCTACATCTTTTTGTTCTCTCTCTTCACGGAATCCGGAATCATCTAGTTTACGGAGATTTTTTTGGTTGATGCATTGTTGTTATCTGCTGTGCATTTCATACCCACCGCCGGCTCGAGCGCCTGTTTGCCCCATTGATGCTCGGTCGAAGATGCGCGTGTAGACGTCTGACTTGGACTCCTGCTCTGCCCTACCCTAGGGATCGAAGGGGAGGGGGGGGTATTGATGTGTATATACACGGTGTGGCTGGCTGATGGAAGGGATCGAGGAGGCGGGCGCGGAGCAGGAGTAGTGAGAAGAAGGAGGAGGTCCAGCTGGGTAAGGACGGGATGGGGTCTTGTAGAGCGTATCGGGATGGGCCGAAGAGAAAGACAGAAAGAAAGCAGTACAGCATCAAATGGTGCGGCAGCGAAGACGGTGATTGGTGTAGCGTTTTCAGGGGTAGGTAGTTAGTAGTATTGATGATAATGGAAGAGACATCCAGGGACGTGGGCATCTTGTAGACGAATCAGGATGCCTGAAAGAGAAAGAGAAACGGCAGCATGAATGGATGGATGCATGGATGCATGGGGCGACGAAGAACGTGATTCCTAGTGGTGGTGTTCCCAGGACAGGAATCGGAATAATAATCATATCCCCAATTTTGGATCTTCATTTCAGGGCCTTTTTATGTTTTTTTCTTTCTTTCACCCCCGGACCTGTGCATAAGCGAGCGAGCAGAAGAACGAAGAAAAATATCGCAGCAATCTGCCCCCCCCCCAACCCCCAAACCTGGCTTGATCTGGTCAACCCGGCCAGCCCAAAAATCTGCTTGGGAAACGAAGAAATCTTTGCATCTGCTTGGCAAGTCTATCTATACATGCTGCACATGGCTTTTCGATTGGTTCGGCTTTCAAAAAGAAAATGTGTCCAGGCCGAGAGAGATAGCGTGTGGTTGAGAAAGTTGCGTAACGGGCCTCGGCCCCTGGGTCATGATGCTCCCTTTTCTTCTTTTTCTTCTTCTTCTCCTCCTCCTCCCCCTCCTTCCCCTCCATCATCCTTTGTCGCTGCTTCACCATCAACAGCGGCGACGATGTCTGGGAGAGGAGGAGGAGGATTCGACTTCGATTTTGACACGTCTTCAATCTTCTCACCCTTCAGAGCGATCGTCGAGCTAAGCGAGATGGCGATTTTCTTCTTTCCAGTTGCTGTCCCAGTCCCAGTCCGCATCCCACTACTACTACTACTACCACCACCAGCGGCGTGTGTCTCACCATCTGGTGAAGTCGAAGAGCGCTCGTCTCCCTTCCCTGCGCCACCGTGACCCTGACTCTGACCCTGGCTCTGTTGTTGCTGTTTATTCCTCAAAAGACTCTTCTTCCTCCTCAGCCCAGGAAACGAAGACGTGCCAGTACTGGTAGTACTCGAATGACTACTCGTGGAGTTTCGCCGTTTGATACCTGTCGACAACTTACTCAGCTCGTCATCCTCGTCCTCATCGTCTTCTCTTCTCCGCTTCTCGAGAATCTTTTCTGGGATATCGGGGGAGGGCTGGAGTCTGCGATGTCCACTGCTGCTACTACTATTATTGATACTTTCAGGGCTCGTGTTCTCTTTTTCGCTCGTCATACTCTCCGGTGTACCGGGAGTCTGGGGTGTTAAGACCGGTGCAGAGCCGGAGCCAGAGCTAGATCTGACATCCATATTCTCGTCTACAAAGTCATCCTCGTCCTCCGGGTAGTCGACTAATGGCTTCCCACCTCCTCCGCTCATGGGCGACGTATTAGCACCAGTATTAGATTTCGCTGTGTTTCCGTTCGGGAGACCTCCCATTTTAAGCCGATGTGAATGATATTCGAAGCGATCCGAGCGGACTCTATTCACGTCTTCGCGGTTCACGGGACCTCCTTCTTCGTCGTCATCCGAGGTATTGAAGTACTCTTCTTGTGCCGAGTCCATTTCTTTGATACCTTGCCATCGGTGGCCGCCGTTGATATGGTTTCGCGCGGTTGATGGTGATTCGTCGTCTTGACTGAAGAGCGTTTGCCCCATGTCTGCGTTATAGCCTTGCATTTGCTCATAGCGATTGATTAGATTTTGGAATGTATCAACATACGTAATGTCTTTTACTTTGTCCCGATACTTCTCCACGACATGTAAGATAACGTTCTTGATGTTCTCGCGCTTGATGAATTCGAACATTTCCAGACAGGCGGAGTTCAACAGGTTATCTCGAGGCATCGTTTCGATGACGATGTCGAGGATGAAATCGAACGTGCTATTCTGCATCATTTGGTTGACGTAGAACTGGTCTTGAAGACTGACACAGGTCCGGAAGAACTTGAGGGCTGTGAGTTTTAGAGGTTTTTGTGATACTCGGAGGAGTTGGGCCACCCTTGCTGGCAACTTCTCGGAAAGTACGAAGTGGCGACTACGTATCGAATGTGATCGGACGAAGTACGTAAGAATCTCCACTAGGTGCGTATGTAGAGAGACTTCTTGATAGGTGAAATCTTGCATGGTCTCTCGGTCTTTGAGGTCTCGTAGGGGGCGGAAAAGCCTTTTGCATGACCCATCGAAATGGTCCTGCGCAAACTGCTCGTTGGCTGCCTGCGAAGGTGAAATTTGAGGCTGTCGGGAAATTTTGGGCATGAATTCTCCTCCATTCCTATTTCCTGGAGTTTCCTGTCCAGGGGCCTGAGGGTCAAGCAGAATCTTGATGGCGTCAGCAAGCTGGTTCTTGACACCGAGGTCGGTCTCAGCGTGCAAGAGTTCGATCATGGTGTCGGTAAGGGGGGATTTCTTGTCGTGAACAGCTTTAAGCATATATCCCCGCATCATCATCGGATCATGATCAAGGAGCGCAACAAGAATATCGATACCAGTAGTTCTCATGGAGGGGTTGGGGTGTTTTATGGCAAAAGTAATGACGTTGAAAAGGCCGTGGCTGATAAAGTTGGCGAACAAGTTTGCCCTTGCTGGAGCCTGGAGATTCTTCGCAATCGCAGCGCACTGATGCAGAAAGTGCACCGCGTCCTCTCTTCGCTTGATGTCGTGATTTTGGGCATCGAACACGGCAAAGAGCTCTTTCAAAAAGCTTGCGTTGCCTTGCAAGTGCTGAACAATGTCAACCTGATGGAAGAAGATGATCGAATTGAGGACGGAAAAGGTTGGATCGTCCAAGATCCGTGCCAGGACCACATCCTTTAGATATTGCAACCTCCATGTATGATGAATCTTCTTTTGTATCACCTGGTCTCTGATCGGGACAACCTCTTTGTAGCGCGTCGTATCGTTTAGATATTGTCGATGGTTGGCTTTGTGAGTGGGAAAGTCTGGATCATACTCGAGCGCACCAACAACACCGGTTATGATCTCGTCTGTCACCAAGTGCTCAATGATCGCATTGTCGTTCAACAATATCAACGACTTCATAACGTTGCACAGTTTGTGTAGATCCTGCAAGCTTTCCAAGTCCTCCGACGTCTCCACCAAGGGAATGATCTTTGCGACGTAATCTTCTCTTATAAGGAACTTTGAGAGTGCCTCGCGTCCACCCGGTGTACTACTCGCGATCCGGATAACATGCTCGATATCAGGCAGATTTCCAAGCTCTGGATCTGGCAGTGTTATCGCGTTGGAGAAGCTTTCCATAGCGTCGTCAGAGAGCGCATCATCTGGGATAAGGCGATATTAGCACCAAACGCCTGCGCGTTCGTCCAGCGTCCAACGTACCTGGATTCAATGCTTGTAGCGATTTCTGGACATGGTTGAGGTACTCCCTGTTGCCTGGTTAGATCCTTCAGACCCATAATTGTAACCGTTCAGGAAAGCTACCAGATCACGAGACAGCCTTCAGCTTCTTGAAAACTCAGCGCCATATCAGTCCCGTTCGGTTCCGTCCATACTATGAGTGTGTCTGCGCCCCCAAGGTCAGCTACCATTCTTATGATGCGTTCATAGGATAATGACCTTGTTGTTTCTGATAAGCATCCTCGCGGCTAATCTGCGTGTCGAGCAGCATGCGCTCTGGGTGATCCTCGGATTCAACATAGAGACGAGGTTCATCCTGTGTCGCGCGAAGTCAGTGGTTGACCCACCATGCAAGTATATTATGCGCGATATAGAGAATTTTGCGTGACGTATCTCGGTGACTTGGGATAGAATGCTCACGTTAACGAGCTGGCCGGTACAGAAACCGGTGCCTCGATCGAACCAGTCGCTTTCTTTTAACTCGTAGACTTTGACACGCTTTCTGTCGTTGGCTGCTGGCACCTGCAGTGCCATTATGTGGGTATAGCAGCGTCTCTTGCCAGCATAAGCAGGGAATAGCGTCTGCTGGCAGAGAGCTGGTGCTTGTTGATTGGGGGTTGGATCGCGTATCTAGACTTGGATGGCGTCACAAGCCTCTGCAGATTAGCCGCGCAGGCTGCTGCCGCATGCGCCTCGGGCGCAAAGGTCGTGTCCGGTAGATGATGGTGGATGATCGGGCAATGATTATAAGATGATCTCACGCAAGGAGATGGGCAGTAGTTGAGGTCTCATCGAATCATCATGCCACTCCGAGGATGCCTGCGAGGCTGATGGAGAAGAGATTTGGTGAGAGTTGGTCGTAGGCGCTCGGACAATGGCTTGTCCAGAAGGCGGTTACCACCAACAGCGCAGTTTACCGTCCGTAGGCAATTGGCAATTGCTGAGGAGTCTACCGAATACTACATGATGTGAAGTTCAATCTACATCGTCGCCGACACGTGGATTGGAGGTCAACGGTCAAGATCATCATTGGCGAGGTCAAGCTTTGAGATGGGCCATATCAGCAAACTCACGGTGAGCCTGATTAGACTTTGTACAAGGACTGATGGTGGCTGTGGGTACGCACAGGCGCACCAGCCACAGACATGATGTCACTGAGTTAGGCTCCACTAAGTTACGCTATGACTTGCGTTCTCATCCGAAGTTGTGAGGTGGCAGTTGATGATCGGGCCGGGATATCCGCCTGTGCCTGACCCTGGAGACCCAAAATATCCTCTCTCTGGATCTGTATTTCTTAATGGAATCTACCAGTACGGGAGGAGGCATAAGTACCACTAGCTTCAAGTTAGAAATTCTGTAATTTGTAAAGCCTTGACACACTGTACTTTACTGAAACAACGTTAGTCTGAATGGTTCTCAGAACAGAGCCAATCATCATGATTAGTGAGGGATCAAGATTTATGATAGCTCTATGTAGTAGAGGACGCTGGATGCTTGTATCAAAAACTAGCTATCACTAGCTCATGTTAACAATACTTACGCCTCCTACCGTAGTACTGTATCCCCTCCGTACCCGAATTGTCAATTCAGTGATTACTAGAGGATTCACAAACTTGGTTAATTCATAGGCCGAAATCGATTCTAATAAATTCATCATTATTTCAGTTTGAATTCTGCCCTTAGGCAATCAAATGCCCCTTAGTTCTATCGAATTGAACGTGTTGCAGACCTTATTCGAACAGCCTGTCGAAATGCCTATGTACTCTCTTCTTATATCATAATTAATGAAGTAATAATAGCCTTTAAGGGGCGTTCAAATCATACAGTTAAGCTTAAGAATAAGCTAATTTCTGATGGTTATAAGCTATAATGCATTAGCGACTATGAATATATCTAGAGCTGTGTTACGCGGAAGTCGTGCAACAGGGTATGGGGGTGCTATAGAGATAGCGGAGAGTCACGAAGAAGCTATAGAAGGCAACTGTATGACTATGTCAAGTGGGTGTGTATCAAGATGGCTGAACTCTCTAAGTGCTATAGAGGCGAGGATAGAGATATGACGCATAGAGCGCCAAGCCTGCCCTAGCCCTTAGCCCTAATGCCCCCTCTGGGCCATTGTGCAGGTTATGTCGTAACAAGCTGGCTATTTCATTTAAGAATAGATGGCGTTAAAACGTTTATAAAGAGTTAACAAACGCAGTGACCACAGCAATAGGGCACAGGAGCAAATTTGAATACTGAAAAAAGCGCTTTTCTTGTATTAACTTACGCGCTTGTTTTACGCCTTGTTAGGCAGCTGCTAAAACAGGATTTCTATATCTATCTTGATAACCTCTTTCTAAATATATTAGTAGCCTAATGTCTTCTGGTGATAGGTATTTACTATATAGGAACTACACGAAAAAAGGCTGCTGGTGTGCCCTTATAACTTCAACGCTATCTTAACAATAATAGTGAGCTTCTCTAGGATTCTATAATAGCATAAGTCATTGACAACAACACTCTAGCCTTTATTTAGCAAGATAATAAGGCTGTTTGTGCTCTTACAACTGCTCATAGCCTCTACTGTATAAAAGATTAAATTTAACAAATGCGCAAATGCCCTAAAATCTCCTCTGAAAATTAACGTATCCTTGATCCTGTATTTAAGGGCTTACCCTTTAAGGATCTCTTTATTCTAAGGGCTATTAATAATTATAACTATTATATAAAGGGCGTAGATTAAGCGGATCAGTTACAAGCAGCATTTACTTGTTATCAGAAGCAGAGTTATCATACGCAAATGCCCTTAATCTACTTCCTTATTAATGTTGCCCGCGTTAACACGTATTTGCTATGGCTATAGAGTTCTGAGATACATACAGCAAGCGCTAAACGTACATATAGCAGTCATAGAGATTTTGTGGAGGCCCTCTGCACTCAATTACTACATTCGGATGAGAAAACCAAGAAGGAAGAAGAATCTGACCTTGTACCCCCTGTAGTGCTTCAAAGACACCATAAGCACATACAAAAGAAGTCCTCTGGCCGGTGTCAATGGGGAAAGTCTCATCCGCCAGGTTGCCCACGTAAAAGAGCGCCCAAACGAGCATTTGGAACAGATACCACGCGCTCAGCCAATAATGGCATTTCTACGACTATTTTAGGAGGCTCATACACTCATTATGAGTGCTCAAAGTGCCAGGTTTGGCTGTGTATCGAAGGAGAGTGCTGGGCACAATATCACCACTCAATTGGAGTTAATTGTTAGATAATACGGCCTCAAATGGCTCAAATAGGGTGTTTGTTGACATTTTGACCCCCCCCCCGCAGTGATCGACAGTGCTAATTGACAATTCTACACCCCTGTTCGGGTACGGAGGGGATAGTTGTGCCAGCTCCTGATTCGATGTACTCCGAACACCCTGATGTTCCCCGGATGGCCCTTGACCTTCCCCTGGGACCTTCGGACCCATGTTCCGAAGATCTACGGAAGCATTCCACCTAGCTATGTAATTGCCCATCCTGTTCCACCGTTTTTCTCGTTTGGTTCACAAATCACCATACATATCATATCTAACAAAAATGAATCATTGATGCAACTGGACTGGTTGTAGAACACTACGCCTTTTCTACCCGCTCTATTGGGCAAGCAAATTTCGAATCAGAACGCTCAACACTCTTACCTGTGATCAAAACCAGATAACCGACAATAAATGGCAATGACCTCTTGACCATCGAATCGATCAGGGCAAAGATTATCTTGGTGCTGGGAAGTGGAATCGCAATTCGATCCAGCAGTGAACATACACGTTTCCTGACAAACCCGCAAGGAAAGGTCCGAGTGGCCATGTAAGCTGCTGCATGCACAAAAACTATCACCTCGTCAGGATGGTGCCTATGACAACGACAACGACAACGACAACGAATACAACAGCCAGGTGAATGTGCGTTAAAAAAAGCCAATACAGATTTCTAAGACTACTATTAGTACCATAATGTCTTCGCTAAGAGCAATACTGATCTACTAGTAGTGCACCTAGCACTATTGGCCAGAATCTGATGAACGTCCCTAATCAGCATAATGATTTGCGAGATGGCTGCTTCCAAATCGTTCATCACCTTTGTCATACCAGCTTGTCTTAAGCGAGGTTTGGTATTGGAATGTTCTAGTCGGGAGACTTTTGGTTAGGTGCGGACTGCTCTATGTCTTGCTCAGTACTCTGTGTTTACGTAGTGTGCAGCACTACGTGGCAGCAGATCAGGGCCCAGACGCTGAGCTGGCATCTTAAGCGACCCGACCGGGTTAGCGACAATGAAACCTTCAACCAGATTTGGACGGTGAGTTTGCCGGTTGTCCGTGATTGGATTTGAGCTCGATTGAACAACGCCTAGACAGAAAACAGCCCAAAGCTCCGAAACAGAAAGCCACCAAGGGAATAGCGGAGTGTGGCGCTGGCCTCAACTGTCAAAACTGGAACTCAATCTTGTTGGGCCGGAGCGAAACCCAATTCAAGCAAGCTTACCATGATTTCTAATGCCAACCAGTCAAAATCCACCCACAAACCCTACATGCGGGATTCTTATCGTTGTCTCACTCTCACATGCGCCTGTATGCCCACATGAGAGATGATGTGTGTCTCATTAGGGCCTTGGGGTCTTTCCAAAAATACGAGAGCAGATAGCGAACTGTCTTGTACTGCAGGGTGTCAAGCAATCACTTCTCAGTCGTCCTAGCTGTTGTTCCACCCGATCCGTACTCGATCAGCGGCAGCATACTACCAAAGATCGAAGACACTGATTATGCAGTGTGCTTGTACTCCTCCGATAAGACCAGCACGACAAGAACCAGGAGGGGTATGAGAGATTGAAAAGCATACTACCTCCAAACTATCCGGAATTCGGATCGCTAAAGACGTCGTCGCGACTTTCGAAAGCAGTTCCATTTTAATCGTGGCTTAAACGACCCAAGGCTGCGGCACGTGCGAGATCCCTTGACTTTTGAAAGTGTGCTAGTCCTGCAACTACCGTATGACTAACTGATCCATTCGATGAACTTGCATTTTTGACAGGTACAGCTTTAGACTGGTGCGGAACTCTAAAGCACGAGACATTACGGAGTGTTCTGCCTCTCAACTCATTTCTGTAGCCGCAAGATCCACTTCTACATCTCGTTTTGGATATTTCTGCTACCGAAGTCCCATCCACCTTGTTTTGTCATTGCTTTGTGTCGGTGTTTTTATTCCTACCCGGTCCCTCTCTCTCAAGCGTTCCCGAAGCAATACATCCTCGTCAGACTTCGGAAATGTCGATTTTCAGCAAGCTACGGAGAGCCAAGCAGGCGGCAGACAGCCAAAAAGAAAAGAACAATGCTGCTGCTGAGACCAAACCGAAGCCAGCACCATACAAACATATTCCTACACACGCAGCAAGCGATGCTCTTCTAGGAGCGCCTGCAGGTAGAAGAGAAGAGGACAGAAAAGCCATCCTAGCTCAGCATCAAAGAAGAAGTCAATACAACCTCAGTCGCAATCCGAGCTCGCTATCGAATGTCACAACTCTCAATCGCGACCAAAGTTTCACCTCCCGAGATTTTGTTCATGGCGGAACAAACCAACGGAAAACTGGCTCACGGGACTTTGGATCAGCCTCCAACGTTCCACGGATGGGCCATCTCACATCGCCCGGGACCCCGACCGCTTCCTCTCTGAGAAGCCAGCTCCAGCCTAGGGAACGCTCATCTGGTAAAACGATTATGCGAAGAAGTCGTATTGACGCAATTGACCCACCGCCTCCCATGCCAAATATGACCGGACATCGACCCGTCCGTGCTTACCCCAACGCGGCGTCTCCCACGAAAGACGTCAAGTTCCATCTGCCCTCAAGTAGAGGTGAGCTTCCTTATGAGAGACGTGTGTCGTGTACATTGAGCTGATTCTTCCGTAACAGGAAATTCTCCGAGCCACAGCTCAGAAGAAGGTTCCGTTTTGTCATCACGAGACTCTTCCTGTCAGTCTTGCCTCCTAGATCTTGTCAGAAATTTAGCTAACCCAAATCTCTAGTCTGTGAACCGAATGCTGCAACTGCTATCCCAACCCGTCACCCACGCAGACCTTTGACCTGGGAATCCTCCGGTCACAATTTCGTTGATCCGAGCTATCGTCAACCACCACATCCACATCGGAGCTCGAATCGCACGGTGCGGGAAGCTCCAAGACTTTCTGCAGTATCCACAACACCTGGTCCTTATCCTTCTTTGAATCCCACCACACACCGCGTCGAGAACGACCTTGGTTTTATAAACTTCGGGCTTGACTCTAAAGACATGGGCTTCCCTGTTGCGGCCCACTAAGGTGTTGGAATCATTGGGGCTGTAAATCTTAAGGGCGTCATACGACCAAGTTTCCGTACACTATTCGAAGAGGTTCAGCAACAACGCGGTACTTGGAATGGTCGGTTTCGGGTGGGGTTAAGCTTTCCTGGGTTTTGGTTGGGCGCGATATTATGGCTTTGTCTAGTGCCTGGAGGTTCTCTTCGATTTTACCAGATCTTATATTAGAGCGTACACGTAACACAGCAGCTTCCCGGGGAGGGGGGTTTCAAAGGGGGCCAGGTCAATTCGTGTGATTTCAACGGCGACCTTTGATCTTCTACTCCGTACACTCGGACGAACCTTTCATCCTACAACTTTCGAAGCCAAGGCAGAAACAAAATAAACATGCAGCCACCTGGCGAATTTAGGCCTTCATCATGACCAGACCTCCATCTTCAGACGCCACGCGTTGCATTTCCAGCCGAACTACTTCTTCCAAGCACACGGTATGGACCCTAGATTATGCTGTCCTGGACACCTACGTAATAGTCCCAAAGAATTAGAGACTTCTTTAGGAACGGTATGCCTACTCGATTGCACGCACTCATTAACGAAACGATTCCGTCACAACGCTCATCTCGCTTATAATTCCGAACACGCATCACTATCACTATCACAAACTCTACGATCACACTGACGTTGGACCGGATTACGGGAGGCTCGATGCAACATCCCGGTGCCCGTGCTAACCGAAGAGCCATGTGCCAACTACGCACGAGGGTGTTCCAAGGAATCGTGTAGTTAATTTAACAGGTTTATGGAATACCAATCAACGCTATCACGCCGCAAATAGTTACGCCATATGGCTTTTTGGCGACGCTCCTCCGAGTCCTTATCACGACACCGCTCAGTAGCTAGCCCTGGTCGACCACGTTGGGGGTGGGATAAATATTGTGAGGCTGGTATTAGTAGCGACTAGTTATGATACAGTGCCACACATTGTGATCGGCCTTGATCTACCTTCTTGGCGTCCTCTGTATCACTGTGTGACTGTATTTGTACGATGATAGAGCTGACCAACTAAGACCCACTCTTTAAAAAAGTTTAGATAGACAATATGAGTGCAAAAAGTGCAAAAATAGGTTTGTGCTTCTCTAGTCAAATGTTTTAAGGTTCTTTTGTTGAACAAATGGAGATATAGAGGTGATTAGATGATTAGATAATCTGTAAAACAGCTGTTTCGGAGCAAGCTTACTAGCGCCAGCCTAATAATATTTATGACCCCTTCGTACTCCGTAGTAAGCTGCCTAAAGATACTGGAGATGGAGTACTAGTAGGCAATAAGTGGATTGGCTCAGTAGTTGACTAACGACACAATACTCGTAACTGTCGTTGAGGCTTGAGATGGCTGCGCGGCAACAGGTGATAGCTGGTTAGCATGGTCAAGCCAGATTTGGCCACATTGGATGCTTTCTTGCATCAGGTACTAGTTCCCCAACTCTGTGCCACGCAAGATCAAGGAACGGAACCACGGGCCACGATCGATCCTGATTCCTGCCGTCTCTTCAATCCAAGCGCTTCCCCATTTTCCCTCACACCATCACAACTTCAATCACCGCTAGTCTTCCGCTCGAAGATATCAATACATCCCCACCACATCCACGATGCTCTCCCACCCGCATAGGATCCACTCGTTCGCAGGCGCAGGCGCAGGCGCAGGCGCACCATGCACAGGCGCGTCACCATTCCTTGCATTCATCCTTGTTATGGACTGCATCCCGTATTGTGCCATTCAAGATAACACAAACCCATGCAATCCCATTTGTCCACGACACACCAACCAAGAGAAAAGAGACACATCAACCACTCCCACCAAAAGGGACAGCGCTTGTGGGGTTCGAACCACACTTCATTGATGTATCCCCACTGACTCCAAGATGCTGTGTCTTCGGCCCAGGCAATGCATTCACAACCGCATGCACCGATCCAAAAGGGAGGGGGGGTTGTTGCTTGATCATCAATCCGTCTGAGCTCTTAAAATGCTGAGGGCTGATAGTCGACGTAACTAGCACGATACGAATTCCTCTGAAACGCAGATCGTCAGGACACCGTTTTCCCCGTCGCTGTCTCCCTATACTACATACCTCCTTCCTTCCATCCCCACCCCACACTACCTGCCTCCGAACCAAACACCGGATATGCCCAACACAGAAAAAGGCTCTCCTCTCTCCTCTCCATCCCCCCAGTCCCCAACCACCGTCCTACCAGTATCCTCAAACCACACCAGCCCTCAACCACGAGGGTAGGTCGCCCTTTATGTTTTTAAAAAAAACCCCTCTGAAAAAGGGCCACAGCATTTCCGGCATGCCGTGACGGCTCTATCTCCATTTCCAGAGATGATAAATCCGCACATATGGCGGCCGGTCCGAGGTAGGACGAGTACGAGGGCCTGATCGGCAGAGCTTTCCAACCCCGCGCTGTCCAGCATGCACAGGGTCGACTACATATCGTAGGCAGTAACCCAACGGCTTGACTACTCCACGTCGCACATGTAAAAGGAGGGATAATGACCCGGCTGGCTGCTGCACACAATACAGATGAAGGGGCCCCCGGTTTATTGTACTGGAACGTTTGCATGGGGTACAGAAGTTTTTCTCTGGGGGTAACGGACCCTGCATATTGTGTACTACTTATTACTGTAGTATGATACATCTTCGCTTAGGTATCGATTTCAACAAAGTTGTAGATTAATTACGGACTTAGGTAAAGTAGCCATTCTTTCTCCCTTCCTTCCTTCCTCCCTTCCTCCCTTCCTCCCTTCCCTCTTCAACGACGTAAAGCAGATCAAGATCAGTCTTGTAGCAGCAGCAGCAGCAGCAGCAGCAGCAGCAGTAGTCAGGCATTCCAAGAGCCGAACTCCATTCGAATCAGAAGGGGAAAAACAAAAAACTGCGGGCAGAACATTGACAGAATTGACAAGTATTTCCACTGCAACGTAGCGCAAAAAGGTATTCATCCTGCGAGGCCGAAAAGAGAAGAACAAAATGGACCACCCGTTTTCCCGAGCCAATTCGAGCCATTTCAACCCAACCTCCCTCATCTCGTCCTCGTGCTCAGACTCAGCGAAGCCGCTAGCCGATCTCGACTCCTCTGTCTCGCCGTCCCCGCCGCCGCCGCCGCCGTAGAAAACCTACATTGAGGCTGTGACGATGGCGTCCCCCGTTCGCAAGGTCCGAAACATCGTGCTTACCTATAAGCACACCCAGGGGTAGCATCAGCAACCACAGGCACAAACCTTCATTTTTATTTTATTTTCTTCTTTTTTTTCATTTTTTTTAAAGGAGAGTGAAGATACAGACATACCATCACAACAAGCCCTAACGTTTTCCAATTTGCCCTCTCCCTCCATCTCTTGTCTCAACATTTCCCTTCGCAGGTCCTCCGCACTATCGAGCTCATCTTCGTTCACGGCCGACGCGTTGTAGAGACTGCTCTCACGGCCTGCTCGCGCACCGGAGGTAGAGACGGTGGCAGTGCCTGCGCTCACGTCGCTATGTCGGACGGAGCGACGACTCATGGAGAAGGAATCACGGATGGTGGAGGGTTTGAACATGCTTGAGAAGCGGGAGACGGAGCCTTGACGGAGGGCGCGATTGGGGTCATGGCCCTCGTCTCGTTCTGTGGTAATGGGTGTGGTGGACGATACCGTCGTAGCGTTGTTGCCTAGAGCGGGAGAGGAGGCATGGGCTGTGTTCATGCTACTACCAGCTTGTCCCTGCGATTGCCTCATGGACGCCCTCGAGCGATTCATCGTGCCTCTTGTGGTTTGAGAAGTGTAGCTCGCAAGGGATAATTTGGACATGCCGTTCATGCGAGAATTCCTCCCGTACCCGCCAGGATTGAACTCATCCACGTCGTCTGCCGTTAGACCTCCGTCTGCCACCACCGTGTTTCCGTTGCCATTTTCCACCCCATCGTCTTGTCCGCGCATGAGCAGGTAAGACAGCGCGTTGAACCAAGTCTCGTGTCGCGCTCCTGTGCCTGCGGTGAACTTGACTTTTCTCCCTGGGGTCACCACTTCCAAGCTCTTTCGATGCAAGCCAGGCGGCATTGGATTATCATCGGTGACGACTCTGACACTCTCTATTGCCACACTCTTCGCTTTGAGCTCCTTTCCACCAGCGGACTGCGGATCCTGCTCACTCCAATACAAAGTCTTGGTGTATGGATGCACCCAGAAATAGCGCTTATGCCGGGTATTGCTCATTTCTGGTCGTCCAGCCTTACGCGTGTATTTCCATAGGAATTCTCCTATCATGGTCTGGGTGATTGCTTGAATCATGCGAGGGTCAGTGCCGGGCCCTGCTTCGAAACTCTGGTTGGCGGGCAATCCATCAGTGCGGATATTGAAACGTTGATCAAGCTCTGAAGCGAAGGAGGACACGGAAGACTGTCGAGAAATCTGGCTGCCAGCTCTACTGCGGTTACGTTCCTGGAACGTTGGCCGTGGAGCAGCGCCTCCTCTGGTGGGTGAGGATATGCTTTGATCCGCCGATGTCCGTGGACGACGATATGCTGAAGCAGGAGCCACGGGAGGGCCCATCAGGCCAGGGCCACTTGTAGTGGCTGCCTGAGAAGACTCTATCCCAGACCCGGGAAGACGTCCTCCAGCTTTTGCAATCACATCTCGGTGGTCTGGTGGGAGTGGAGGGTGCGGGGCAGCGTTCGCGGCCTGCTGGCTGCTTGTACTGCTGGAACGTTTCACGGGTGACAGAGGTCGTGGTAGATCGACATCTGCGACGGGAATTCGGTTCCGGGACGGCGAGCGAGGGACGACACCGGTTACGATTGGTTTTAACGAAGGAGTTTGGGCAGCGCGAATGTTCTGAGAAGGTTGCGCAAGAGTCCTGTTCAAGGCCTTATCGATTTGCGCCGAGGTTAGAATTGTCTGCGACCCTTGAGTGCTCATGGGAACAGAGGCAGGCGGCTCAACAGGATTTTCCAAAGATCCCCTTCCTGTGGGGCTGATATTGCCGGATGTGTCTTTCAGTGGAGATGATTGGCCTGCTGCTTCTTGCGTGACCATCTCATGTGTTGTATGGTGCGTCTCATCTTCATTAACAACTGTCTCGGGCTGCTTAGCTGTGCTCAACCCGAGCGCTGCACCCATAGCCGCAATGAGACCCATGCCGGCAGCTGTCTCCTGTGGTGTGCTGGATGTGCGATCTTTGCTTGGGGTGTTGGTCGCGGTGGATTGAGGAACATCAGAGACTGGTGGCTCATCTGGTATGGTCTCTTGACTGATTATTGGAGAGAACGAGAATCGCACCGTGGAAGAGATAGCAGCAGTCTCTGTTTGCTGCGTAGATGTAAGATCTGGCGTCTGGGGTAAGGTTTGCATGAAGCTCTGGGTGGGCGCTGGTGGAGATGAAGGGATGGTCTGCCCGCCAGTTTCTGTCAGTCCTTGATCTTGAGCTTCATCCCAGATCGTCTTTGGAGGTGTGATGAAGCTCGGCGTCCCACGGTTGGGACTGTCTTGAAGTCCTCTCATGGGAGTGTAGTGCACCTCTGATTTGCTAGGCGAGCTTGTGAGGCTAGGTGGAAGAGGAAAGTCAGATGGTGAAGGAGGGGCATCATGGCCATAGAGACCGTAACCGGCTGCGGCGCCAGCGAGGTCGATGGGAGGACCTAGACTTCTGGGAGGGGTTGTCTCGGGCTTCCAAGGCTCTGTCATCATTGCGGAGTCGACCATTTTTGGCGGTTCTGGTGCGGTCGTAGGATCTGAATCTGTCAAACTCTTGCGCCCGCTCATGAGGGCAGGACCTGGAGTAGACTTGGAGGAGAAAACACTTGCACCGCCGGGTGTGCTGAACTCGCTGCCGCCACCATTGAATTCTCCAAGCTCTGCAAATAGGCTCTGCTCCCCAGTGGGTGGGCTGGTGTTCAAGCTAGCCGGAGAGCCTTGTACAGTGACCAGACTCTCACGTTGAGCGGCTTCTACCTGGTTCCTTGATTGACGAGCGTTTGCACCTCGTCCCATCTTCAATCGATATCGCAGAGGCTGAGACTGTACGGGAGTTTGGAAGTCGATTTCGTCTTCGCCTGCTGATGTTGATGCTGTGCTCATATAGGAGTTTCGTTTGCCCACATTACCAAGCATCGAGGGCATGTTTGTGCGAATAGTGTTCGTACGGCCAACGCGTCCTTCAGTTTCGGTCTCGGTACTCTCGTCTGTACTCTCACCTGCAAGACTTTCTGCCCCCGTCTGAAACTCCTCGCCTTCAGTAGTCTCTCGCTCGTGTGCTGTTTCGAACGAGCCTTCTGTTTCGTTGGCAGTCTGATAAGCGTCGCTGAAATCAGTCATGTTGCCAGCGCCTGAAAGATGTCCAGTTCCAGGTCCTGGTCCCAGCGTAAGCGTTCTCGTGGCGGCTGCATGTCTGGGGCTACCATCCCCAGGATGATCTTCCCAATCTTGTTCATCCACTTCGATATCTGTACGGGCTCTGCGGCTACCGCCCAGCATGTCTGGTCTAGCAGGCTTCCTAAAGGTTTCCGGCTTTGTTTTTTGGCGCTTGCTACCACTGTTGAGGCCTCCACTTTCTGCTCTTCTCTGCTCAAGCTCATCTCGCGCATCTTGCAGCATCCTTTTGAGCTCGATCTTTTCCGTCTTCTCACGATGGATGTTCCCTTTGAGGTTTTGTATCATTCGATGAGCATGTTGAAGGGAGCTCTTCAGAGTCTCGGATTCCAAAGCCCCATGTCGTGGTGTTGCTTTTGTTGGAGAAGGAGGGGGGGAGTGCTCTGGAGTTATTGTATCCTTGAATTCGTATTCTTCATTTAAGGACAGATCCCTCTCTGCATCATTATCTCGAGTACGGAATCGGGTCGCGATGGCCTGAGCCAATTCTTGGTTCTGTGCCGTTAATTCATCAATTTTTTGTTGAGAGGAGTTTCGTTCGCCCTCTAAGATGTCCAGATTCCTTCGTAAAGAATGTATCTCTGAATCGTGGAGCTTCTCTGCAGCTGTATGATCTTCACTAAGCTTTCCATGCGCCATGCGAACCTCATCTAGATCGTTCTCTAACCTGCTTTTCTCAGAGAGAGCAGCAGCAAGACTTGCACTCAGTTTCTTCTCCCGATCAGCGGCTTCTTTCGCAGCAGCCATCATTTCGTGGGTCTGGGTTTCGAGGTTCCAGTTTTCGTCTTTGTATCGTTGCTCGCTCTCATCCAGAGCACGCAGCCTCTGCGCAAAGCTTTCGGCTTCAGTTTCCAGTCTAGATTTTTCTGACATGAGCTTCTTCAAGGATTCATCCCTTTCGGCCAATGCGGCCTGTAGTTGCCGTGCTTGCCCCAGGAGAGATGTAGTGATATCTGCCGCGAATTGCAGATCTTCTGCTCGGCTTAACGGCTGATTACGTTGTTTTCGCGAAGGTACGGACACTTTGGAAGGCGAGGCGTTCGCCTGAGTCGACAGGACAACCGGACTAGATTCGCTCGGCCTGTCATCTGTACCCACTACTCTTGTGCGTGGTGCCAGCAAGGCTCTTGCAGTTTCGCGACCAACATCGTTGTAATCTCTTTCTATCTCAGCCAATTTCTCTTTGAGCTCAGGCGGTAATTCAGCGTCGTCTTTACGCTTCTCCACTTCTTTGAGCTTCTCTGCCAGCTGTGCGCGCTGCTCAACCAGGCTAGTTCCAAGTCTGCTAGCATCTTCTAATCGGCGGTTTGTCTCGGCTAGATGGGCTTCTATTGCACGTTTCGCTGAAGATGGTGAGGAAGCAGCATCGAGACTAAAGATCTGATGGTCGAACGCTGAATATCGGTGAGGATGCGGGTGAGGTAGATGGTCACCAGAACCATTGACAAAAGGGTCTTCTGGTGCAGACGCATTGGTTTCTCCGCTGGAAACCAAAGGCGCACCTCCACTATCCACTACAGCAGTAGCCATATCCCTTTCTCAACGAGCACCGAGGAGAGTTGTAGAGAAAAATACAGAACTATCAAGGGAAGCGGTTGGGCATGGTGTGATTACCGGCGTCAGCCAATGAGTCTTCAGGTTATAGCACAATGGCCGTTTCTCAAGCGCTGGAGGGAAGGATTTGGTGGTTGAAGATATGGCGCTGGATGCGAGTCCTTGCGCAGTAGGGAGAGGGATAGAAAGAGCGATTATAGTTAGTTATGGATACAGTAAAGGTGGAAATGCTTGACGCGTCGATTTGTGGTGTGCGGGGGTAAGAATAGGATTGTTTACCGGGAGATGCAGATGTTATTGAACACAAACGCAATGATCCAGCTTAGGACACAATGGATGGCGGTTTGGTGCAATTTACGCAGTTGTTTCTGACAGTACTGATGTTCACTGAATCTTGATGATTGAAGGTCTGAAAGAAATATTGCCAATCCTACGTGTAGGACAAGAAAGCGGCGGTAAACATTCGCGTCCTCCAGTTTGACCAATTTCATTGCAGCAATTCATTCTCCACGGAAGATTGACCGCCAGGCACAAGTCTTGGGTGCAATACAATACTACTCATTTCATCAATTGCAGAGTCGATCAATTCGTTGAGATACTATCTTGCAAAGGGCGGCTTGCTCCACCACTTGTGCAATAACAACTTTGGCATAATTCGTCTGAGCATTTTATTTCCGGCTAAATACAACATCAGAAAGATGTCACAGCGAAATCTTGAAGCTTCAATCACGTTTTTGGAGGCCTCTAGTAAGGCAACCGAAAGACAAGGCGAGATCCTGAAAGCTCAGCGGCAGCACTTGGAATCCCTGAAACGGCAACGTGTTGAAGAACACCAGGCATCACGAACCAGGCGGCTTGCGGTTCAGAATTTAAGTCTGGCAGTAGGTGAGATTTGGGTGCCTTGTTCCTTTCTTTGACAGATATCTTGCAGGTAGAAGAGAAGACTCAAGCACTTGCTTTAGAGCTCAAGGAAGCTGAAGAAGGACTCCGAGGTACACTCAGTCAGATCCCGTCCTTAGCAGCTGATTATCTCCACAACGACGACAGTCATCTGCAGACCTTGACGGCTATTTCTGCAATCGATGCAGATCATGGAAACGACGTGCGGGTAAGGGTGACACAGCTGACTGAGAAGCTAAGTCAACTGGATCGGGAAGCAATTGAATGTCGTTTGAATCGTGTATACCTGCAACAGCTGGCGAGGCACGATGCGGACCAGTGTTGCGAGCAAAGCCAGCTTATTGAGCATGAGGTGGAGAAGGATCTGAAATCGCTTCATGTTGAAATACCAGATGTGGCGACAATGGCTGTCGCCCAATGCTTCAGAACACCTCTACTTCAAGCACTTGCAGAGCGGCAGACACGAAGGGACGCTCAAGCACGAAGTCAGCTCGAAGATGTAGGTGCTCTGAATAACTGTGCCTCTATGCTATTCTAGAGCTAACAGTAACAGGTTAGCAATGCTATGACTGTCCTTATCGAGGCAGCCAGGGCTTTTGTGGATCGTCTTGAAGCTCTTCTATCATACCGGACGGCCCTTACAGCGTACCAAGCAGATTTCCAAGCTCTTGCACACGGATTTGAAAAAAAAGTCAATGCAGGAAAGCAAGTGAGAAAGCCATACAGAGGCGCGACATCTCTAGCGATGGAGGACGTAATGAAGCACTGGAACGTACCTATTTCCGAAAGTGGCTCTGTTGAACAAGCACTGTGGGCCAGGAAGCGAAAGGTGGAGCAGGACGCCCATCGAAGCAGTATTGCTGTGGAAGACATGATACGAAAACACCACAATGCCTTGCCCATGGATTGTGCAAAACTCGTCGATATAGACACCGGCACAGACGTGTGTCTATTGAAATTTGAGAAGGATATCGAGAAGCTTCAGGACTGTATGGACAGGGCAGATCTAGCAGATCTGGCAGGAACAGAAGGCACAGAAGGAGACGAATGCCAAGTTCGTTTTGTCAATAGGTGGGCATAGAGTAGCAGATAGCGGCAAGATGGACAGATGCTGATACTGCTGTGCTGTATATCTTGATGCATACGTAGTACTACGGAGTATGTAGAAGCGATTACTGTGTTTGGAAAACTGGATGCCAATCAGGGATGCCATTAGGGGCCGGAGGGTGTAGCCAAGCAGATTTAAGCACTAACGCGGCTGCATGGCGGGACAAGAAAAGTTGGCAGAAGCCAACTTGAAGTTTGAAGGCTTGCCAAGCCTTGAGAAGGGCTCTGAAAATGACGTGGTGTTGGTCCTTAGTAATTTAGCAGATGTTTTATTATTTCAAGGATAGTCTGGAGGCTTAAATGACCATAATTTAGCCATAATTTGAATGTCATTTTCTAAGAAAATGACGTCTGAAATAACATAATTTTATTAGATTCCAGATGTTTAGCCGCATAAATATGTGCCCCCCTCCTGCCCCCCCCCGTCCGCCCCCACTAAGCACACATTGATGGTAATTTAGGTATAGTTTTCAGAGGGCCCTTCTCCTACTAAGTGCTCAATGCTTACCATTGACCGTGCCCCTAACCATCGAACCCTAAGATATGACCCTGTCGAACAGCAAGCAATCAGCGTTTGGAGGCCTCAATGGAGTTGGAAGCTGATTCTCTGATTGAGCAGCTACATCGTGACGTCTCTACGATTTGACTGCGGCTGGTATGGTTGTGGTGTGTCGTACACTGGGTACTGGGTACTGACCGAGGGCGTGCCGGGCCAGTCAATTGCATCGACTTTGCTGCTTGCAAACAGGGACGTGAAGCAAACGAAAACACCTCACTTCACTAACCAAGCATTACTTGCAGGATATTCCTCTTCGTGCACTCAGTCACTCGCTTCTCCTCACACCTATTTTTAATGCACTATGTCTTCTTGACTCGTGCACGCCCTCTTTGCTACTGCTGTCAACACACACCATTTCCACCATGACGCTGTTCAGCAGGAAGAGGCCTCGATCTTCCGACGCTGCGCAGCGCGTCTCACAAGAACCATTCACTACCGACAAACCCTCGAAGCATCACATGCTACCTACACACTATAACAATGGACGTCTTGTCACCAAGGGCATTCAACAAGAAGGGGAGAGTGGCCGGAGTGGTTTCAACCCGGTTCACTTCTGCAAAGTAGCGTGGAGGAGTAGCTGCCGGGCCTCGATGTTCCTCAATGTTCTCTGGCCGTTCGTCCCGGCGGGAATCGCCCTGTACTACAGTCGACGTGAATCGACCCTCTTGGTCTTTGCCATCAACTATGTTGCCATGATCCCTGCGGCCAATCTGCTTGGATTTGCTGGGCAGGATTTGGCGCGGAAGCTGCCCCGAGTGCTTGGGATTCTGCTGGAGACCACCTTAAGCGCGGTGGTGGAGATTGTCCTGTTCGTTGTACTGATTGTGAAAGACCATAGAGATGGTCATAACGTGGCCGTCATCAAAGCTGCCATCTTGGGATCCATCCTCACCAACCTCCTGCTCTGCCTGGGCTGCTGCTTTTTCCTGGGAGGAATCAAACGTCATGAACAGGTCTTCCACGAAGCAGTGAGCGAGGTCGGGTCCAACCTGTTACTGGTCGCCGGCTTTGCTCTCCTCATTCCAAGCGCATTCTATTCTGCATTACATTCCTCCGCTTTCGGGCCTGGCGATGAGGTGCCAACAGGTGAAGATGGTAGGCCGCAAGAGGTCTTCACCCTTACCCGCTTGAACCACGATATCTTGGCTATTAGCAGGGGGACAGCTATTGTGCTGATTGTTGCTTTCATCTTGTAAGCCCTCCTCTCGCTTCTGCTGCATTACTACCTCGTCGGAATGTAGATAGTCTCGGTGGCCATCTCTGTCATTTATCGATGAGTTTCAAGCACTTATTGTCCAAGGCCTGACTGTCAAGCAGATTTATCTGGTACAATGCCAAAAGCCACGACACGATTTTCGACGATGTCCTTGCAGCGGATCAGGAGAAAGACGTTGACCGCGAACACGATCTGAGCAAAGCCAAGTTCACCTTGACCGAATGCATCATGGCTCTCGCTGTCTCGTTGGCTTTGGTGTCGATCATCGCTGTCATCCTCGTGAATGAGATCCACCCTATGGTAGTAGAGTACAGGATTCCCGACAACTTCATGGGTCTGATTCTGGTTCCTCTGGTCGAGAAGTTTGCAGAACATATCACTGCCATCGATGAGGCTTGGGATAACCAGATGGTGAGCTCGCACCGATTTGACTGACCTCGTCTGTCGCTGACTGATTTTTCCCCAGAACTTCGCTTTGTTCCACTGCCTCGGACCCTCTATCCAGACAGCTCTTTTCAACGCGCCTCTTGTTGTCCTGGTTGGCTGGGGTCTTCACAACCATTTCATGGACTTGAATTTCGAAATCTTCCAAATCGTCTTGCTTGTTCTTTCCATCATGGTCGTCGGCAACTTCCTGAGGGACAAAAAATCAAACTACCTCGAAGGTGGTCTCCTGGTACTTATCTACGTTATCGTGGCTCTTAGCGCTTGGTACTATCCCAATCCCTCGCTTACGACGTCCAACAGTGGCGCTACAGGCATAGATAGCCACTAGAGGATGACTCGTGGAACTCCAATGGTGCCTTGCCTGGTTATGAGTATAATGTGGGAATGAGCCGATTTGGGATGCGGATTAGCGATGGAGTCAGCGGTGCAGGTATGGCAGAAACTGCAGAAAGAGACTACTGGCTTAGCAAGCGCCTGATGGCTTGCAGGAGCAGGAGACTGTGTTGTAGCCAGTATATCAGTATATCAGTATATCAGTATATCAGTATATCAGTATCTCCGTAGAAACGCCTACGTACGGAGTAGTTAGAACAGTAATGAGCTACCGCGATTTGTACGTGATTGGCCATCTGGAAGATCTGACCTAGCTAGTCCGGAGTAGGCAATACCTACAAACAGGGCAAACAGAGCAAACAAGGCAAACAAGGTGATGACCTTGATGCCTTTGATGCCTTGACATCTTTCATGACGTTCTTGACCAGAAGAACCGATTATCAATTGACATGTTCACTTGCGATTGCACACAATTCTCCTCTTCTCCTTCCGCCCCTCTCTACAGCCATGGCATCCCCTAGGACGTGCTCGCAATGTTTACGTCTTATTCGACGACAAACCCGCTCTCACAAAGCTGTGCAGCTCCTTGACACGCCCTCCCGAGCATTCTCGTCCCAATCCCGTCTACTACAACAAGCACCTCAACCACGCAATTTACCAGCAGAGATCCCATCCGTCCCACCCACAACCACCGGCACCATCACCTCCAACATTACCGCCCCAACAGCTCCGGCTACAAATGTTCCTCCCTCTCCCTCACTCCCCCAAGATGGCACCGGGCCCAGCACCTCGGAAATGCAACGCGCCATCTCCTCCACCATCTCCAGCTCGTCACTAAGCACCTCCCTCCCCACCACCCTGGCCACGCGCCTGCGCAACACCGCCACCAAAACAACCGACCCCTACATCGCCTACGGCGCCACCCAGTCCCTCTTCCGCACCTGCAGCGCCCAAGCCAGCTACACGATCCCAGAGTCGCAGAGACAGGGGATCCTAAGCGGGCAGGGCCCGGCCAAGAC